CTTCTCCTAGACAGAAGTGCCAACAAAGGCCATTATTTCTTTTCTGAACCCTTCACCTACAGAGCTGGCAGACGGGCACCATATTTGAGTCTCCATCAACCTGGCTCACAGTTTGCCCCACCCTGGGACTCCCTGAGACCCTGCCCCACCCAACTTTCAGGCCCACCCAAGCTGTTTCCAGTGGCTTTACTATAGGAATGGCCTGTCTTGGCTCATGCTTCAGATTTTCCTAAAATCTCTCAAACAAGCAGCATCTGGTCTCAGCGAACCCCATACCTCTCGAAGTGGCCCCAGGCCTGGCACTAGAAGCAGTCAGCCTTGGTTCACAGCATGGCCTCACCTGGGCACCTCCAAGCCCAGCACAAGCAGCCATCTGCAGATCTCTTTGTAGCTTATACCTGCAGATGGCTGCTTATGCCGGGCAGAACACAGGGCGTGGCTGACCTTGGTCTCACCTCTCCGGAAGCCCCAGAGATAGCACACCCAGTGGACAGCTTCAGACCGCATTGAAGCACCTCCACTCCACCACCTCCACCACCAACACACTGAAGGGGCAGACTCAGTGGGTACCAGAGTCCTGCTGAAGTAAGTCTTGCTCTGTGTGGGGGGCCCCTGCATAGCTGACTCTCCAAGGTAGTCAGAGGTCAGTCCTCAGTGGTTACAGCCAGTCCTTGCAGCTGATGATCTTGAGTAAATCCCTCCCATTGATGTGCCAACAGCAATCAAGACTCAATTGCAACAAAAGGGTGTACCGTCCATATGTGGGGTACACCTCAGGTGCTCAGCTAGGGTGATCAGAGAGGTTATGCCACTGGACCCTACAGGACACCTACTACATTAGGCCACACTACCAAGCCTGGGACATAGCAGCTCTACCTAATACATAGAAACAAACATAAGGAGGAGGCCAAAATGAGGAGACAAAGAAACATGTCCCAAATGAAAGAGCAAAACAAAACTCTGGAAAAATAACTAAACAAAACGGAGACAAGCAATCTACTAGATGCAGAGTTCAAAACACTGATTATAAGGTTGCTCAAGGAACTTAGTGAGGACCTCAACAGCATAAAAAAGAACCAGTTGGAAATGAAGGAAACACTAACTGAAATAAAGAATAATTTACAGGGAATCAACAGCAGAGCAGGTGAAGCCAAGAATCAAATCAGCCATTTGGAGAGAGAGACAGAGAGAGAGAGAGAGAGAGAGAGAGAGAGAGAGAGCGAGCGAGCCCCGGCCAGTTTGGCTCAGCAGTTAGAGCGACGGCCTGCGGTCCAGAGAGAGCCGGGTTCAGTTTCCGCTAAGGGTGCATACCTCGGTTGCATTTTGTCCCCAGCCCTGGTTGGTCGTGTGGGTGGCAGCCACTCGATGTGTCCCTTTCACATTGATGTTTCTCTCTCTCTCTCTCTCTCTCCCTCCCACTCTATCTGAACAAAAAGTGGAAAAATGTCCTTGGGTGAGGATAAAAAAAAAAGAATCCAAAAATGAGGATAGTATAAGGAGCCTCTGGGACAACTTCAAGCATGCCAACATTCACATCATGGGGGTGCCAGAAGGAGAAGAGAGAGAACCAGAAATTGAAAATCTGGTTGAATAAATGACGGAAAGCTTCCCTAACTTGGTGAAGGAAACAGACATACAGGTCCAGGAAGTACAGAGAGTCCCAAACAAGATGAACTCAAAGAGGCCCACACCAAGGCACATTATAATTAAAATGCAAAATGTTCAAGACAAACAGAGAATCTTAAAATCAGCAAGAGAAAAGCAGTTGGTTACCTACAAGGGAGCTCCCATAAGACTATGAGCTGATTTCTCAAAATAAAACTTTGCAGGCCAGAAGGGAGTAACAAGAAATATTCAAAGTGGTGAAAAGCAAGGACCTACAACCAAGATTATTCTACCCTGCAAAGCTATCATTTTGGAATCGATGAACAGATAAGAGCTTCCCAGACAAGGAAAAGCTGAAGGAGTTTATCCCCACCAAACCAGTATTACATGAAATGTTAAAGAGTTCTTTAAGAAGAAGAAGATAAAAAAGATGAATAATAAAGTGGCAATAAATAAATATCTATCAACAATTGAATCTAGAAATAAAATGAACAAGCAGAACAGAAACAAACTCATAGATACATATAACTTTTTGTTGGTTACCAGATGGGAGAGGAGTTTGGGGGAAGGAAGAAAAGGTGAAGGGATTAAGGAAGTGCAAATTGGTCGGCCTGCGGTCCTGAGAGACCTGGGTTTGGTTCCCACTAAGGGCACGTACTTCAGTTGCAGTTTGTCCCCGGCCCGGGTTGGTCATGCGGGTGGCAGCCCCTCGATGTGTCCCTTTCACGTCAATGTTTCTCTCTCTCTCTCTCCCACTCTATCTGAACAAAAAATGGAAAAATGTCCTCGGGTGATAAAAAAAAAAAAAAAGAAGTGCAAATTAGTTGTTACAGAATAGTCACAGGAATGTACAGTACAACATAGGGAATATGGTCAGTAATACAGTGGAATCTCAGTTCTCGAACCGAAACATTTTTGTCCATTAGAAATAATGTGAATTGGATTAATCCATTTCAGAACCCCAAAATGATTGTCTGTTTTAATCTTTCTTATATACAGTACATGTCCAATGTACTGTTTAATCTATAAATAAACACTTTAAAAACAAAAAGGAGATGAAATGTAAATGAAAATTTAACAAAAAGGAAAGGAGCACTGGCTGGTTTGGCTTAGCGGTTAGAGCATTGGCCCATGGACTGAAGGGTCACAGGTTAGATTCCGGTCAAGGGCATGTACCTGGGTTGCAGGTTCAATCCCCAGCCCTGATCAGGGTCATGCGAGAGGCAACCAATTGATGTGTCTCTCTCATTCCGATGTTTCTCTCTCTCTCTGTCTCTCTCTCTCTCTCTCCCACTCTATCTAAAATCAGTGGGGAAAAAATATCCTCTGGTGAGGATTAACAAAAACAAACAAAATAAAACAAAAAGGAAATGAAATGTACAGTAAAAAATGAAAACTTAATAATAAGCAGAAAAAAAATCAAAACCACAAAAATATTCACAGCACAATTTTCTGAGCTTGAACAGCGGTAAACTAACTCATACTCATACACTCTCTCTTTTGTTTGTTGCCTTAGAGACGTGTGACTGATCATACAAGTATTAGCATGAAAGGGTTGTCAGGTTGAGAATCGAATTGTTCAAGATGGGAGGCATTCAAAAACCGAGGTTTGACCGTATTCTAATAACTAGGTGTGATGCTGGATGGGTGTGCGATTTATTAAGTTATGTAATGTCTATCACTAGGATGTACATCTGGTAATACATCATATGATGATTGTCAACTGTAATTGAAAATAAAAAATGATTTTAAAAATAAATAAAATTTTTTAAAAAAATGAACAAATGGGACTACATCAGATTAAAAAGTTTTTGCACAGCAAAGGAAACCATCAACAAATGAAGAGACAACCCACTGCATGTGAGAACATATTCACCAATACATCTGATAAGGGGTAAATATCCAAACTTTATAAAGAACTTATGAAATTCAACACCAAAAAATAACCCAATTTAAAAAATGGGCAGCCCTGGCCAGTATGGCTCAGTTGGTTGGGCAATGTCCCATGCACCAAAAGGTTGCTGTTCAATTCCTGGTCAGGGCGCATGCCCGTGTTTCAGGCTCAGTCCCCAGTGGGAGGTGCAGGAGGCAGCTGATTGATGTTATGCTCTCACATCAAAGTTTCTCTCTCTCTCCCTCTCCCTTCCTGAAAATCAATAAAAATATTTTTTAAAGAATGTTTATTTAAAAAAATAGGCAAAGGACCTGAATAGACATTTCTTCAAAGAGGACATACAGATGGCCAACAGACATATGAAAAGATGCTCAACATCATTAATCAGAGAAATACAAATTAAAACCACGTTGAAGTATTGCCCAGCCGGTGTGGCTCAGTGGTTGAGCATCGACCCATGCACCAGGAGGTTGCCGGTTCGATTCCCGGTTTGGCACATGCCCAGGTTGTGGGCCCATTCTCCAGTGGGGGCATGCAGGAGGCAGCCAATTGATGTTCTCTCATTGATGTTTCTCTCTCTCTCTCCCTCTCTCTCTCTAAAATCAATAAAGAAAAAAAATTATTAAAAAAAAAACCCTACATTGAGGTATCACCTTACACCTGTTAGAATGGCTATTATCAATATATCAACAAACAAGTGTTGGTGAGGATGTGGAGAATGGAGAACCCTTGTGCACTGTTGGTGGGAATGCAGATTGGTGCAGCCACTGTGGAAAGCAGTATGGAGATACCTCAAAAAAGTAAAAATAGCCCTGACCAGTGTTGCTTAGTGGTTGGAGCATCAGTCTGCACACTGAAGGGTCATGGGTCGATTCCCAGTCATGGGTACATACCTGGGTTACAGGTTCTATCCCCAGCCCTGGCCAGGGTGCATACGGGAGGCAACTGATCAATGTCTCTCTCACATCAATGTTTCTCTCTCTCTCCCCCTTCCTCCCTCCCTTCCACTCTCTCTAAAAATCAATGGAAAAAATATCCTTGGGTAAGGATTTACACACACACACACACAAAATTAAAAATGGAACTGCCTTATGACCCAGTAATTCCACTTCTGGGAATTTACTGAAAGAAATTAGAAACACTAATTCAAAAGAATACATGCACCCCTATGTTCCTTGCAGCGTTATTTACAATAGCCAAGATTTGGAAGTATCCCAAGTGGCCATCACTAGATGAGTGGATAAAACAGCTATGGTACATTTACACAATGGGATACTACTTGGCTGTAAAAAAGAAGAAAATTTTACCCTTTGGGACAACATGGATGGACCTGGAGAGCATTATGCTAAGTAAAATAAGCCAGTCAGAGCAAGACAAGTACCATATGATTTCACTTATATGTGGAATCTAATGAACAAATTGAACCAACAAGCAAAATATAGATAGATTCATAGATCGAGAGCAGGCAGACAGCTCTTGAGGGGGAGGTTGGGGACTGGAGATGGAGGTATTGAGCAAAAAAGAGAAAGAACACATAGACAGGAACAGTAGTGTAGTGATTGTGGGGGACAGAGGGGTGTGGGTGGAGATGGAGGAGGGTATAGGAGGGATAAATGATGATGGGATATATATAATATAGTTTTAAAAAAAGAAAAGGAAATACTCAGATCAGTTTTTACATAAATTATTATTCCTATCACTAGTTTCCCCCTCTTAGAAATTCTAGAGCAACAAATACTGTCCAATAGAGATACAATGCAAGCCACATGTATAGTTCATATTTTTCTTTTTTTTAAATTAGTTTTTATTTTTCTAGTAGCCACATTTTCAAATGAAGTTTTCAAAATCCGAAGTGTATTTTATGAAATTAATTAATTATTTTTAATCCTCACCCGAGGACATTTTTCTATTTATCTTCAGATAGAGTGGGAGGGAGGGAGAAAGAGAGATCAAAACATCAATGTGAGAGAGAGACACATCGACTGGTTGCCTCCCACATGACCCGACCAGGGCCGGGGATGAACTGCAAGCAAGGTACTGCCCTTGACTGGAATGAAACCCACCACTCTAGTCCACAGGCCGACATTCTAACTGCTGAGCCAAATCAGCCAGGGCAATGAAATTTAATAATATACTTTCTTTAACCCAACAGATCCAAACTAGTATTATTTCAATGTTTGATCAACATAAAAATTATTGGGATATCTTCATTCTCTTTTTCATCCTAAGTCTTGGAAATCCAGGGTATGTTTTATGGCAGCACACCTAATGCCAACACTCAGTTTTCATTGTAGATACTTGATCTGTACGTAGACTCCATAAAATGTACGTTGGAAAAAGCAGATTTGCACATCCAAGGTGTTCCAAATGTACTTACACATTTCCAATCATTGAATTGAGAACCATACATTGTTTTTGGTTTGTTTTTACTTTTTATTTTCAAGTTGTTTTCAATTTACAGAAGAGAATATCCATCTTTAAATGTAAATGAGCATTAACTACTCCGTTCCTTGGACACATCAGCCACATTTCAAGGGCTCAGTAGCCATACCGGGCTGGTGGCCAGTGAATCGGATGGCGATGTAGACCAGTTCCATGATCGCAGAAAGTTCTATTGTGCAGTGCCAGGTTGTAGATTCAAGCTTCACCTGCAAAGTGGGAGAGAAGTTTAGGGTTACATTAAGAGGGGAGAGTTGAGGTTCTGGATCAGAATGACTCTAGCTGTGTGTACTTAGGCAAGAGACAGATGTGTCTCTCTGGGCCTCAGTTTTCTCATTTGTGAAATGGGCAGCTCCAGGGCTGCAGACTCAAGGTCATAGATTTCTGCTCCAGTGGTTGGGGTCTGAGGTTTGGGGACTGGGAGGACTTTTTGACCACCTGTGGGGATTGGAGGGACTGGGAATGGAGGGCAAAAAGCCAGCACAGACCCAGAAGAGCTGTTTTTGAGCACTTATTAAATGTGAGACACTAAGTAAATATAAAATCAAGTTCACACTGGCATTCCTAAACACTTTCTTTGCTCTCCCTGCAAACAGGCCAGACTCTTTCACCTCCAGGCCTTTGCATTGGCTGTTTCTTCTGCCAGGATCATTCTTCCCCTGACTCCTACTGAACCTGGTGAGCTCCTACATAACCTTTATAACCCAATCCCCCTGTACCCCGCCCAGACAGAGACCCAGATTTAAGCCTCAACTCCACAGCACTGGGAGCCTCTTGTAACCAACTCAGTTCTCCCCAGATTGGGGAAGAGTCTGTGAAAGTTGAGAAAAGGGTAGGGTCAAGGTAGGACCTGAGAGTTGTTGGGACCTATCCCCCCTTCCCTAGGGACCCCTACCCAGGTAGAGAGGTCATGTTGCCTAGTGGCTGGAAGAAAGTGAACTCAGGTCAGACTGTCTTGGTTGGAATTCCAGCTCTGCCATGTCCTCACTCTGAGTCACTGGGCCTCAGTTTTCTCATCTGTAAGATAGGAATCATAATAGTGCCTACCTCAGGACTCCTGCCTATTAACTTTGGTGACCCATGTGTGCCTCAGGCATGGGTTATTATTTTTATCAATGATACTATCTCCGCTTTCCCTCCTCCCAGCTGCTCTGACTCATGGATCCACTCGACTGGGCCAAGACCCGATGTCCCTAGCACCATGATCTCCTTGGGGTGCTGTTGCAGCTGCTTTTGGCCTTGTGCTCCTTCTCCAACCTGTATGTGTCCCATGAGCCCATGAGGTCCCCTAAACGACAATGGACTCTCTCATCACAGCTCCTAATGGGTGGGCAGGGCCAATATCCTCTGGGGGGACCCAGCCAGGCCACCTCGGGCCCCACCCACCCAACCTACCCCTGCTTCTCCTACTGTGGACATGGACATTCAGCACCCCACAGCTCTGTGGCCCGGCACAGCTGACTGTCCCCTTAGGTGGATGCAGCCCTGTGCATCCCTGAGAGGTTAGCTACCGACCGCAGGCACAGCTTCCACCTTCCCCGAGGCCAGCCGGCCAGTGCCGGGTCTGATTTAATATGGAATCACCCAGCCACTGGCGCCTGCTGAAGGCCCTGGATGGGTACTTCAATCTCACCATGTCCTACCACAGAGACTCGGACATCTTCATGTGATGTGGCTGGCTCGAGCCATGGCCTGGCCAGCTGGCCAACGCATGGGTCAAACTCTCAGTTAAGACAGAGCTGGTGACCTGAGTAGTGTCCAGTTGGAAAAAGAGTTTGACCAGATATTTTAAATTCACCTCGAAGTGGACATGCACGAGCTCTCCCACAAGCCATTGCCCCAGGCGGCATGACCGAGTGGCTATCCCAGTACAAGTTTTACCTGGTTTTTGGGAACTTGCACCCCAACTACGTCAGGGAGAAGCTATGGAAGAATGCCCTGCAGGCCTGTACCATGCCCATGGTGTTGGGCCCCAGCAGGAGAAACTACAATTTCTGCCGCTCGACACCTTAACCCATGTGGACAACTTCCAGAGCCCCGAGGAGCTGGCCCAGTATCTGCTGGTGCTGGACAAACACCACGCTGGCTACCTGAGTTAGTTCCGCTGGTGGGAGATGCCGCAGCCTCGATACCTCAGGCGGGCCCTGATGTTCTGTAAGGCCTGCTGGCAGCTGTACTAGGAGCCCAATTACCAGTGACCAGCACAGCCTCTTGGTTCACATGAGGCTGTCAGACTGGGGCCTCATCTGCCAGGGGCCTCACCTACTGGGGTGCAGAGGGAGTGTCTCACATGCTGGGGCCTCACCTCCTAGGAATCTCACCTGCTGGAGACCTTGGTTGTTGGAGATCTCACTTACCTAGGACTTCACCTACTGGGCACCTCTGTTGTCAGGAATCTGGGGACCTTACCTGCCAGGGGCCTCACTTGCTGGGGGGTAAGTGTCTCACCTGCTGGAGATGTTGGCTCCTGGGGACATCACCCACCAAGGCACTCATTGCCTTGCCTTGGGTCCTCCCACTGGTGATGGCTCTGCTGGATCTGCTTGCGCTTATTATCACTGGTATGACTGCCTGTGGGGCCAGTAGGAAGGCAATATTGGCACCATTTTCCAGATGGGAATGTTCTGATGAAAACTGATGTGTCCTCCCTTATTCTAGGACAGCGGTTCTCACCCCAAAGCAACTTTGCCCCCCAGGGGACAGTCAGCAATGTCTGGGGACATTCGTAGTCAAGACTTGGGGTGAGCTGATAGCATCAAGTGGGTGGGAGCCAGGAATGCTGCTCAATGGCCTGCATGGCCCCCCAAACCCAGAATGGTCTGGCTACAAATGTCAAGAGGTGCAAAATCCCTTGAGATCAAGCCCATTAAGCAGGTGGGGAGAGCAAGGCCCAGAGACACTAGAAAATGGGGACCAGGTTGTCTTGGGGTTAATGTGGCAGGGCTGGCATAAGGGCACAGACTGCCCCTCGAAGAGAGGAAGCGGGGAAGAGTGTGACACTGTGTGTGTGTGCAGGGCTTAGAGCATGACCACCAGCATCGGTATTGATGGCTGTGTGTGACAGAATGCGTGACCCTGTGTCCTTTTATTTTCGAATGAGTGACTGAGGGTGCCCCTCTCTGAGTGTGCAGTTTTTTTTTTAATCCTCACCCGAGGATATTTTTCCATTTTTTGTTCAGATAGAGTGGGAGGGAGAGAGAGAGAGAAACATCGACGTGAAGAGACACATCGAGTGGCTGCCACCCGCATGACCAACCAGGGCCGGGGACAAACTTGCAACCGAAGTACGCGCCCTTAGAGGGAACCGAACCCGGGTCTCTCCGGACCGCAGGCCGATGCTCTAACCGCTGAGCCAAACTGGCCAGGGCTGAGTGTGCAGTTTTGAGTGTGAATGACAACTGAGCATGTAAGCGTGGGCTGAGGGTCTGGGTGTGATCTTGTCTGCTAAGCCCCGTGTGAGTGGAAATCTCTGTGCCGTGTGTGTGTGTGTGTGTGTGTGTGTGTGTGTGTGATGTGCTGAGAACCCCCACCCCAGGGGTCTGTGGGGGCAGATCTGTTTATGTTTCAATTATTTGGTGGGCTAAGCCAGAGCTCTGTGGTTGGGATGCTGGGTCTGGGTGGGAGACAGGGAAGCTGAGGTCCCAAGAGGCCAGGGAAGTGCGCGCGCGCACACACACACACATATCCCCAGGCAGTCAAGCTTCAGGGGCCAAAAACGTATGCTCCAAGGCCAATTTTCCTGCTATGTGTTCTGAGCTCAGCAACGTCCCTCTTTGAAGCCCAGGGCCATCAAGGATGGGGAAACTGAGGCTCTGCTTCTGCAGTGTCTAGGGATTCCAGCCTCTCTGCCACACGGGGCTGAGTCAGCCCAAACAATGGAGGAATCCACCACCCCAAACCTCAGAGTCAATACCGCGGGGGCGGGCGGGGACCCCAGCCAGCCTCCATCCTGAAACTGCCTTCCAAGCAGACCACCCACTGGCTGGGTGGGGCCTGGATACCAAGACATGCTTTTGGAGCTCCATGTAAGTCCTGCCTGTTAGCTGCTTCAAGTTTCTTTAGCTGCAACCAGGACCCTGGGGAGCAGGGAGCTAGGAGATGTTCCTGCCTGACACGGTGATCTTCCTTGGGGGCAGCTTCTGAGGTGAGCCCTCCAGATTCTGGACGTGGATTGGGTCTGGAAAGGATGTGGTGGTTAGAGAGTGATCCTGAACTCAGATGTGTGGGAAAGGGGCGGGGGTGTGTGTCTAGGGAAATAGTGAAGGAGAAAGGGGGATGTTCCCTTGGGAGCCCCCAGTCTGAGGGGCTGGAGAGGAAGGGTCTACGCCCTCATCTGCCCCTCTTCAGACCGTGGGACCGCTGATCCCTCCCTGCGCTCTGGAAACTCAACACCCTGCGCCCTTCCTTGGCCTGCCAAACATCAAGGTGACACTGCGGGCAAATCTAAACACCGCGCAGCGCTTTTTCCATCCTCCGCCAGGGGCTCCTCATAAATCCCCCTCGAATTCCGGCCAGGGTTTTTATGGACCTAGATCCCTGGGGACCAGCTCTGCCCCAGCAGACGCCGGTTTGGGGCTGGCGCCCTCCCCAGACCTATCCCCACAGGGAGATGGACAGCGCGTGTGTATTTTTAGCTAGTAAAGGGAGATAGCGGCTTGAGTTCATTCTTGTGAGGGCTGACCCGGCCCGCCGGGTGAGGGAGTCCGGGGTTCTCTGCAGAGGACTCCACCTTCCCCTACCAATTTCAGTTCTCCCCTCTCCCTTCCAGGAGCATATATTGTGTGGAGGTGGGGATGGGGACACATTGGGGAGCCTGGGTCCAGCAGGACCTGTCTCCTCTTCTACATTGTGACTCCATCTTTCCTCCTCAGAAGCACATCTTGCTGGGATACGACGTGCTGGGAAGAAGCACTGGGGTCTGCAGGGAAGTGGGAAGGACAGTACCTGTCGACATTGCCCCCGTGCATCCCATTTTCCCACTTGTACTCAGGAAACAGGACCCTCTTTGGATCTTTCCTTTCCCTCAAAGCAAACGAAACCTCCCCACCACCCTGCAGCTGACACCCGCACCCATCCCCTTTTCCCAGTGGGGATGGCACCACTTCCCCACATGTCCGCCTGCCCCTCCAAGAGGCGGCCAGCCCTGGTGCGCACAATCAAGACCCAGCTCGATTTTCCACACTTTATCTCTGTACAGTCATCGCAAGAGTCCCGAGGCCGCGGCGGCATCTTCTGCGCATGGGCAGTCTGTCGCGGGGTTTGACAGGCGCGACTGCGGGTACCGTCGGGGCAGGGGAAGTGGCCACCGTCTGGCCGGGGCGGTGAGGTAGGGTCACACGCAGGCGCACTCGCGCGCCGACAGCTCGTGCACCGTGTGGTAGCGGCTGTGCGTGTCCAGGAAAGACACTTCGTCCTCGTAGGCCGTCGGGCGGCAACAGGGTTGCGCGCGTACCTTCTCCCGCCGCACGCGCCGCCGCTGGCGCAGGCGCCGCAGACCCTGGTCGTAGAAGCGCGCAGCCGCCTCGCAAGCGCCTGCGCAGTAGCGGAACAGCACCGTCTCTTCCGATGCATAGCCCAGGCCCAACTCGCTCACGCGCACCTCGAGCTCGCGCAGCCCGCACGGCCGTGTCCCCGACCGCGCACGCGCGCGCCTCCGCCGGGGCCCTGCCCGACGGCGCGGACTTGGGGACCGCCAGGCCCAGGGATTCAGTTCGCGCAGCTCCACGGCGTCCGGGGCGCCCTGCAGCAGTGCACGGTCTGCAAGGGGACGGGAGGGAGAGAACGGTGTGGGAATCAGTGGGTGGGCGGGAGAGAGCCCCCCCCCCACCCTTGCTGCTCCCCTGCAAAAAATGACCCTTGAGGGGACGCCAGCGTATCTCACAGATTCCCTGCCATGCACCCTCTCTGGGAGGTGTTGGAGAGGTGCATATCCAGACCCCCACTCTGGGCCCCCAAGGTTACGGACACCCCTCTCTGGACCCTGCCCTATGTTGAGCTGCTCAGAGGCTGGCTAACCCTTGCTGGGTGCCCTGGACCACTTTCCAGCCTGTCCCACATGAGATGATCTGATCTGAGTGTCTCAGCCCCTGTGGGCACCCCCAACACTGTCTGTGGATCCCATTCTTATGCTGGGCTGCCCCAGGGCACTGACACATCCTCTAACCAGTATTGGAATGCCGCTTCCCCCACTCCAACCCCTCACCCTTTAGCTGAGCTGCATGAAGTCTCTATTTCACTCTCTGGATCCCCAGCAAAGCCCCAAATTCTTTGAGCCCCTGGGCTGCTCACAACTCTTCACCCTGTATCTGCTGCTCCACTGTGTTGGGGCTTCTCAGAACACACAGAGGAGCAGCAGGCATTGAGGCCTGCCTATGAGGCCTGTGTGGGGGATCCCACTCCATGGGGTGGCAGCAGCTTTGTCAGGGCCATTCTTAAGTTATAGGTAAGGAAACGCAGAGACTTGGCCAAGGCCACTCCACTAGCAGGTGGCAGTGAGAGAGAGAAACCCAGACAACATTCTTCCCACCTCCATCAAGTACCCAAGTTTGGCCCAAGTTCAGCCCTCTTCTCCCACAGTTGCCAGGAGGGGCCCAGAGACACAGAATCCCAGGATCCTGCAGCCCAAATTTATTTCCTAAGAGGCTGGCCCTGCCCCAGTACAGTAAGTCCTTACTTCATATTGTCGGAACTGCGGCGAAACGACAAAGAATGAAACCAATTTTACCAAAGGCTAATTGATATAAACAGGAGTTAAGTTCCTATGGCATCTCATCATTATAACAAAACTATGTTCAAGGAAATGACTTTATTCGAGGACCTGTTGTACTCCACAGCCCCAGGAGAGAAGTGCAGACTTTGGAACAGCTGGCAGGAGGCTCCCAGCTTTGGACAGGTTGCCGTCACAGGTTGGGAGAGTATATCTTGTGTTTAGCCCCCATCTGCCCCTAAGGCTTGTGCACCTGGCTGTCAAAAGAAGTAGCTTACCCTGAGGGTGTTTGTTTCCACAGCAGGTCTCAGAAAACAGACAAGCCCAGATTCTGAGCCTAGCTCTGCCACTCTCCTTGTACAGCTTTAGGCAGGTGATGGCCCTGCTCTGCCAGTATCCCTGTCTGCTCAATGCAGCTTGCAGAGTCCCCGCTGTGGTTGTGGCTGGGAGGGTGGGAAATGAGGGATGAAAGAGCAGCCTTTTCTTTCATTTTTGTTAATCCACACTGGAGGATATTTTGATTTTTAGAGAGTGGAAGGTACAGAGGAAGAGGGGAGAGAGAGAGAGAAACATCGATGTGAGAGAGACACATCAATTGGTTGCCTCTAGCATGACCCCAACCAGGGCCAGGGATCAAACCTGCAACCCAGGTACATGCCTTTCACCGGGAATTAAACCTGAGATCCTTTGGTCGGTCCGAAGGCCAACGCTTTAACCACTGAGCCAAACCGGCCAGTGTGAGCAGCCTTTTCCAAGTTCTTGCAGCCCAGGAGCCAAACTGGGAATATCAGCACTGTCTGCACTGAGGTTAGATTTGGGCCTGGCTCACTTTTGGTGCCTAAAACTCCACCATTTAGTGTGCACACCCCAAGGTGTGCATCTAGAGAGTTATTTGGGGGGTTGTCAGATGAAATACAGATGACCAGTTAAATTTGAATTTCAGATAAACAGTGAATAATCTTTTAGTATAGCTGTCCCTGCATCCCTCCAGCAGGCCTGGCCATGTGCACAGGGTCTGGAATGCAACGAGATGAGATCTGCACCAACCAACCCCGCCGCCCCAAGCCTGAAATTCCACCATCAGCTCATTAGTCCCAGGGCCTTGGGGGGGATCAACAGCCACTCCCTTTCCCCAGTACAGCTGGTCCCAGGGACAGGACACAGGGCTGGCAGGCACTCACCCATGGGCCAAGACCATTCCCAGTGGATTCCACCGTTGGTGCTTTGTCCCCAGGTCCTGGAGTGCTAGCTTTTGGGAGCCCCACCCAGGTCTCTAGGACCCAGTGTCCTGGGAAGGGTTTCTCTGCTTACAAGGGCAAATGGTGGGGATGGAAGTGAAGTCTGTGCCGGAGGCCACCCTTGTCCATTGTGAGGACAAGAAAGAAGGACTGTGTGGTCTGGCACGGGTGTGTGCACACAGCCCCCAGCTGCGGGCGCCATGCATGCGCCCAGCCTGCACCCACACCCCAGCCGCCCACACAGAACTTGCAGAGGGCAGGCGCCAGGGGCAAGTGAGGAGTTGGGCCAGGTGGCCATGCTCCCCAGGTGGGAATTTCAATTCTCTACCCCACTGCCCTTTGCAAGTCTGTCTCTCCCACCTTTGTGTCTGCCTCTGTGCCTCACAATATCCGTCTTTTCCCCCCATGTCTAGATGTCTAACTGTTTCTAGGTCTCTGTCTCCCCCTCTTCTTGGTCCCTATCAACCCATGCAGGTCAGTGGGGCCTTGGGTCCAGCCTCCCCCACCTCCTGATATTCTGCAGGATGGGAGGGGAGGCACCCTGCCGAGTTCCTAGGTCTAATCTCCATCTGGCCCCCTGGCCCCTGAGGGACAGAGCCTAATTCCTTGTGACAGCTGAGCCAAGAGACCCCAGTTCCCAGGAGCCATCTCCCACACACACATCCTGCCAGGCCATTGGGGGATTTGCACCCTTCCTCCCCTCATCTTTAAAAAAGCCTCTGTGGCCTGGTTCCACTGCCTCAAATTCCACTAGTATGGCCACCCCTATGTTGGGGGTATCTGACCCAAGACCAAGGGAAGGGCTTACACTGGGCCAGGCGGGCGATCCGGGCGTCCAGGGTGCGAGGTGGCCGGCGCAGCGGGGCTAACGCGGGTCCGAGGTGATGGCTGAGGAGCAGTCCGTCCCGACACATCCAGATGGAGAGCACAGAGCTGCAGAGCACCGAGGCCAAGGCCGCTGCCTTCCAGCGCTGCATCCTCGGCCTGTGGGCACGGGATGGTCAGCCAAATGGCCTCAGTCTGCCAGGCAACAAACAGGCATGGAGCACTGGGCCAGGCACTGGGGACACAGTGGGGCCCATAATTTTGAATGACTACTGCTTAATGATCAATAATATCAGACATGATTCAGCAAGGAATCATGGAACATGGTTGTGAAAAATGCTGCTAAGGAGGGGTGGGTGCTATGCCATGGGTATCAGGGGAACTGCCCTATCTGTGGGTCCCAGAGTACTTTCTGAGGCTTGAGGAAAGTTGAGACTTGAACAAACGTAGCAGTTGGCCAGGCAGAAGGGAGTGGCATCTCGAGCAGGGGGAACAGCCAGTGCAAAGGGACTGAGGCTGAACCAAGGTTGGCCAATCCAGTCAGGATGCTGGGGTGGCTGGAGCCCAGTGTGTTTAGAGAAAGAGTGAAAGGTGAAGGAATTCCCAACAGGGGGCACTGTGGGACAAAGGTGGCCAGAAGACTGCTGCTTAGAATAGTCCCTACAGTACTGGGGAGGCAGGAACCCTGGAGTTGAGACTTTGTTCCCTACATATGATGTCCTTGGGAGTGACTTGCTGCCCCTTTTCAGAGCCTGGGTTTACCCTCCAGATAGATAAACTGATGCCCACCAAGGGGCTGTGGATGAACCAAAGCTGCTCACCACCCATTTTGAGGCTATTGCACAAGCCGGTGCTTCCATCCAGAACACTCATCTCTCCCTCCCTACTCCTATTCCCCTTTCAGTTTCAGCTTAGGCCAGCACCTCCCCCAGGAAGCCTTCCCAGACTGCTGCCCCCGCCCTGCCCTGAGAGTGCCCTTGGTGCTGTCTGGGAGCCTCGTGCTTACTGCATACAGTAGGTGTTTAACAACCCTCGTGAACCCCCACTCCCCCACCGAGTCGGAGCAGTTCCCAGCCGCCTGGTGGCCCCTAGCCCGCGTTTACATTCCCCCACCCGGCTGCCTGGTGCTGGCCTGCGCGGGGCCTGGCGACAGGCCCGGTGTAAACATTTACACAGAACTGCTGAAAGCCAGGCTGGACGCGGGTCAGCGCCTGGGCTGGGCCACGGGGTGTCGGGCGCCCCCAAGCGCGCACCTCAGAGCGCAGGCTGCTAGCCCAGGCGCAGAGCAGTTATTTGCGTGTGATATGTATTTCGTTTTCGTGTTGTTTGCTTTTTCATTTGCCTGTGATTTGTGTAGGCCTGGCTGTGCGTGGTTACACAGTGCTCTCCTACTCTCCCGGGTCGCCTGGATGCACGGCACAGGACTACACCACCAGACAGTAACAGTGGGCATTTATTAAGTACCTGCTCTATACCAGACCCAGTGCTGAGCCCACCGACAGGGGCACTATTATCTCCATTTTACAGCTGAGGAAACCGAGGCAAAAACAGATAGGGAGGGCCTTTGGCTAGAAAAGGACCAGAGATTCTAAGGCAGGTTTTTAATACGACGCACATCACATGGGCTGTGCTGTACTGTGGAGTCACCCAGAGAACTTGCCATTATTTGATACCACAATTTTTATTACTGTTGGTGGTGGTGGTAGAGAATGAGCTCCAGACATGGGGATGTATAAACAAAGCCTGGGCCAGCCTGGATATCTGAGAGCACAGCACTTGCAAAGGCCCTGGGGCAGGACCAGGCTTGGCTTGTTGAAGGAATAGGGAGGAGCTGGAGCAGAGTGAGGGAGGGGAGGTGACAGGGCAGGTCCTGCAGGGCCTTGTGGCTGTGGAAAGAATATTTCATTCTCAAGGTTGTGCAGCAAGCAGAGGTCAGCCCATTCATCAGATGCCCAAACCCACACCCTTTATTCTTAATGAGCACCTACTTTCTGCCAGATCTTGTCCTACAAACAACACATCGTCATTCAACCTCACAAGAGTCAATCCCCATTTCACAGATGGGGAAACTGAGGCTTATAGTCACATGACTTACCCAAGGTCAGAGAGCTGGTAGGGGGAGATGGCAGAGAAACCCATCCAGACTCAAGACCTGGGTGGGCACAGCTTTCTCATGACCCCAACACCCTGCTTGCGCTCACACCCAAGTCTTGGAGTGGTGTGCCTCGATTTCTGCGTTAGGTTGGAACAAGGCCCCTGCACAGCACCAGGCTGTGGTCCTCTGTCTCTGCTAGGACTTAAGTGGGGCCTGAAAGGGTGGATGAGACACCAGCCAAGAGATGGCCTGGCCACAGGAGTCCCCCCTCCTAACCACCCTCCTCCCCATGGCCTTGAAGTGCTAGACCCACCAGAGCTCTGATGGGGGACAGGAAAGCAGGGGGGGCTGACTGTGGAGGGGGCCCAGCAAGCCAGCTGATAAGAATCTGTTAACAATGGGTCTTTCTGTAAGGGGGTCACCCAACTGGTTTGTCTCTGGCACAGACCTGACTGGGAGGGGGTGATGCGGGTGTGGCGGAGGGCACAGGGGAAGGGCCAGGTGTGCTTGTATAATGGAGGCCTCTAGACCTGGGGAGGTGGGTGCCCTCACAGCACATTTGGGGCACAAACTCACACCCAGCATTCTTATTCTTTCACACACTGTATCCCACTCACACATGGGTGTTTCCCCACACTCCCAAACACTATCCCATTTACACACTCAGTGTTTTCATACTCACAATCATGCATTTAAACATTTTCACACACATCAGAACGCTCACATTCACACATTTGAGCACTATCACTCACATTTTGGAGTTCTCACACTTATACCCAAACATAATCAAGCTCACACACTAGGGTGTCTTCACACTTCTACTCAACATTATCACATATTTGGATGTTCTCACCCTTAATCTCTGAACATGACACACACTTGAACATAATCACACACTCATGTTTTCACACTCACCCAAACAAGATCACACATACACCCTTGAGCATTATCACACCACATGAATGTTTCACACTCACACTTGGGCATTTTTAGACTCATGCATGACACCTGTACACCATGACGTGCACGTGCTGGTGTGTTTCACACTCATGCACTTTCACACTTGGACATTTTACCTCACACTCAAATATGATCACACTTGAACACTACCATGCTCGCACAGTAGTGTGACTCTTCATTCTGGCTACATGCTCACACACACAGGGGCACATACATGAACACACCCTCGGTGCCATTGGGTCCTCGGTTGCAAAGATCCCAGGGGACCAGTGAACAGCACACACGGTGGGCTGTGAGTGAGGCACGTGGACATGGAGGAGGCAGAATAACCCAGGAGAGAACTGCCCTACCTTGACTACTGGTACCCAGCCCAGGTCCACACCTGCTGGCATTTCATGTGCCACCCACACTGCCCAGACAGGGACTCGCCAGTTCCTTTCCCAGCCCTCAGACAATATCCCTGGAGAGTCCTCACTATCAAGGGAAGGGAGTACCCTCCCTTCTTGGGGGCCAAGCCAGTCTGAACTGCAGCAAGAGGGATTGAGGCTAGACCTCCACCTCTAGCTAGAGGCCACATAATCTCTAGGGCTGGGGTGGAAAGGCTCAGAAAGGGGCAATGAGTGGCCCAAAGTCACACAACCAGCTAAGTCCTTCCAAGCATCCGAGGAGCACACAGTCAGGATGAAGGTGTGTGGGTGTTTCTGGCAGCTTCCTTGGTGGTGCCAGGAAATGCTGCTCATTAACCTGGTGTCCAGGCAACACTCTGGGGCTCCGCCTTTCCACAGAGCTTCCCAGGGACATCCACCAGGCATACCTGTTCCCAGGGTTAACAGCCTCTGTCTTGCAGAGCTCCTGGCCTCAGGGAGGCACCTGCTTCATGCTTGTTCCCAGGGTCAGAAAGGACGAAAGATGACCCCTCCCTCAATCCACTCATTGCTGTATACTGGGCGAGGCCTGAAATTGGGACCTGTCTCCATTGGGCAAACTCCTACTTATCCTTCAAAGCTCTAGCTCCTAAAGCCCCTCCTCCAGGAAGCCTTCCTTGCTCCCAATCTTGGCATTCTGGCCACAGGTCCCTCCTTCTTGTCAAGCCCTGCAGCATATGTCTATCTTTTCTAGAGTAGAGGTTTCTGGAGGGGCGGTCTGGGCTGGGTTATCTCAATAATTCCGTTCACAAAGGCATGAGCTGCTTGCAGCTCCGCAGTCTCCATGTTTTTGATGCCTCCCTCCATGTGCACCCTTTTCCTTCCTTTCTTCCTCAGTCCTGAACATATCCCTGGTCCTTCCATAACTCGGTTTCCCCATCTTCAGTAACTGGGGGTGGCTGGCACATTCAAGAGAGCATGTGTCTGTGAACACTGTAGCACATGGGCTCCGGACAGTGGAGTTTGGATCCCTGCTCTACCTCTTACTGACTGAGTAACGTGCTCCTCCCCATCTCTGAGCCTCAGTTTTCCCATCTGTACAACGGACTACTTAGTTCACCCTCCCTCATCTGGAGGATCATTTAATTAATTCAGTGAAGTTCTGCAGACCCAGCTGACAGCAACAGCTGGGCCCAATCCTCAGTCACACATGCTTGCACACCCTTGCCTCTGTTTCCCCATCAGTGTGGACAGCTCCAGGCTTGGCAGCTGAGCCTGTTCCTAGGACAGCCATACTTGTCTCCTTTCCCCTAGATGGTCTCTGGGGGGGTCTTCTGGGGGTCCACTGATGGGGAAACTGAGGCCCTATGACAGGCGGGACTTGGACCTCTCTCAAGGCAAGACTCAATGGTTCTGCAAAACAAGAAACAAATTCTGCAGCCCACAAATATGTGTCCCCTCCCTCAGAGGGCCCCAGGGCCCAGCCCCACCCCATGGTGGGGATGGGGAGGCCAGGGCAGCCTTGAGCTGGCAACACACATCTGGGGGTAAACCAGGAACATCTGGCTGGCACAGCTGGTTGTGATGCTGCATCTGCAGGGATCGGGGGCCAGTCTGTGGGACCGCCTCATGGCAGGCACAGCAGACTCTCTCAGCAGACTTTTCCAGTCCTGGCCAGAGGTGGGGGCGTAGCCTCTCCTTTTTTTCCCCCAACCAAGGAGCTGCCTGCTGCCCAACTATTAGCACCCCTGCTGGCTCCCTGCTACTCTGAGAATCAAGTGTCAGCCCCTGAGCTTATCTTAAGGGACTCTGGGTTTGTGTTGGCCAAATTGTAGCTGAGAAGTAGACAGACAGAGAGTGACATCTGGGGAGGACTGTGCTGGTTGCTTTGTGATAATAACAAAAGGAAAATAATAGCTAACAGTAACCCTAGCAAACAACACTACTGGTGTAAGTACTTTACACATAAAGTCTCATAGCAAGGTATAGACTATTTTATTTGTAGATTGTGAGGTCCAAAGAAGTGAAGTGACTTGCTTAGGGTTTAACAGAGTTTAAGTGGGATCTGAATACAAGTGGTTGGGCAAACTCCTACTCATCCCTCAAAGCCTCAGGCCCAAAACCCTTTCCTCCAAATTCTTAATCACTGTACTATCTGGCCTCTCTAACAATAACATTAACTCCCGGCAATGTTGGCTATTCCATTTATTTAGTGTCAAGCACTGTGCTAAGGGCATTCTATATGTTTAATTCTCCCCACAGTCCCTAGAAAAGATGCTATTATTAGCCCCATTTTCCACATAAGGAAACAGGCTTGGAGAGGTAGAGTGACTTGTTCAAATAAGTGGTTGAGTTGCAGTTGAACCTGGGTCTGACTCCTGATTTGTTCTCTCAATGCCTCCACAATTCCTGGGCTCTGGGTAACAGGGGTAATGCTGAGGGGAAGAGGAGACATAGGGAGGGTATGATAGGCTCTGCTGTTTGGGGAAAAATCGGGGCTGAGCTTCAGGGAAGTAAGAGGTTTCCTCAAAAACACACAGCAGAGCAGAACCAAGTAAATAAAAGGCCAGATGGCAGAAAGCCCAGAGAACCAGGCTGGGCTCTGCCCCTAACACATTAGCTCAGCAAACACTTATGGAGCCCCTACTGTGTGCTGGACCAGGCAGAGAACTCAGAATGAACAAGGCTACTCTGGGCCCCACCCTGGCCAACTCACTGTCCAATCAAGTCAATGGGTGATAAATAAGAAATAAATATGGTAATTTGGATGTTGACAGTGCAACAACAACAAAAAATAAAACAAGGTGAAGCAATAATGCAGGGGGGGGGGGAGCGCACTGCTTTGAGGTTGAGTGGTCAAGGAGTGCTTCTCAGAGGAGGCAGCAGTGAAAATCTGAGGAAAGCATTCCAGGTGAGGAATCTGCAGGAACCAAAGCTGGGAAGCAGGACTGTGCCTGTTCAAGGTGACCAGTTTGACTAGAGCAATGGAACCAGGGACAGTACAGAGAGATGAAGTGGGAGAGGTCACAGGGGCCCTGTGACCTGTTTGCAGGGTCAGTCATCCATTCTCCACCAGTGCCTGGAGCCCTCTTCCTGCACCCACTGCTGTGTTCTCTGGAAGACTGGGCTGGGGAGTGTGTGTGTGTGTGTGTGTGTGTGTGTGTGTAGCTTGGGGCCACAGCTTTTCGGACCCACCATTTCTAGCCCAACCCTCTGTGGCTAAACCGTAAAGTTCCCACCCATCTTGACCACACCAGGCTGGTCTGGGGCTGGCCCTGCAGGCAGCTCGGGCAGGGGCTCCCTAGGGTAGGATAACAGGATCAGCCTAATGAGGCCTGGCACAGCACACAGCTGAGCAGCTGGCACGGGGCCCAGAAGGTGGCATGAGGGATGTGGGTTTTCTGAGAGTGGCCAGGACATCACACAAAGCTGGTCAATGGACAGAAAGGGACAGTGAGGCACAGGCCCCAGGCACAGCTTAAATCCTAACACTAGTTTCCTGGGAACCATGGTATTTGAGTCACTTCTTCCATCTCCCCAAGTTCAAATGCTGCCCCAGGTCCCCAACACACTGAGCTATTTATGCATGAATGGTGTTCTCTCTCTGGACCTCACTTTCTCCATCTGGGAAGCGAGATCCACCTGCTGCCAGCAAAGTTCCCTTCTCTCATTTCTACCTGCCCCAGGTCCCTCTGCCCTACCTTGGGAGACCAGTCAAGATACATCTGCAGAGGAATCCCACAGCAGAGATGATTAGGCCCACTGCTACCACATGCATTAAAGACTCATTCCTTTCTCCTCTGTATTTCCAGTCCCCACCTCAAGTAATCTATCTTTGAATGCCCCAGCCCAGAGCTCCCTCTGCTAACCTTTCAGAGTCTCTCCTTCCCATACTCACCCGGCACCCTGGATTTGCCACAACCAGCCAGCCTATTCTTTCCTGACTCTACATCTTTGCCTGTGAAGTTCCTGCCACTGGAATGCCCTTTGTAGTCCCACTTAGAAAACTCCTACTCATCCTTCACAGCCCCAGCTCCAATGCTCCTCCAAGAAGCCCTTCCTGACTACCCTACCCTAAGATAGAGCCTTTGTTCCCCGCTCTGGGCTCCACCCTTGGTCTAAGTTTGTTGCCCTTGAAGAACAGAGCTCAGGAGCCCTGACACCAAACAGTCAGCCATACCATTTCTGTCCAACAAACATTTGTTGAAACAATCTCTTGATTGTGTCTTTGTGCCTGGCTACAAACTGTTTGGTTCCTTCTCCTGTTCTAGACTCTTTATTTATAACCTCTGCTCCTTTCCTGAAAACTGAAGCCTGAAACTTGAGGGACAAGCACTGATGATGGAATTTTAGACACTGCGCCCAGCTGCAGAGGGGGTTTGTTTGGTTTTCTTCCTTGCAAACCCTAGAACCAGCTCTTTGCAACTCGCTGTCAGTAGGCTGGAAGGCCCAGGAGTGGCTTCGAAATCCTAATCCTCAGGAGTCCTGGGATGAAGGGAGTTGAGAGGGGTGTCCAAAAGGCCTTAAGGCAAGGGACTGAGGGTAGGGGGGAAGCTGGCAAACTGGGAGTCTTCCCTCCACTGACATCCGCCTAGACCAGTCACGCCCCATTGGGGCTTCCTCAGCCTGGGGCACTTGAAGACAGACAAAGAGTGTCATGGAACACAGAGAGAAGGATGTTGGGCAGGGAGAGGGCAGGGCAGGCAGGCAGGAGTGAGGAAATCAGGGGTCCAGCCTCCTATGCCCCCCTTACAGGCCCCTGGCCCTGCTCCCAGGATCTGGGCTGGTGGCCCAGCCTTGCAGGTAACCACAGGCCCCTAAACAGGACCAATAATACCACAATACATGCTGGTGCTTCCTGGGGAGGGGGCAGTAGTGACAGCAACTCCTGGGAGGGGCCATTTCTCCCTCCTCCCATCCCAAATCTGCCCACTCTCTACAGCTCCTTGGCCAGAAGAATCCTAATTCCCAAACCACTCCTCCTGGGAGAATTTTGAGACTATCCTGAACAAGATAATGCCTCTTTCAAAAAGCAAGAAGGCAAGGCACAGCCCCTTCTTCTTCAAATCCGGTTTTGGCCCCTAGGACAGCCCCCCACCCCCCAAAAAAGGGTTTTGCGCCCTCTTGTGGCTGAACAAGTGGCTCCAGGAGCCAAGAGAGCCCGGCCCTTACCGGAGGACACCGTGTCCCCGGCGGCGGCGGCGGCGGCGGCGCGCAGGGAACGCGGCTGGAACGCACCATTGACAGATGTTTACTTCGCGCAGCTGGGCCGCGACGGCAGCCCCCCGCCCAGGGTCTGCGGGATCCGGATGCCCCTCACGGCCCCTTGTAGACCAAAAGTCAGAAGGGGTGTCTGCAGCTCTCTTTCCTAAAGGCTGGGGAGGGGATTCCGAAGGCTGCCTCCCGCTTCCACTCCTCTTCAGGCGCACACATGGGGGTCGGAGGCAGAGGTGCGCCCGCCCCGTCGGACCGGGAGCCGCCCCCCCACCCCCCAGATCCTGACTTGGAGAGGCGCTTAATTAAGATCGCCCTCCCCACCCCGCCCCTCCACCACGCGGGGACCTGTTGCCCCTTGACCCTATCCTCGCACAGACGCCGGTTCTCGGCCCCGGGAGCGAAGCTACTGTTCTACCCCAAGTCTTAGAAACCCTCCAGGCTCCAGTCTATGGAGCCGGCCCTCTCCCCACCTCGGTCCCCTGTGGGCCCCCCGCTTGCCCTTGCTTACCTGCTGGTGCTCCCTACTACCCGTTAGTGGCGGCTTCGCCTGCCGCCCGCGCCGGCCCCAACCCCTGCCGCTGCGACCGCCATTCGGGCCGCCTGGGCCCGCGGCGCCTGGGGGGGCCCGGGCCTGAGGGGGCGGCCGCGGGGGGGGCGCGGCGCGGGCCGGCCCATGGGGCTCCCCCGGGCTCGTTCAGCCGCGGGCTGCCGCCATCCCGGTCCGGCGGGGACTGGAGCTGGGGATGCCCTGGACGGCCTGCGGCTCAAAAGGCGCGGGGGGCGCACGGGGGGCGCACGGACGGCGCGGGCGGCCTCGGTGCGCGGCGCGGGGCTTCGGGGCGGCAGAACGAGGGGCCGGGTACTCTGAGCCGCCTCAAGGCGCGCTCTCCCGCGGCCTCCGCCGCGGACGGCTCGGCCGGCGCGGGACGGAGGCGGGGCTGGGGGTGGGGCTAAGGGCGGTGGCTCGGGTTTCCCGGGACGGGAGCCGCCCTCGCCCCGCCCCCGCCCGATGGGGTCGCGGGAGCGCAGGTGGCAGGGGTGCCAGGGCTACAGCGCCCCCTTAGACGGCGATTTCCCCGGGCCCTGTTGAGCCCGGCAGCGCTGCTGTGGGAAAGTGGGTCCCAAGACATCCCCTCCTCAAGGGTCCCTCCTGAGATAAAAAGGACAGCGCCCCGACGCCAGTGTCCGCGGCTCTCAGCGCGCCACCCCCACACTCTCATTACACTGAGGACCTGACCTTACTGTCAGACTCCCGGGTCCTGCCTGGTCCCCTTTCGCAAAGCAAGGTCCTAAGAAGTCCCCTCACCAAGGAAGCCCCTGAAGGGAATTCTCAGAGCAGTGCTCCCTTCAATTTGCTGTTTCCCACGCCCACTCCAGTGACCCCGACGGCACATCTTCGGTAAATCCGGGGCTCCAAGATGACGCCCAGATTCCCCTCAGGACAATAAAAAGTCACAGAACTCCATCCCCTTGAGGATGGTGGGGTCCCCTTGTCCGTCCCCAGGTCCTCTTTCTAGAAAGCTAAAGAAACCTCTCCGGAGAAAGCCATTCCAGAGAACTGAGAGCCAAAGTTTTTCCCTAAGACAAGTAATACCCTAAGACTGACGACTGCCGTCCACAGAGCCTCCATCAAGTGTTATTTCCCTCCAATTTGGCCTCAGAGCCCTGCGGGGAATCCCTTTCCCACCCGTGGCTCCCGATGGAGCCCTCGTGGGCACCAAGACCAACAGCCAGGGAGCTCAAACCCACCGGGTCCCCTCCCCGACGGCTCCGCGTTCCCACAGCGCCCCCTGGCGGCCCCAGCGGGCTAGAGGGCGTGGTTGAAGGGGCGGGGGCGGGGCTGGAACCGTGGTGTCCCCGCCCCACCCTGGCCTAGTTACCGAGCTCCGCGCCCAGCCCCAGCGCTCAGGCTCCTGCCCTCGCCGTCCCGGCTGGCGCCTGTGTTCTTGGGGCCTGGTGCTCAGGTTTTTTACTCCCGCCGCCTGGTTTCTTGGGTCCTCCTCATTCTGGCCCTGGCCTCTTCCATTCTTCTGATACCAGCAGCCCGGGGTTATGAGCATTAGGCTCTTGTAGGACCCCACTCCCCATTCCCAATACACTCATACCCCTGGGGCCCATACAACTTGTGCTACTGAGCAGTGTACATGGTGACGTGGGGGGGGGGGCACTCAGGCAGCCTCACCCCGTTATGTATGAGCTCAAGCGAGTTTGGGATGGATGGGTGTGCGCATAGCGCATGCGCACGGTGCGGTGCAAGTGCAAGCGGCATGTAGGTGGGAATGTGACTTGAGAAGGCGCGATTGTGAGCGTGGGTCAGAGTAGTGGCGCTGCAGCGGCTACCCGGTCCCACTCCAGGATGGAAAGTAGAGGGGTCTGTTCTTTGTGTGGTTTGAGCCAGTACTTCGCCTCTCTGTGCCTCAGTTTCCCCATCTGTATTATTAGATCCTCATCGGATTGTAGAAAGGACCTGTGCCAGTCTCGTGGTGAGCAATGTCCAGGTGTCCTTCATCATTGGTGTTGCCAAGTGCTCACTCCCAGAGACACCCACACCCTCAGGAGGGAAGGGCATTGCACTGTTGGCCATTCACACAGAGATTCCCCAAACTTTTGTTCCAGGCAGGGTCACACCCACAACCATGCCTGTTCTCACACATAAGCGCTATCCTTAACACACAGCAGTCACAACCATCTACATCCTCCTACGCGGACATGCACTGATGCTCACACTCATACAGGTATTCTTACTGTGCGCGCATTTGGACACACTCACACACACAGACACAAAGCTCACACTGCCCCAACACATGCACACACACAGTTTCCCATAGTGACACAGACACATGACATTTATGCACTTATCAGCCCACTGTCCTTCAGAGTAGCTGCAGGGGGCAGAGTAGGGTTGCACGCACACTTGGCACATGGTTGCACACTCCCATGCTGCCTGGTGCTGGCACACACGGAGCTCACACAAAAGCCAGAGATGCTCACATGCCATCCTGAACACAGGTTGTCTACCCCACAGCCACACACGCAGAGGAAGCATGGAGACGTTGTCGAGTGTGCACACGTGCACTGAGCCAGTCTAGGAGGCATAGCTCCCCTGCACACACCAAGCCCTGCCAGGAACTTACCCCCACCCCACCAGCCACATTAAGCTGTCACCAGTTGCCCCCTGACCACCTCTTGTTCACCCCACACCGCCTGTGTCCCCCTCCCCACTGCAGTTGGGGCCTTAGGGGAGGGGTCATGCAGGCACATGGGGAGCAGGACACGCACATGTGCCTACCATGTGGACGCTCATAAAACGGTTGCCCTGGCAACAGCAACTTGAAAGACTTGGTTCTTCCTCTGGAGTGGGTGGGACAGAAGATAGAAGGTGGGGACACCAGGATCCACACCCACCTTCCACCAAGGGTGTGTGTCACACTCAAGGATACACACACTGATACAAACACATGTGGAGGACACTCTGTTACACTCACAGTCCCAGAGATCCAGCTCTGCTCAGGGCCAGCCCCACATGGTCACATGAGACTGGCGTGACATCCTCACACACCACTGTGTCACCTCACACAACCCAGCACCCTAGCCACTCTCTGTCACCAACCCACACAGTTTTTCACCCCCTGGACATGTGGTAACACAGACTCCTTATCACACTGGCTGACTCACACTGCAGCTCGGACAGGGGGTGGATGAGGGCACCCCTGCCCTCCAGCCTCACCCCTTTCCAAGGAGCTGTCTGGGCCTGGCTGCCTGGGAGGCCAAGGGGACTCAGAGACTGGTTGTATGTGCAGGAAGCATGGGTATTTACAATGCTTATTTTTAAACCTCCCTTGTCCCACACTGGGGCCCCTTTGAGGCGGAGTGGGTGGAAATGAGCACTGAACCTCCTACACTAAAAGTGCAGCCCATGGGTCAGGACTGTGGTCTCCCCAGGGCACAGATGTGCGGAAACTGAGGCTTGGCAAGGAGTAGGGGGTCACTCATGGGTACCTGACCCCTATGGCTGGTTTGAGCCTGCCGGCCCCAGGGTCGAGGCTGAGGCAGGGGTGGGACAGTGCTGGGGCACTGGAACTGAGGCTCCTTCACCTGCCTGTGGTATTTGCCCAGGAATTAGTTCTGCTCCTTCACAGGCTCCCGGGATGTCTCCCCCAGGTACTCCAAGCAACACTTCTTTTTCCCCAGCCTGCTCTGTGCCCACTTGGCAGTTTTGAAACAAGGATCAGAGAGGTCAAGACGTTGGCCCAAGGTCACACAGTAAGGAAGAGGCTCAAACCTAGAGTTGGATGACTCTGGAATGCAGTCAATACCCCAGCCACTCCTCCACCTCTGTCCCGCAGGGCTGGCCCCCTGCCCTTCCTGGGCAGTCACTGCTCCCAAGGGGAGTATTCTGTTCAAGGGTAGAGGCCCAGGCAGAGGTTGTGGGAGTCTGGCAGCCGCTGGCCAAGACTCGGACTTGGCTGGTGGAGAAGTTTCCATCTTAGTGTCAGGAACTGGTCCAGACTCCTCAAACCCAGGACTGCACCTCAGGACCCCCAGGGACCAGCCCTACAGGGAGGGGGTGGCCTGGTACCCTCTTTGTCCTCTATCCCTTCAGTGGTTCCCAGTCAGAGCACTGGCCATCTCCATACACTAAGCATTGCCTCATCCCCCAATGTGCTGGAAACCATGTTTGTTTTGTGTTCAGCACGGGCCCTTGGCAGTGGGTAGTGTCACTCTCCAAGAGGCTCCCCAAAACTAGGCTTCAGGGCTCTGTGACAAAATGATCCTCATCCTGAGCTAGATCATGCTGAGAGTGGGGAGAAAGGCCTCAGCACACTGACAGGGGATAGAGCTGGATATGCACACCCAGCTGGGGTCAGAGCAAGGGTCCCAGGGCCAGAGGAAAAGCCAGCCGGGCTCAGCCAGGATGAGGCCTTTGGGGCTTGTGAGCGGCAGGAAGGAGCTGGCTGGTTCCTGGTGAGGATGAGAAAAGCAAGGATGGTGGCTGTCCCCACAGGGCCATTTCCATCCACAGGTCACAGGTCAAGGGTCCTGTCCCTGGAGGCTCTGGGTAAGCAAGGTGGAAAAGCCATCAGGGGGCAGAGGGAGCTGGGTGGGGGCCAGACCCAGGTTGTGCAGGCACCTGCAGGGCAAGACTGGAGTGAGGAGCTTCCTAGGCTCACACAGGCACAGACATTCCCCCCAAAAGCCACAAGTGTGCACACACTGTCACACACCACACAGACATACAGTAGACACACAGACACACCCCACAGTGATATATACTCAGCAGTGACAGCTGCAAATATGTATACACCATATCACACACACAAATACACAAATGCAAAAGCCATAAATGCGCATACACCATCACATAGTACACACACTCATAGACATACACAAAAGCCACAAATGTGTACACTGTCACACAAACATACAATAGACACACATACAAAAGACACACACTCAAAGACACATAAACATACTCATAAACACACACGCAGACAACTCCATAGTCATTCATATTCAGCAGTCACAGCTGTAAATGTGTATACACCATCATCCTCCCCCAACACACTCATACACACACGCAACAGCCCCAGCTGCTGACGTTCAGCAGCCCTGCAGTGTGTCTACCCTGGCATCCGGCTCTTGGTCACCCGCCTGCCCTGCTGTCTCATGTCCTTGGCCCAGGGCTGCCCTAATCCTGGTCTCGTGTCCTGAAGCAAGAAGATAAGGGGCAGCTGCAGCCCCAGATAAAGAAGGCGCAGCCACAAATCCGGGGCGGCCCAGTAGAGGTGGGCACCAAGCCCAGCTGCACCTGTCTCCCTCCCTGCTGGCAACCCCATCCGGCCTGGCTGAAAGGGACTGAGAAAGGGCAACAGGGAGACAAAGGGGAGGAATGGGGAGAATGCGGAGAGACACAGAGATGCAGAGAGAGACACACAGAGAAAAAGAGAAATGTGAAGAGAGATGAGACAAACACGGAGGAAAAGAAAATACAGAGAAATATAGGAAAGAGACAGAGGGACACACAGAACGAAATACAAAATAAGAACAAAAACAATTGGGGCAGAAACAGGAAGAATAAAAGAGGAGAGGCAGAAAGCTAATGATTGAGAGGAGCACCAGCTGCCTTCCCCAGGCCCTGCCCGAACCCTACCTGGGTGCCTCAGTCTCCCCACCTGCCTCCTTCTTGCTTTGGAGAACAACCCACCCCTGGTTTGGCGGGTGGGAGGGGCATCCTCCTCAATGTCCCCACACTCACCAGGGTGACACCTGGGAGGGGCTCAGCCCCCTGCCACAACCTCAGTGAAGTTGGGACCCAAGAGCAAGTCCTACCCCCTCTGTGCCTCTGTGTTTCCCGTCATGATACGATGTATTCACTCAGGAAGTGTCCATTGAGTACCTACTGTGTGCCAGGCCCTGTGCTGAGTGCCAGGGACACAGAGTGACAGAGGTAGATCCAACTCCCACCGTCTCTGTGCTCACAGTCCAATGGGGAAGATAGATATGTGATAAAGTAGCTTCTAGGATAATCAGAACAGTGATGGGGGACACTCAGGCAACCGCAGAGCCTGCAGGGGCGCATGATCTACCCCAGCAGGGGGCCGCCAGAGAGGTTTCCAGAGGAAAAGGAGGTGAGAACTAAAATGTGAGTGAAATGAGCAAGGTGACTGGGAGCAGGGAATAGACTTCTCGCAAGCTAGAAGAGCACATACAAAGACTAAGGAGGTAAGACTTGTTCGCAGGAAGTCTGAAATGAGTTGATGCATGAGTTTAGGGAGTGAGGAGGTAATAAGAGATGAAGCTGGGGGAGGCTGGGTCAGCCAGGAACTTGGGGGCTGTGGTCCAGGGCTGGGACAGTAGGGAGTCATGGAAGGCTTAGGAGTAGGGCAGGGCCATGGTCAGATGTGTTTTAGAAAGAGCTGCAGGCTCTGGCTGAGTAGCTCAGTTGGCTAGAGCATCTTCCCAATATGCCAAGGTTGAGGGTTTGATCTCTGGTCAGGGCACATATAAGAAGTAACCAATGAGTGCATAAATAAATGGAACAACAAATCAATCTCTCTCTCTCTTCCTCTACCTAAAATCAATAAATCTAAAATCTAAAATCAATAAATAAAAGAAAGAAAGAGTGAGCAAACTGTGGGAGGATGGGCTGTTGGGAGCAGGATGAGAAGACATTGAGGCCAGAAAGGCCGGGTTATGAAAGAGGACACTAACTGGAGAGAGACTCTAGAGGGAAAGTGGGCAGGAAACTCTGGGAGAGGCAGGAGGGGAGGCCAATGCCCTGGTCTCTGGCTCAGTACCACGTGACAGTCCCTAGGCAAGGGACCAATGCAGCCTGTGGATTCAGGTGGAGGTGGGATGAATTCCTGTTCCTTCCACTCATGGTCAGAGAGAGAATAAGTGAGTTAACGCATAAAAAGAGCACACAGTAAGTACTCAATAATGTTTTAACTACTGGTAAAAATATTACTGTACTGTTAAATAATATAGTAGACAATTAATATTATGTCATTCATATTAATATCATGGTTATCAATGGCCAGTCCATAGCCCCTCCCTACTACAGGAAGCCTTCCTGGTTCTACAGAGTGGACAGGCCATCTTAGGGCAGAGCCCTGGAGCCCTGGGAAAGCTCTCCTTGGAGACTGAGACCCAGAGAATGAGGCCCTATTCCTGAGGTCGCCTGCTGTGGGCCTGTTTCCCCACACCTGTCCAACTGTCTCCCCAGTGGTGGTGGGTGCCTGTGGGACGACTGGGGGAGACTACTGATAGAACCAAAGTCGGCAATGGGACGTGGTAGTGAGCTCCCGTCCCTGTAGGAGGGGAAGAGGGGCTAAGCAAGAAGTCTTCCAAGGACTGCTGCGGTTCCTTCCAGTTTTAGGTTCCGGGGTTCCGATGTTTCATTCCTAGACTGTCCTATAGAGGGCAGCCGAGGCCAGTGATGGAAGACAAACGGCTCTCCCGCCCACTTCCATTTCTCCTGACTCTCAGAGAAGCTACGTCAGAGCCTGTGGCCTCAGGAAAACCCTTTCCCTCCTAGGTCCTCAGTTTCCCCATCTGTTACACAAGGAGCACAGTCCCTGCATCACGTTCCTTCCCAGGGAAAGTTTCCTCGTGTTAAGAAGTGAAATGCAAGGGAATCGAAGGGATTGGTCGTTCTCACCTGGCACTGGGTTCAGGTAATTCAGGGCAAGTAACAGTAATAAAGTAATAAGAACAGCAGTCGTTAACATTTATTGTTATTTATTAAATTCTTACCTTCTAAAGAGATACTTGTATCAGGCCCATTTTTATTTCTTTTTGTTTTTTCCTTTATTGAATTTAGAGAGAAAGGAAGGGAGAGGGAGATAGAAAACATCAATGAGAGAGAACATCAATCAGCTGCCTCCTGCATGCCCTCCACTGGAGATAGGGCCCACAACCTAGGCATGTGCCCTGACCAGGAATCCAACCGGTGACCTCTTGGTGCATGGGTCGATGCTCAATGAGCCACTCTGGCAGGGCCCCCATTTTTCTGATAAGATGGAGGCACAGAGAAATTAAACAACGAAGTTCCCAGCTGGTAAGTGGAAAGGCTACGACTGGAGCCTTGCAGGCTGAGTCCAGAGCCCTGACATCTCTGTACTGCATCAAGCTTCTTCCAGAAACAGGGACCTTTAGGTGGGGCACAAGAAGGCACAATGGGGACTGTCAATAGTGACTGGATTCTGCCTTCTTTGGCTGATAGCCCTCCCAACTTCCCTTGGGGTAAAAGCTCAAGTCCTCCTAGCAGTCCACAAGGCCCTCCCTGCCTTCACACACACACTCATGCTCACTCCTTTTTTTGGTACGTGCCCCTACCGGGTTCGGGAACTGAACCCGGGACTCTCTGGTCCCCAGGCCAACGCTCCAACCGCTGAGCCAAACCGGCCAGGGCAACACACCCGCTCACTCTTGTTCCAGCCACATAGGGCTCACTTTCTCCAACACCCAAGGCGCGGTCCGACCTCAGGGCCTTTGCACAAGCTGTTCCCTCCATCTGAAACACTTTTTAAAATTCCCAGCAGGAAAACAAAACACTTCTGCGGGCCGACTGCTGTCCCCAGGAGAATAGTTTGTGAGCTCCTAGAGATCACTGAACATTTTCCAACGTCCCGCCACACAGTGCTCGGCAGTAAATGGAACGCAAAGCCCCACCCCACGCAGGCTCCGCCCCCGATACGTCCACGTGCGTACAATGGCGTCACTCCCAGGCATGCGCACTTCCCCAGCACGAGCGGACAGGACACACGCACGACCCGGAAGACCTTCTCGCTACACTGCAAAACGAGCGTGAAGGGGTCCGATGGCGGAGAGTGCAGCGGAGGCCCTAGCAAAGAGTGGTGGCGGTGAAGATTTAGGGGCCGGCGCGCTGGTACCGGGAGTGGCACCCATTAAACCTCGGTGAGTTGTCGAGGCAGAGAGGAAAACCTCACAGGGCTTTCTAGGCACCCGTAGGGGAGGCTCGAGCGGTGCATGCCGGAAGATGGGCCGCCCAGGGTGGGAAACTCGCAAGCTTCTTTAGTCTTGGCTGTTCCTGAGCGGCGGTACCTGAGATAGTGCACGTTGGGAACTGTCACACACACTAAGGACGCCGCGGGGCATGCTAGTATGGGCGGGGCTTGAGGTGAGGGTCGCAATGTAAGCTGGGGACTGTAGTTCCAGCGTATGCGGCGAATAGCGCATGTGCGCCTCAGTTACAAACGCTGGGTATTCGGTCTGAAGCGATTACCGCGGGGCAGCCTGGGGCTTGTAGGGCTAAAAGGTGTGCTGGGAAGTGTGGCGGCTGTGGCGTCCTCTTTGTAAGACATGCTGGGACATGTAGTTTCTTTTCTTTTCTTTTTTTTTTTTAACTTATTTTTATTATTGAATGTATTACAGATGTTCCTCATTTTTTCCCTATTGACCCCCTCCTCCCCACTCCCGTCTCCCTCCTACCTTTCCCCACACTGTTGTCTGTGTCCATTGGTTATGCATATATACATATAAGTTCTTTGGTTTATTTCTTCCCACCCTCCAACCCCTCTTCCCTTTGAGGTTTGTCAGTCTGACAACCAATTTGTACTTCTTAATCACTCCACCTTTATCACCCATTCCCCCAACCCCCCTCCCATCTGGCAGCCAACAAAATGTTCTCTGTATCTATGAGAATGTTTCTGTTCCGCCTGTTCATTTTGTTTGTAGATTCAATTGTCGATAGATATGTATTCTTTGCCATTTTGTTTGTTCATATTTTTTTATCTTTTTCTTCAAGAAGACCCTTCAACATTTCATATAATAATGGTTTGGTGGTGATGAACTCCCTTAGCTTTTTCTTGTCTGGGAAAGTCTTTATATGGCCATCGATTCTAAATGACAGCTTTGCAAGATAGAGTAATCTTCGTTGTAGGTTCTTGCTTTTCATCACTCTGAATATTTCTTGCCACTCCCTTCTGGCCTGCAAAGTTTCTTTTGAGAAATCAGCTGACAGCCTTATGGGAACTCCCTTGTAGGTAACTAACTGCTTTTCTCTTGCTGCTTTTAAGATTCTCTCTTTGTTTTGAATCTTTTGCATTTTAATGATGATATGTCTTGGTGTGGGCCTCTTGGGGTTCATCTTGTTTGGGACTCTTTGCTTCCTGGACTTGTATATCTGTTTCCTTCACCAAGTTAGGAAAGTTCTCTGCCATTATTGTTTCACATAGGTTTTTGATTTCTTGTTCTCTCTCTTCTCCTTCTGGCACCCCCAAGATGCAAATGTTGCACGCTTGAAGTTGTCCCAGAGTCTTCTTACACTATCCTCATTTTTTTGGATTCTTTTTTTTGTTTCCTTATATTCCAAATTGATGGTTTGCTTCTTGGCTTTACCTACTCTACTATTGAATCTGTGTAAATTATTCTTTACTTTAGTTAGTGCCTCCTTCATTTCTGACTGTGCATCCTTCATTTCTGACTGGTTCTTTTTTATGCTCTTGAGGTCCTCACTAAGTTCATTGAGGTTCTCACGACGTTCATTGAGCATCCTTATAAGCAGTGTTTTGAATTCTGCATCTGTTAGGTTGCTTATCTCCATTTCGCCTAGTTCTTTTCCCGAAGTTTTGTTCTGTTCTTTCATTTGGACCTGTTTCTTTGACTGCTCATTTTGGCTTCCTCCCTGTGTTTGTTTATGTGTATTACTTAACGAGAGGTATGGGCTAGCTGAGACCAGATGCTGCTTGTCTGAAAGAATTTAGGAAAACCTGAAGCAGGATCCAAGACAGGCCAATCCTATGGTAAAGCAACTTGGCAACAGCTTGGGGTGGGCTGAAAGTTGGGTGGGGCAGGGCCTCGGGATCACTAGGATGGGGCAAACAGTGTGAATCAGGTTGCTGGAGTCCCAGATATGGTGGCTGTCTGCTGCCCCAGGGAAGGGCTCACCAAAGGAACAAAGGCCTCTGACAGCACGTCTGTCCAGGAGAAAGCTGCCTCTCTAGCCCTCACTCCAATGCCAAACAACTCAGTTCTTCCCCTTATGTCTCTGGTGCCTTTCAAGCTGCCTCCCCCACACTGGAACTTGGAGAGTGTGAGTCCGTGTAAATCCATGCGCAGCCCTTTAAGAGGACCTGCCTGGGGCTCCAGCCACCTCAGCCTCCCTCAGCCTCAGTTCCCACTGGTTTTTCCAGCCAGAAGTTATGGGGACCTCTCTTCCTGGCACTGGAACTCTGAGTTGGGTACCTGGTGTAGGACAGTGACCCTTGAGTCCTCTGGGAGGACCTTCCCAGCTGAAGTATCCTCCTAATTTTTATCCGCCACACGTGGGTGTGGGACCAGCCCATCGCACCTCCGCCACTCCTACCAGTCTTGATTTGGCTACTTCTTTAATTTTGTAGTTGTAGGACTTCCATTGAGCTTGATTTTAGGCAGTTTGAATGATGGTTGTTCTATAATTTAGTTGTAACTTTGATGTGGTTGTGGGAGGACGCCACCATCTTGCAGGAGGATCCGACTTGTAATTTCTTTTAAGCCTAATGTGGTCAGGGATGTTCATGCTTGATGCCTGTAATTTGGCTAAACACTTGAGGCAGTGGGGACTCAGAGACAAAATAGGCCATTCCTGTGACCTTGAGGTACTCCCAGGCTGGCAAGTGTCCAGTTCTAAGTAGTGAGCTCCCCATCAATAGAAGCATGGAATCAGAGGCAAGTATTTTCCGTCCCTTTCCCCAGTGTTGAGTCGAACTTAGGGGAGGAACTCCTTCAACAAGCCCTTCTTTTTTCTTTCTTTGCTGGCAGATACCTCACTACCAAGGAGAAGTTTCATGAATTCCTGGAAACCAGAGAGCAGGAGAAGCCCAGCCAGGACACTGGGGAAGGAAACCATTATGTCCATGACCTGGCTGAGCCCGAGACCAAGAGGATCCGACTGGAGGATGGACAGCCTGGACAGCTGGGAGAGGGTCCCACGGAGGAGGCAGCTGAGCACCTTGAGCAGCCTCAAGCTCAGAAGAGGGCCCGGGGCCAGAACAAGGGCCGGCCTCATATAAAACCTACCCACTATGACAAGAACAGGCTCTGCCCCTCCCTGGTGCAGGTTGGTGTCATTGTCACCAGAAAGGCCCAGTTTTCAGTCTGAGCCTCTCTGTTCCCCATTCAGTTCTCACTGCATTGTAATGTAAATATCATTATTCTCATTTTCTAGATAAAGAAACTGAGGCACAGTGAGGTTATTGACTTGCCCAAGGACACACAACCAGGAGGGGAGGGATCTGAGGTTCAAGGCCTGGCTGCCCCAGCCTCTCCCTGTGTTCCCTCACTGCCTCCCTGTTTCCCTGTAGGAATCAGCTGCTAAATGTCTTTTTGGTGACCATTGTCGCTATCTACACGACGTGAGCTGCTACCTGGAGACCAAGCCAGCTGACCTGGGCCCTCGCTGTGTTCTATTCGAGACCTATGGCAGGTGCCCTTATGGTGTGACCTGCCGCTTTGCTGGGGCCCATCTGGGGCCCAAGGGCCAGAACCTGGTACAGGAGGAGGTGGTCCAGGCCCCTCCTGTCCGCAACAGCTTGGACAAGGTTCTGCAGCAGCAGCTGAGAAAGCGCAAGATCCACTTCGAGCGTGCTGAACAGGCCCTGCACCAGCTAGGCAAGGGCCACCTGCCAGGCCCCACCCCTTCTGCCACTGTCCCTATGGTCCCAGGGGTTGAGAGTGCCCAGCAGGCCCCCCTGGGGCCCTGCACTGGTACCCCTCCCAGCAGCCCCATGCAGACCTGCGGGCCCCTGACGGATGAGGATATAGTCAGGCTGCGGTCTTGTGAGAAGAGGCGGGTAGGTGTCACAGGCCTCCTGTTGAGGACGATAGCAGTGTGGGGAGCAGAAAAAGCTGGACACACTCCCAGCCCCAGAGAGTCAGGCCTAAAGCAGAGGGAGGAAGTGGGAAAGGCTTCCTGGAAGAGGGGCCATTGGGATTGGGGTTTTGGTGGTTGACTAGAAATCATCCAGGAGAGAGCATGGAGAAAAGAGCATTTCTCATGGACGGATTGGTTGACACATGCAAAGATCAAGAGGTAAAAAGGTGCTAGGCTGGTAGGGCAAAGCAAAACATGTTCTAGATTGTGGGGAGTGGGGATGCCTCAAAATCCAGGTTGGAAGGTAGAGCTCACTGTGTCTTTTCTTTCCTTCCAGCTTGACATCACTGGCAAATTGTACCTGGCCCCCCTCACCACGGTAGGACCCATGTGGGGTGGACTAGGTGGTGGCAGTGGTCACCCCGACAGTGCCCAGTGCCTGCCAGTTTTGGGTACTCCTGTTGAGGACACTGGCAGTGTTGAGGGCAGGTGTCTGGAGTTCGTGCCTGTTACATTCTCACTTGTTTGTGTGCCCCCTGCCTCCAGTGTGGGAACCTGCCCTTCCGGCGAATCTGTAAGCGCTTCGGGGCTGACGTGACATGTGGGGAGATGGCCGTTTGCACCAACCTGCTTCAGGGCCAGACATCTGAGTGGGCCCTGCTCAAACGCCACCAGTGTGAGGACATCTTTGGTGTGCAGGTTGGTGTGGTCCTGAGGGGGGGAGGGGGGAGGGAGGAGGGACTTTTAGCTGCCAAGATTTGGAACAAGGTTCAGGTCAGCTTTCCTGGATCCCAGGCCTGGCTTAGTCACCTCCAAAATCTCTCTTGCCTCAGCCATGGGCTGGGGGCACCAGCCTAATGCACCTACAAGGGCTGATGGCCTTGGGATGGGGCTACGGTGGTGCCAGGCAGGGATGGTCTAAACTGGCCCTGGCCTCTCACCCCCTCTGCTTGGCCATCTGCCACAGCTGGAAGGTGCCTTCCCTGACACTATGACCAAGTGTGCTGAGCTGCTGAACCGCACCATCGAGGTGGATTTCGTGGACATCAACGTTGGCTGCCCCATTGACCTTGTGTACAAGAAGGTAGTGACCATCCAGCCCTGGATACCCAGCGTGGGCAGAGTATGGATAGGGCAGAGGCTTGGGACCCGGCTTTGCTCCTGCCTGAGTCACTGGGAACCTATGGGGGCTCCTGTGCCTCAGTTTCCCCATTTGCACAGCAAGGTCAGTGAAGGATGCTGGGCTCAGCTTGGGTCTTGCCCTCCCTTGCTCCAGCTGCCTGTCTCTCCTAGGGTGGGGGCTGCGCGCTCATGAATCGCTCGGCCAAGTTCCAGCAGATCGTTTGTGGCATGAACCAGGTATGCCTTGAGATGTCCCCACCTTTTCCCACCGACTCTGGGCCCTGCTGACCACACCCATCCCTGCAGGTGCTGGACGTGCCGCTGACGGTGAAGATCCGCACGGGTGTCCAGGACCGCGTGAACCTGGCACACCGGCTGCTGCCCAAGCTGCGGGACTGGGGGGCAGCCCTGGTCACGGTGTGTCTTGGGGTGCAGTGGGTATCAGGCCTCGGGGGCACTTCAGCGACCCTTTCTAATGGTCTTTTTCCCATCTCCCTCTTCGTCTTGGCTCTCCCTCCATCTCTGTCTGTCTGTCTCTCTTTCTCTCTCTGTCTCAGCCTTGGTCTCTCTGGGTCTCTCTCTTTCTCTCTCTTTGTCTGATGCTCCACCTCCCCGGACCTTCTCTCCCTCCCTGTGTGGCCGCTTCTCCTCTAGCTCCATGGCCGCTCTAGGGAGCAGCGCTACACCAAGCTGGCCGACTGGCAGTACATCAAGCAGTGTGTGACGGCGGCCAGCCCCATGCCCCTGTTTGGTGGGTCCCCTGCCACTCAGTCAGACCTGCACACCCTGTCATCAAAGGCCATATACACCTGGGTCCACCCCCCACCTGAGACCCCTCCCTGCCCCAATGGAGGCCACTGGGCTGGCAAGAACTCCCCAAGAGCTGACTTTCCTGCCTGTACACAGCTCTCTGATGCCCGTCTCTCTTCCATAGGCAACGGGGACATCTTATCATATGAGGACGCAAACTGTGCCATGCAGACTGGTGTCGCTGGAATCATGATTGCTCGGTAAGTGTGCCTGGTGCCTGAGGGGCTATAGAGAGCTGTCTGGAGGTGTGTCTGAGCTTTGTCACTTTTGTCACAGTGTCCCAGCCCAACTGCTTCACCTCCTGGTCCATTTGTGTCCAGCGGGTGGCTCTGTCTGCACAGAGATGGCGGGGCTGCATCTGGCAGGGGTAGGAAGGACTGGAAATTTCTGCAGCTGTGGGCTTGGGGTTGCAGGTCGGAACTTGTGGGCTTCCAAGGCTTGGAGAACAACTGGAGGGTCTGTCTGAACAGCTGGAGGGACAACGACTGTGGGTTTGGGGGCATCTGATCACTCCCTGCCCTGCAGTGGTGCCCTGCTCAAGCCATGGCTGTTTACGGAGATCAAGGAGCAGCGACACTGGGACATTTCATCATCTGAGCGCCTGGACATCCTGCGAGACTTCACGAACTATGGCCTGGAGCACTGGGGCTCGGACACGCAGGGTGTGGAGAAGACCCGCCGCTTCCTCCTTGAATGGCTCTCCTTCCTGTGCAGGTGGGCGTGGAACAGCTAGGGTGGGGGTGTTGGTGGTGAGGCCAGCCTGACCCAACCCTGTCCCCACATGCCTGCAGGTATGTGCCCGTGGGTCTGCTGGAGCGGCTCCCACAGAGGATCAATGAGCGGCCCCCCTACTACCTGGGCCGAGACTACCTGGAGACGCTCATGGCCAGCCAGAAGGCAGCCGACTGGATCCACATTAGGTTTCTGGGAACCGAGGAGTCGGGAGTGGGGGGCATCCTGCGGTGGGGGTGGCCCAGGCCTTAGGCCTGACCTTGTCCTCTGCCTGCTCTCCTCATAGTGAGATGCTGCTGGGACCCGTGCCACCCAATTTCGTCTTCGTGCCAAAACACAAGGCCAATGCGTACAAGTAGCTGCAGGAGTGGGGGGGGCGTCGGAGGGTCCCCACAGTGTGTGAGAAGACAATAAACTTTATTCTTTTAAAACTCAGGCCTTTCTGTGACCCTGAGGCTGCCCCTTCTCACTCCTGGGAGCTCTCCCTGGACATCTGCCTGTCCCTGTCCCTGGCAGCTCCCTTCTTTCTCCCTCCCTCATTCACCGGTCTCCTAGCTGCCCCCACAGGCCCAGCCCTGTGCTGGCTGCTACTGGTGCCCGGAGAGGCCTTGACCACAAGCCACCAGGGCTCACAGGAGGGGGAAGAGGAGACCCTTGGCCTGTGGGGGTGTGGATCAGGATGGGCTGCTTGGAGGAAGGGGCCTCAGGACTATGAGATGGGCATTGCTGATAAAAGCATAAGGCAGCGTATTAGGTCCAGGATTTGACCCACACTTTGTGACACATAGCTCTGGCTACCTTGATTTCCCCTTCTGTTCCTTCCCACCCTCCCCCACCTCCAATACCCGGAATCCTGACCAGTGGGCGGGCCACAGGCTGGAACCTGCTGCCCAGAGTAACCAGGCAAACAGAACTCCGCATGACTTCTGAGCCTGTTCTCTGGGTGGGCTGCCTGTGCTCCCACCTGCCACCCTCCTGGCCTGCCCAGGCTGGGCCCCCCACCTCCCCATGCAGCACCCCAAACCCTTTTACACTCCAGCTCCCCAAGAAAGTTTCAGCTCCCAGGCCCTGGATGGCACCGAGGGGCCAGGCAGTCAGCCCACTTCTGCCTGCACAGAGCCTCTTCCCACTGTGGGTATGAGTCAGGGAGTGGCTGATGGGGTGGGGGACCTGGGCCCACCAGCTTCAGGACCCCACCCACCAGCCTATCTTTGTTCACAGGTTCCTCCAACCTGCATCACCCTCCAAACCTGGAGAAAGAGGTGTTTCCAGCCCCTCCAGCAGGTACTGGCCTCCTCCCAACCCTTGATTACCCCCCAGGAGCGGGTTGAAATGGGCAGGGCCATTTTGCCTCCACCCTGTCCCTCCGTGGCTCCCCGAAGTCAAGTTTTGTGCCCCTGTTTCCCACAGGGGCTGGGAGCCCCATCTAGACAAGACCCTGAAGACAAGGCCTGTCACTCTTCCCCCCGACAGATCCCCCAAACCCAGGCTCTTGCCCAAAGGTCCCCAGGTTTTGGGCCATGCCTCCCTCCACTGCCTCACACTGCCCCCGGCAGGCGGGTTGTAGCCCTGCCCTCTCAGGGCCGCCCCTCCTGGGCCCGCAGGTTTCCAGATGGCGCCCTGCGGCTGCTTCTTTGACCCCCGCATATACCGAATCGAGTGGGCCGCCACTGACTTCGGCCAGTCGTCCCTGTACAAGCTGGCAGCAGCGGGTGGCGGGGTGCCAGCTGGGGGCCCTGCCTCGCCGAGCACCTACCTCCTAGAGCCCCAGCACTATCTCAAAGCCCCGGTGCCGCCTCCGCCATACCCCCAATTCCAGCCAGTGCCTGGGGGCCCCCAGTATGTCATGTCCTACTTCCCCCCTGAGGGACCCGGGCCTGAGGCCCTGGGCTTCATGGGAGATGGGGGGGCCCCTGCCTTCATGGAGCTGCCCCCACCCCTGCTCAAGGAAGGCCTGGTGCCCCTGCCACCACCGCTGCCCTCCAAGGAGAACAAGCTGCCCCCTGTGGTCATCACACTACCTGCTGAGGCCACACTGCCCCCTGGGGCCTACGGCCCCCTCAAGGGCCGCCTGAGCCAGTTCCACACAGCTGGGGAGCCCCTAGCCTTTCCTGCCAAGGAACTGCAGGGCACTGGCACCGGGCCGGTTCTGCTGTACCCCCCGGGCCCTGGGGAACCCAAGGCGGCCCAGGCAGAGGCAGCCCCGTTGGAAGCGGCTGAGACCAGGTCCCCTGAGGCAGCCAGGGCCTTTGTGCTGCCTGAGAAGGTGCTGTTGGAAGATGCCATGAAGCTGTTCGACTGCCTGCCGGGCGGTGCTGAGCCTGAGGCGTCCCTGCGCAAGGCCCCTGGGCCAGTCCTGCCGGACAGTGGAGGTGGTGGGGACGACTCCTCCAGGGACATCCGCTCACTGCACCTGCCGGACGAGTTGCTGTCCTTCGACTACAGTGTGCCTGAGATCCTGGACACTGTGTCCAATGTGGACTGCTTTTTCAACTTCAAGGCGCTCGACGAGGAGCCGCCACCCTGCCCGGGGACCCCTGCCACCACCACTGTGGCCCCTGCACTTCGGGCCGAGCCCCCCAGCAAGAGAAAGTCCGGTGCCTCAGCCACCAAAAAGGGGAGACAAGGAGGCAAGAGTAAGCAGGTCATGGGCCTGGCCAGCGCCCCGTCCCCTGGGACCCAGGCAGGACCTGGGAGCCACCCCCCATTAAAGCGGATTTGACCTCTCAGCCCAGTGTCTGCTCAGTGGCAATGGGGAGCAGTAGACTCCATCGTCCAGCAGGCCCTGAACCATGTGGGGAGGCCCTGCAGGACCCCAGCGCCTTCTGGGTGCCAGGCTTCCAGACAGCCCAGGAGCCCTCGACTTGAAATTCTAAATCCTTCATGTCCTGGCCCCAGAAAATCATTCAGCTGTTACGGAAGTGGGGGGCTTTAGGGAGGTGGGGAGACGCCACCCAGACTCCTGCAATGTAAGGATTCTTCCCCTCCATGTATGGCAGGGAAAGTCAAGGCTGTCCAGAGACAGGCGAGAACTTGCCTAGAGGGAGACACACAGCAAGCAGGGTGGGTCCTGGGAGTGGCCCCAGCTCCTCTTCTGTCCCCTTGAAGCTATACTTGGTGGAGGGAGGGGGGATATTTGAGGAGTTTGCAGCCTGGCTCCACCTCAGCCCACCTGCCAGGGGTGGGTGAGAGGCATAGGTAGGGGAATGGTGCATGGGAAGGACCCCATGCTGGTTCAAGCAGACATGTGGGAGCAGGTGCTGGATGAAGGTGAAGGCACCTGGTGGTCTGAGGTGGCGGCTGGGCAGGGAAGTGGGAGGTAGTGCCCACTTGGCACATAGGTGACCCGAGATGGCTCCATCCATGATGGGGACCAGCAGAGTGTATCTGAAACCCAGGTGACAGCCAGAGATCAGGGTGAGTCTATCCCAGGAAGGGCATGCAGCCATGCCTCATACGCTGGGCCCCCCACTGGGCCCCATGTGTGGGTTCTGTATCCCAAGTGGCAGGCAGGAGAGCGCAGAGATTGGGTGTCCGTTTCTCATACCTGCTCCTCCCCATCCTGTCTCCTCCTTGGGTCCATGGAGCTCCTCCTCTTCCCCTTGTCTAGTCCAGGCTTTCCTCAACCTTTCCAGAGGGCCTGGGGCAGCTGCCAGCCACAACCTACTCTGAAATACTCAGGGTGAGTCTGGAGGGGCCCACTTGGTTTCCCAGGTAACATAAGGAATCAGGAAGCAAAGGGAGATGGAGGCCTGCTCCCCAACCTGCTCTCTTCTTACTCCTACAGAGGTCCTGGGCTGGGTGGTGGAGGTCCAGTGCTTGACTAGAATTAGGAGGTGGCTGAGGGCAGGGAGGGTGGAGTGGGGAGCTGAGACCTGATACCTCTCAAGTGCCCAGCACCATGCCACAGTTTATGGTGCCATGGCTACATGGCTCATCTCCCTGAACCCTTATTCCAAAGCTCAGTGAAGTGGAGACAGCTGTGCCATCTGGGCACTGGTCCCTTCATGCCAGGGACTGTTTCACAGGCTGTACTGCCAGCATTTACATTTGTCCCCACCTGTCTCTGTGTCCCATCTCTGTTCTGAACTGGACATGGGCCTAGAGAAGTCCGGAGCCCACTTCCCTTGGCTTCCTTCTGATCCCTGAAGTAACATTTGGTGTATCTTGAGATGAAAATCAAATGCCGAATGAAGGGAAGGCCCTGGCAAAGGAGGCGGTGGGTGTAAGAGGATGAGTGTTTTTCTTGAAGATGAATGTAGACCAAGGGACAGGAAGCCAGTGTCACTTGTCAACCTAACACATCCCCTCCAGAGAGGCTGGGGGGGGGGGTTAGGGGGTGGGCATCCAGCTCAGCCTGGGAGGGCAGGTAACTGGTCACTGTGCTGTATTTGGGAGTGGAGGTTTCAATGACTGGATTGAGCCTGCACTAGGCAATTTTAGATGACCACAAGATATATTTTTTAACCTAAGTATAATCAGGAAAGTCATGGGACCACTCAAGTTTCCATTTAGGATGAGGTGGCTGCTCCATGCCACCTGGATTTATGATCAAGTGGTGACCTCCCACTGATGAATAGATCAATGGATCAATGGATAGAATATACCTGCACACTGTATATACATACAGGTATAAATACAGGTATTTTGCTTATAGTTGAATATGCAAAACAGTTTATTCTTTTATTATTTATTAATTACTGTATTATACACAACTGTAAACCTACTTTTGCCCCACCCTGTATATGTATACATATTATCTATACACATGCACACATACATGTGTGCATATTGTCAGCATGTTTGCATACATGTACACACATTTATCTACACACCTTGTGTATACATTATACATGTGCATATGTGCATACACATATAAGCACACATCTATACATGTACATATACGTTATCTGTATGTGCACATGCATATATACACATACACATGTATGTACGTGATCTATACAATGCATATGTGTACAATATGTGCACACATCATTTATACACTAGCTCATGTGTATGCATGTATACATCTTACACATGCATGCATATATACATATATGACAGCACAATATTGTCTATACATATGCATGCACTTACACATGCATGTTATTTGTGTGTATATGCGTATACACATGTATATGTGTATTTACACCACCTGTAGGTATATACACGTATATATGTATATACACATCCACAATACAGTATATATATGCAAAAGTATGTTTACCTATCTACACACATGCTTATATTTGTGTGTGCATACCATATATGTGTATAAATGTGTATACATATTACACATATGCACATGCATACATTATATGCATGTGTACCTATTATCTATGCATATGTATGTACACACATCTACATATTATATAAACAAGTATATGTTGCACACATGCATATAAGATGTATGCACATAATCTATATGCACATCTATAAATAACGTGCATAATATATACTTCCAAGTTTTTATTCATGTACACACTAAGCACATATGTATGTTTGTACATGTTAGGATTTATAAACACAGATATGGAATTTCATCAATTGTCTTCTACAGACTCCACCACTTTTCCCCGGGTCCTAGCCTTCTCTAACAGGACACGTCACTGTCTTACCCTTTTCTGAGGCCCATGTGTCACTCCGCTGTGTGCCTCTGCTGGTCTGCTTCACCCCCTCCTATTGATTAGTGCTTTGGCTGCCCCCCTTCTGACTTACAGCCGATGGAGGTGTTATCATTCAGAGGAACTCTGACACCAGCATATCAAGAGAGGCAAAGCAGTGAAAGTAGGTGTCAGGAAAACACCACCCATGATTGATGCTCATGCCACTTGCTTGTTTTACATATACTTTATTTTATGACCATTCTGAACTTCTCCAGTGCAGGCTCAGCGCCTGCTTTGGAAACACGCACATGACTTTCTACACCTTTTGCACAGACTGACCCAGAACCCTTTGAACCCGTGGCCCTTCTCCGTGCGTAGCAGTGTGGGAATCATGTAGGCCAGCCACACGGACAGCAGGATCGCCAGCATGAGCACGATGATGGTGATCTCCAGTGGGATGGAGATCCGTGGGAGTGCCCCATACACATAAACACTGAAGGTGGTCTCCAGCCAACAGTAGCTGCAAGGGGTGGGTGGGGAGAGGCCCTACCTTTAGTCAGAAAACATGTTAAAACAGATCAGGGTCCCGGGCCAGTGGCCCAGGACACCAAGTTCCTTTTATAACCATGCCAGCTTTTATCTATTCTGCATCTACTTTCCTCTTGTGCATCTTTTCCCCCAGGACCCTTGGGGTCACATCCTCTGGGGACAGAGGGTCCCCCACTCCATGCCCAGGTTCTCTGAAATGCAGGTTGACGCTCTAACCGCTGAGCCAAACTGGCCAGGGCCATGCCCAGGTTCTTTCACAGTGTGGAAGTGAAGAGAGGGCAGGACAATAGCCATAGGCATCCATGAGGCTGGCGGCCAGCAGGAGTATAGCAGGATGGGCAGGAAGTGCATCCCAGGAGAGGGGGCCCCGGACAGAACTCACAGTGCTCTGCTGGAAGCAGGCTGAAGGAAGAGGAAGTGACAAGTTTCACAGGTAGTCCCCTCTCTCCTCTGGATGTCCCCACCCCTATGCCTTTCACCCAGGGCCATCTCAGAGCTAGTCCCTCTGGTCCAAGGTCTGGGACCTCTAGGGAAGCAGGGTCTTCACGTGCTTTTGGGGGTAGAGTTTGTATCTGTCTTGAGGGGATAGATGATGGGGGAAAAAATGTCCCCCCATAATTCTCCTAGTCGGAGACACTGATATCTAGACAAGCACATCAGATGTGACTTAGGAGCTTCTCAGCCCTGATGGGTGTAAGTATTTAATAACCAGCTCTGAGGTGGGTGCGGGGGAGGTCTGTTTTGTAGTGTGTGCCAATTCCACTGGTGAAAATAGTCCCACCATGGCCGATTACAAGTCAACTGGTCTGCAGAATCCCTGAATATATGAGTTGGCTCCTTCACACCACCAGACATGGCATGAGAAGGTGACTGGTGTCCGTGGGGGGAAAAGCGGGTCCCCCACATGTGTGTGACATGCCCAGCCATTCCCAGAGGCCCTGGGCACAGAGTAGTTCCTCCACCCTACTTACCTGTAGTATGGGTCCACGACAGAAATAAAAAAGACATAGATTCCGTTCCTTTGGTCAAAAACGACCTTGTTTGCTGTTGGGCCTCCCAAGATCTGATATCGAGCTTTTGGCCATTTCAAGGGAGCATCGCTGTTGGGATCGTGGCAGCTCACGTAGTTCTGAGGAGGAGGACAGAGGTATGCCCACTGGCCCTGGGAACTGGGGAAAGCCGTGCCAGCACCATAGACACCCCCCACCATGAGCACGGCCCCCCGCTCACCAAACACCCGTGGTTTGGGCCAGAGCCCGGTGCTTGTTGGGCAGGCCAGTTCCTGATCCCTGTGGAGGAGGTTGTGGATGCTGCTTAGCTTTCACCCCTCCCTCCAGGCCTTCCTGGTGTTTGTGCAACATTGTGAATGTATGAGATGTAGAAATGAATTGTATGCTTTCAAACTGTTTATTGCGGTCCGACTGGTGGGGCTCAGTGGTTGAGTGTCGACCCATGCACCAAGAGGTCACCGGTTCGATTCCCAGTCAGGACACATGCCCAGGTTGTGGCCCAGTCCCCAGTAGGGGGCCAATCGATGTTCTCTCATTATCAATGTTTCTATCTCTCTCTCCCTCTCCCTCTCTCTCTCTCTAAAATCAATAAAGGAAAATAAAAAAAATTCAAATGGTTAATGGTGCCCAGCTGGTGAGGCTCAGTGGCTCGAGCATCATCCCATGGGCTGAGAAGTCCCAGTTTAATTCCCAGTCAGGGCACATGCCGTGTTGTGGGCTTGATCCCCAGAAGGGGGTGTGCAGGATGCAGCCAATTGATGTTTCTCTCTCTCTCCTTTTCTCTCTCTCTCTAAAAAAAAATGATTAATTGTGTTCTGTGAATGTTACATCGGTTGGAGAAACAAAACAAAACCAATGTCACCAACGAAACAGATGATCACATTCACATAACAGCAGGGGGTGTAGGAAAAAGGGTCCAAGCCCTGGCTGGGAGGTTCAGTGGGTTGTCTCATACACCAAAAGGTGGCAGGTGGATTCCGGTCAGGGCAGCATACTTAGGCTGTAGATTTGATCCCCAGTTGGGGCACATAGGGGAGGCAACTGATAGATGTTCCTCTCTCACATTGATGTTTCTCTCTCTAAAAAAAAAAAAAAAATCAATGAAAAAAGACCATATCCTGGGGTGAGGATTAAAAATAGAAAAGAAAAAAAAAAGCCAAAAATCCTCAGGCAGAAATGGGCTCAGGTGCATTGTGCCGTGTTCCTGCCTTTGGGGTTGAGAAACTCAGTTGATGAAAATTGTTAACGTGCCTCAGAGGCTCCCAAGGGAACCACTGCGATTCCTTCCTTTTACTGACACCCTGCCATTCAGTTGTGTACAAACCAGTGTGCATGATAGAAATGCATGCTGAGAGAACAGATGGTGAATTTTTAAAAATTTTAATTTTCTTTATTGATTTTACTTTATTTTTTATTTTTTATCCTTGCCCGAGGTTCATTTTTACTTTTTTTTTTTTTTTTATCCTCACCCGAGAACATTTTTCCAATTTTTGTACAGATAGAGTGGGAGGGAGAGAGAGGGAGAGAGAGAGAGAGAAACATCGACGTGAAGGGACACATCGAGTGGTTGCCACCCGCATGACCAACCAGGACTGGGGACAAACTGCAACCGAGGTACATGCCCTTAGCGGGAACTGAACCCGGGTCTCTCTGTACCGCAGGCCGACGCTCCAACAGCTGAGCCAAACCGGCCAGGGCCATTTTTACATTTATCTTCAGATAGAGTGGGAGGGAGAGAGGAGGAAGAGAGAGAGAAACATCTATGTGAGAGAGACACATGGAGTGGCTGCCACCCACACTACCCCAACCGGGGCCGGGGACAAACGGCAACTGAGGTATATGCCCTTAGCAGGAACCGAACCCGGGACTCTGGTCCACAGGCCAACTCTCTAACCATTGCGCCAAACCAGCCTGGACATGATTTTAGAGAGGGAGGGGGGAGGGGGAGGGGGAGGGATACCAATGTGTTGTTCCACATTCACTGGTTGATGCTGTATGTGCCCTGACTAGGATCAAACCTACAACCTTGGCTTTATGGGGCGATGCTCTAACTAGCCGAGTTACCCTGCCAGGGCTAGATGGTGAATTAAAAAAAAAAAATTATTTTTTTCTTCATTGATTTTTAGAGAAAAAGGAAGGGAGAGGGAGAGAGAGACAGAAACATCGATGACAGAGAACATCGGTTGGCCGCCTCCTGCATGCCCCCACTGCAGGTTTGGCCCACAACCTGGGAATGTGGCCCAACTGGGAATCGAACTGGCAACCTCTTGGTGTATGGGTTGATGCTCATCCAGTGAGCCACACCAGCTGGGTATCAGATGGTGAATTTAACTAGCCCCTTAGTAATGGGCATTTGGATGGTTCTAGCACATTATCAGCAATGTCCACAGTTCTAAACACTTGGCCAATTCTCTTGGGAGAGAATTCCAAAGGGTCCACACGTCTTACATTCCCAGAGGTGGCCCCACAGCTCTCAGTGTGAATATGTCCCCACCCCCTGACACCCCTGCTATGGACTGAATTTGGTGTCCCCTCAAATTTATGTTAGAACCTAACCCCCAAGGGGATGATACTAGGAGGTGGAGACTTTTGTTGTTGTTGCCAATCCTCACCAGAGGATATTTTTTGTCATTAATTTTTAAAGAGAGTGGAAGGGTTCAGCTGGTGTGGCTCAGTGGTTGAGCGTCGGTCAACCCATGCACCAGGAGGTCACTGGTCTGATTCCTGGTCAGGCCACATGCCCAGTCCCCAGTGGGGGGCATGCAGGAGGCAGCCAATTGATGTTCTCTCTCATCGATGTTTCTATTTCTCTCTCCCTCTCCCTTCCTCTCTCTCAAAACATTAAATAAATAAATAAATAAATAAATAAATAAATAAATAAATAAATAAATAAAAAGAGAGTGGAAGGGAGGGAGGGAGTGGGGAAAGAGAGAGAGAAACATCGATGTGAGAGGGACACATCGATTGGTTGCCTCCCACACGTGTCCCACCTGGGGCCAGAGGATCGAACCTACAACTCAGGTACTTGCCCTCAATTAGAACTTGAACCCTCAACTCTTTGGTGTGCAGGCCAATGCTCTAACTACTGAGCCACACCCACCAGGGTGAGGCGGGGACTTTGCGAGGTGATCAGATCAGAAAGATGTGTCCTTATAAAAGAGACTCCAGAGAGCTCCCTCACTCCTTCGGCCATGTGAAGACACAGCGAGAAGATAGTCATCTACGGACCAGGAGGTGGACTATGACCAGCCACCAGATCTGCCAGCACCTCGATCTCGGACTTCCAGCCTCCAGGATGCTGAGAAGTAAATGTCTGTTGTTCGTAAGGCCCCCCCAGTCTCTGGTATCTGTGACAGCAGGCCAAACAGACGGAGATAACCCCCGACAGGGTACAATCCGCGGTCACCATCTGACTGGTGACCTGTTTTAGAAATAATCTAAGAGTAACTACTACCTCTCGGTCCCAGGCGAAGGGCCCCTTGTCACCAGCGTTCTCCAGGATGGTGGTCCAGTTCTGCGGCTGGGAAATGCAGAGCGCGGTGCCCGCCGTCAGGGAGTACGTGTAGGTAAACAGCCCGTTCACCTCCAGCAGGACGAACTCTGCCTCGACAATCTCCTGGAACTTTCCTTCCCGCCACCTGGACACGCACACAAGAAGTGCTGTGGAAGGCTGGCCCAGGGAGGTGTGGCGGCCCTGATCCACTAGGAGACCATTCTGGGGGTGGTGCAAGGAGCAGAACAAAACGGAGCCCCCCACACCCTGGCTGACACTTCATGGAGGTCAACGTGGCCACGCAGCACTGGCAGGTGGGGACAGGGAAGGGAGGAGAGTAGAAGGGGCAGCAGGCATTGAGAATTTTCCATGGGGTGGACACAAAAGGCAACTCTGAGAAGGGGACAAATGAGCAGAGACTGAAAGAAACTGATGTGATGGCCTATAACTGAATGATGTCACTCATGAGAAAATTGCTAAATGAATTAATAAGCATGTAAACCAATAAAGAGCACCCTTCACACCAGTCTTGTGATATTTTTCTGCTAAGCATCTGCAAACGTGCAAAGGGTATACATTTAGGACTGGTAGTTAGGGTTGTTCTAAAGCACTGTTGTTTTGATGTGTGTTCTATTGTCTCCTGCAAACTTGGAGCTTACACCCCTCCTCTGTCAGGACCCTTTCCTGTCCCCACCCCCGCTGGACACACAATCCTACGTGGCAGCTCTGAATTAGGGGTCTGGTCATTAGACCAGGGGCTCAGTCCTGTGTGTGTGGCCCGTGATTTTCCCTGGGCATGGGACTGAGGCCCGTGGCACTAAGACGTGATGTTCTAATGACCCGCATGTTCAGTCAGTCAACAACCATATAGTCAGAAGATATGCCAGGCATTGAGCTGAGCCACTGGTCCACATGTGTTTATTTAAATTAATTCCCATTAAGTGAAATGCAAAGCCAGTTCCTCAGGCCAAATTTCCACTGCTCAGTGGCCACATGTAGCACCTGGCTGTCCACTGGGTGGCCCAGAATTATGGAACATTTCCACCACCCCAGAAAGTTGTGGGCAGTGCTGATCTGGGGCTATAATGAGGTCAAGGGGCCGTAGTTCAAGCCCCTAAGGGCCTGTGCTGAAGTGATCATCAATAACCCACAAAAGTGTAGAACTCACACTGAAATGTGTCCCCCCAATTCTGCTGTTGGAGCCCGAAGCCCCACTGTAACTGCATTTGGAGGTGGGCGAATCTGGAGCTCACTGGCTCTCTGCAAGGAGGAGGCTGTCCGCGGGCCACAGAGGGAGCCTTGTGGGAAACCAGCTCTACCGACTCCTTGATCTTGGACTTGGGATCTCCAGGACGAGGACACAATCGTGCCTGCTGTCTAAGCGCCCGGGTCCCTGGGATGTTGTAATGGCCATAAGAACTGAGGCAGCGGCAAGGGAGGGGCTGTCGGAGCTGAGAGTCAACAAGGGAAGGTCAAGAACAGTGTCGCCGGGAGAGGCACAGCATGGGCCAAGGCCTGGGGGTGGAGAGATGGGGTGTGGGGAAGAGTGAGCAATGGGGCGACTTGAAAGGCTGGGATGGGAGCTGGGGAGCAGGGCACAGGGTCTGGCTGCCACCCTACCCACCTCATGGGGAGCTTACAGTTCCATCACGGGCTTCCATGGGGTGTTGTAGTAGACAAGGAGGGGACAGCCCAGCTTCTCGTAAGGGTAATGCACCACCAGGTCCTTGGTGGCCGGCTGCCCTCGGAAGTTGGGGTCATAGGCTTCCCTAAGCAGAGAAAGGGCAGGGGGTGAGGTCCCACCAGGCAGCCCTGACGTCCACCTCACCCCGCACCTCCCAGGCTCAGCTGCTTCCAGTGGAGGGGTGTCTGATGTGGGGGTTCAGAGCTATGGTTAAAATGACTCTGGGACCCCTTGTGATGGTTAACTTTATGGGTCCACAGTACCTGGATGTGTGGTGAGATGTTATTCTAACGTTTCTGTGAGGGTGCATTTAAATCAGTGGATTTTGAGTAGAGTGCCCTCCCCCCCAATGCAGGTGCAGTTGAAGGCCTTAATAGAAATATTGTGTGACCTCTCTCTCTCTCTCTCTCTCTCTCTCTCTCTCTCTCTCGTCCCTCACTCTGTTTCTGTCTCTCTGTCTCTGTCTTTGTGTCTCTGTCGCTCTCTCTCTTTCTGACCCTCTGTTTCTTTTTCTCTCCCTTTCTCTGTTTCTCTTTCATTCCTCGCTGTCTGTCCCTCTGTCTCTGTCTCTCTCACACACGCACACATCCCATCACTTCTCTTTCCTCTGACACCCTGACTCACACCCCTTTGCGCCCCCAGGAGGCCTCACTCTGCAGCACATCCCTCAGCGAGCCCAACAGCGCCCACCTGGGCTGTGGCCATGGACCACTGACCGACTTTGGCTTGTATCCAAGGCCATGTCTTCCCACAAGGGGTGAGGGGAGGACACATACCAGCATGGGAGGAGCACCCTGTGCTGGTGCCAAGAAGGGCCGAGCCCCATCCCATGCCCACTTGGTAGCACAAGGTCCCAGCACATTGAACAGGGGTTCATTTTGTCTCGCCACCCCTTCCTGCCTTGGCTGATAGTGCCCGGCCAACTCCACTAGCTCAGAGGAGCAGGTGGCGGGCCCAAGAGCCAGTAGCAGGCTGGGAGGGTCTGTAAGACGGAGAGAGGTTATGGAAGAGAGGGGTGAAGGAAAATCTCTGGCTCACTTCTCAATGACGTAGCTGTAATTGTCCTGAAGGGCCACGGGGTCGAGGAAGCCTTTGTAACAGGCTGAGATTTCACTGCAAGCAACAAAAGGTGGTGAGAAGCTGCTGACCACACACAGGACAGAAGCCCCTGAACTCTTCCCTTTACATGTAGGTCCCATGGGTTTGATATCCGAGCTCTTTCCTATGTTCTGGTTCTCCGAGATGCTCCGGGCTCATCTTGTATCTTCCCTGCCCAGCCTAGAATTAGCCTTTCTCCAAAGAGCCCTGACGCCTCGCACTGGAGGCCACGACCGCAGGGCTGGATGTCCTGACTTGTGAAACCTCCGTTTCCTTTTTCTGTGTACCCACCTGGCGTGCATTCTTAAGCTACGGAGTTGATTTTTGCCTGATTTTGGCTTCTTATGACTAGACTCATGCCCCATGTCTTCTCCTGTGTCCTTCATTCAACCTCCATGATTGTACGCTCCATCCAGCTAATTCTGACTCGTTCATTTTCATTGCTGCCTTAGTTCATTGCATCAAAACATCGTACCTGATCTACCCATCCTCCAGTCGATGGACACCTGAGTTGGTGTGCTTCCAGCTTGGCGCTATTTTTTTTTGTTATTCCTCACCCTAGGACATGTTTCTATTTATCATCAGATAGAGTGAGAGGAAGGGAGGGAGGGAGGGAGAGAGAGAGAGAGAGAGAGAGAGAGAAACATCGATGTGATAGAGCCACATCGACTGGTTGCCTCCAGCACAACCTGACCAGGGCCGGGGACAAAGCGCACCCAAGATATGTGCCCTTGACTAGAATCAAACCCAAGACTCGTTGGTCTGGGCGGACACTCTAACCGCTGCGCAAACCAGCCAGGGCAAGCTTGGCGCTATTAAGAACCCTGGCTGGTTTTCTCAGTGGTTAGAGTGTCGGCCCACGGACCAATGAGTCTTGGGTTCGATTCTGGTCAAGGGCACGTACCTTGGTTGTGGTTCATCTCCAGCCCTGGTCGGGGTCATGCGGGAGGCAGCCAGTCGATGTGTCTCTCTCATATTGATGTTTCTCTCTCTCTCTCCCTCCTTCCCACTCTACCTGAAGATAAATGAAAATATGTCCTCAGGTGAGAATAAAAAATTTTTTTTTAAAGAAGAATGCTGCCGCCCTGGCCAGTGTGCCTCAGTGGTTAGAGTGTCAGCTCACTCACTGAAGGGTCTCAGGTTTGATTGCCGGTTAAGGGCATATACCTGGGTTACAGGTTCGATCCCTGGCCCATGTGGAGTGTGTGTGGGAGGCACCCAATCAATGGGTCTCTCTCCCTCCTTCCAACTCTCTCCAAAAATTAATGTAAAAAATATCCTTGGATAAGGATTAACAAAAAATAAATAAATAAATAAGAAGAAGACCGCTGCAGCCCCTGGCATGTGCAGCTCAGTTGGTGGGAGCGTTGTCCTGTCTACAGAAAGGTTTCAGGTTTGATCCCTGGTCCAGGCACATACAAAAGGCAACCAATCGATGTTCTCTCTTTCTCTCCCTTCCCCTCTCTCTAAAATCAACAAGCATATCCTTGGGTGAAAATTTAAAAAAAAAAAAAAAAAGAATAATGCCGCAGAGAACATTCTGGAACCTATGACAGAGCACATGTGCGCGAGTGGCAGTGCCAGACTGACAGATGCGCTTTCCAAAGCGGCTGAACCGTGCGCCACCCGCAGTTCCTGGGAGTTCTGGCAGCTGCCAGAGGGCCCGTGCTTCCCAGGACTTGCCACTGGCCAGGCCTTGTTAGCCCCACCATGTGCATGGATCAGGTCTGTCATAAAGGTTTTCATTTTTATTTCCCTATTAAGTGAGGTTGACCCCCTTTTCAGCATCTTGTCACGTTTATCAGCTTTTTCTTTTTCCTTTTTTGGAAGTGCCCGGTCAAGCCCTTTGCCCATTTGGTCTGTTCATTTCTCTCTCTTTTTAAAATTTAATTTATGTTTAGATAGAGGAAGGGAGAGAGACAGAGAGATAGAGAGACCGACAAAGAGACCGAGAAATATTGATCTGGGTTTCACATATGCAAGCATTCGTTGGTTGATTCTTGGATGTGTCCTGACCAGGGATCGACCCCACAACCTTGGCGTATGGGACAACGCTCTAAACAGCTGAGCTACCCAGCCAGGGCTTTCTTTTCTCTTTTTTAAAAATTGATTTGTAGGAATTCTGAAAACAAGTCCTTTGTTGGTTACATATATGGCAAATATCTACCCACTCTCTACAGCAGAAATTTTTAAAAATTGCATTAACAATCTTTCCTGCACGTATGTTCTAAATATGTAATTTATTGAATCAATAAAGTGTTTCCACTAGGGGGAAAGCCAGAGCAGAGCAGTCGTCCCTGGGTGTGTGATTGCCGGTGTCCTGCTGGGCCCTGGAGCCGGCCACAGCCGCAGGACCCGCAGCCCCTGGCCGGCCCGTGGCAGCCTAACACCGGCCCGTGGGGGTGTTCACACCGTGGGGTGTGGCAGTGCTGCGGTTCGGGCCCTTCTCTACCCAGACCCCGCCTGAAGGGCAAAAGGGTGGTCATTTGGTCAAACTTCAGACTTTGTTCTTTTCTTGGATTCTCAAGGCCTCGTTCCCTGGGGTAATGATGGATACTGGAGCCAAAGTTTACATGTTTTTCAGCAAGCAATTAAAACAAAAAACCCCTGCATGATTTTAATCAAAACGAGAAACTAAGGAATTAAAAGGAAAAAAATAGGATGAGCAAAATGATTGGGGAGGAGGGAGAAAATGTGAGTATCACTGACTCAGTGAAGGAGGGCGGGCCACAGTGCAGAAACTCAAACTTGACCTAATAGCATAAACTGTTGACCTGTTTATTATGGAAATGGTAAACAGAAACCAAAGTACACAGGATAGGCTCAGCCAGTGTGACTCAGTGGTTGAGCGTGGACCCATGCACCCAGAGGTTGCCAGTTCGATTCCTGGTCAGGGCACATGCCCAGGTTGTGGGCTCAATCCCCAGTGGGGGCAGGCAGGAGGCAGCCAATCGATGTTCTCTCTCATCAATGTTTCTATCTCTCTCTCCCTTCCTCTCTGTCTAAAAACCAATACAAAGAAAACAAATTAAAAATAGTTTTGTTTTGTTTTATTTTAAAAAGAAAAGAACACAGGATAGATAGCATCACCCAACTTCTGCAACTGTGAGGCAGTGGTGACCAATCTCACCCCATTCCTACGCCTCATTTGTCCCCACCCCACCACAATATCGACAACACACTTACTTCTGAATGATGATCTTTTTCGTCAGGTCACAACCAACTGAAATGAGCGCCGTCTGGAGAGAGAGACATGGAAAGTGAGGGCCACCAACAGCCCAGCCACACTGCAGACTCAGTCAGGGGCACACTCGCACCCGGGAGGGACTGCACACGGTGACTCAGGCATCCAGACTCACTGTGACTGTGACTGGCCCCACAGAGCTCAGGCCCTAAGAGCCTGTCCGAGCCCTGGGGCACAGCTGAGGTCCACCCACTGCCCACATACCTCTTAGCGGTTTCACAGAGACCAGAACCCAATTTATAAACCCAGCACAATGCTTGGCATACAGAGCACAAGGGAAGGAAGGAAGGAAGGAAGGAAGGAAGGAAGGAAGGGAGGGAGGGAGGGAGGGAGGGAGGGAGGGAGGGAGGGAGGGAGGGAGGGAGGGAGGGAGGGGCTATAATGAACAAATGGAAAGGAGAAAAGAGAAAGAGAGCAGTTGGGGTTAGCCTGAGAGCCTGACAAACTGGGCTGTGGTGGCACCCTCAGAGATCTATAAGGGAGTCTAAACCCACAGGACTTTGTTGTTTGAAAAAGCAGCTTTATATTATGACAAACATGGATTTACCATAGAACAGAATGCAAGATTTGTATCAATTTTTTAAAAATTGTGGTAGATAGTCCTGCTGGTGTGGCTCAGTGGCTGAGCATTGATCCATGCAAAAAGAGATCTCCAGTTCAATTCCCAGTCAGGCCACATGCCCAGGTTGTGGGCCCAATTCCCAGTGGGGGGCATGCAGGAGGCAGCCAATCGATGTTCTCTCTCATCGATGTTTCTATCTCTCTCCCCTTCTCCCTTCCTTACTCTTTAAAATCAATAAAGAAAAATTATAGCCCTGGCCAGTTTATCTCAGTGGTTAGAGCGTTGGCCCACAGACCAAAGAATTGTGGGTTTGATTCCGGTCAAGGGCATGTACCTCAGTTTAGGTTTGGTTCCCCAGCCCTGGTTGGGGTCATGCAGGAGACAACCAATCAATGTCTCTCTCTCTCTCTCTCTCTTTCTCTCTCCCTCACACTCTATCTGAAGATAAAAGGAAAAATAACCTCGGGTGAGGATTTTTTAAAAAATTATACAGCCCTCACTGGTTTGGCTCAGCGGTTGGAGCGTTGGCCTGCAGACCAGAGAGTCCTGGGTTCGGTTCCCGCTAGGGGCATGTACCAAAACTAAGTAAATAAAATAAAATAATAAATAAAAATATTATACAAAAATAAATAAAATTGTGGTAAATAGACACAACATAAACGTTAGCATCTTAACCATTTTATTTTTTTTATTTTTTAAAACTTATCTTTATTGTTGAATGTATTACAGATGTTCCTCATTTTTCCCCCATTGACCCCCTCCTCCCCACACCCATCCCTCTCCTGCCTTTACCCACAGTGTTGTCTGTGTCCATTGGTTATGCATATATACATATAAGTTCTTTGGTTTACTTCTTCCCATCCCCCAACCCCCTTCCCTTTGAGGTTTGTCAGTCTAGCAACCAATTTGTACTTCTTAATTCCTTCACCTTTTTCACCCATTCCCCCAACCCCCCTCCCATCTGGCAACCAACAAAATGTTCTCTGTATCTATGAGAATGTTTCTGTTCTGCTTGTTCATTTTGTTTGTAGATTCAATTGTCGATAGATATGTATTCATTGCCATTTTGTTTGTTCATATTTTTTATCTTTTTCTTCAAGAAGATCCTTCAACATTTCATATAGTAATGGTTTGGTGGTGATGAACTCCTTTAGCTTTTCCTTGTCTGGGAAACTCTTTATATGGCCATCGATTCTAAATGACAGCTTTGCAGGATAGAGTAATCTTGTTGTAGGTTCTTGCTTTTCATCACTCTGAATATTTCTTGCCTCTCCCTTCTGGCCTGCAAAGTTTCTTTTGAGAAATCAACTGACAGCCTTATGGGAACTCCCTTGTAGGTAACTGCTTTTCTCTTGCTGCTTTTAAGATTCTCTCTTTGTTTTGAATCTTTTGCATTTTAATGATGATATGTTTTGGTGTGGGCCTCTTGGGGTTCATCTTGTTTGGGACTCTGTGCTTCCTGGGTTTGTATGTCTGTTTTCTTCACCAAGTTAGGGAAGTTTTCTGCCATTATTGTTTCAAATAGATTATCGATTTCTTGTTCTCTCTCTTCTCCTTCTGGCACCCCAAGATGTGAATGTTGGCACGTTTGAAATAGTCCCAAAGGCTCCTTACACTATCCTCATTTTTTTTTTATTCTTTTTTCTTTTTGCTGTTCTGATTGCTTCCTTATATTCCAAATCGATGGTTTGCTTCTTGGCTTTACCTACTGTACTATTGAATTATTCTTTATTTTAGTTAGTGCCTCCTTCATTTCTGACTGTGCATCCTTCATTTCTGGCTGGCCCTTTTTATGCTCTTGAGGCCCTCACTAAGTTTGCTGAGGTTCTCACTAAGTTCATTGAGCATCCTTATAAGCAGTGTTTTGAATTCTGCATCTGTTAGGTTGCTTATCTCCATTTTGCTTAGTTCTTTTCTCACAGTTTTGTTCTGTTCTTTCATTTGGGACCTGTTTCTTTGTCTCCTCATTTTGGCTGCCTCCCTGTGTTTGTTTATATTATTACTTAACGAGAGGTATGGGGCTAGCTGAGACCAGATGCTGCTTGTTTGAAAGAATTTAGGAAAACCTGAAGCAGGATCCAAGACAGGCCAATCCTGTGGTCAAGCAACTGGCAACATCTTGGGTGGGCCTGAAAGTTGGGTTGGGCGGGGCCTCAGAGAGTCACCAGGGTGGGGCAAACAGTGTGAGCCAGGTTGCTGGAGTCCCAGATATGGCTTCTGTCTGCCGCCCCAGGGAAGGGCTCACCAAAGGAACAAAGGCCTCTGACAGCACGTTAGTCCGGAGAAAGCCCCCTCTCCAGCCCTCGCTCCAGTGCCAAATAGCTCAGTTCTTCCCTGTGTGTCTCTGGCACCCCTCATGCTGCTTCCCCTCTGAGCTTAGAGGGAGAAAGTCCCAGTAACTTGTGTGCGGGCCCTTTAAGAGGAGCTGCCTGAGGCTCCAGCCACGTCAGCTTCCCTGAGCCTCAGTTCCTTCTGGTTTTTCCAGCCAGAAGTTATGGGGACTTCTCTTCCTGGCACTGGAATCCTGAGCGGGGTGCCTGGTGTGGGACGGGAACCCCTCGGTCCTCAGGAAGGACCTTCCCAGCCAAGGTGTCCTCCTGATTTTTATCCGCCACACGTGGGTGTGGGACCAGCCCATCGTGCCTCCGCCCCTCCTACCATTCTCGATGCGGCTTCTTTAATTTCGTAGTTGTAGGACTTCCATTCAGCTTGATTTCAAGCAGCCTTGAATGATGGTTGTTCTGTAGTTTAGTTGTAACTTTGATGTGGTTGTGGGAGGACGCGATAATGTGTTTACCTACACTGCCATCTGGACCAGAAGTCTGCATCTTAACCATTTTAAAGTATATATGCAGCTCAATGGCATTAAGTACATTCTCCATGCTGTGCAACCATCCCCACCATCCATTCACAGAACTTTCTCATCTTCCCAAACTGAAACTCTGTCCCCATTAAAATTTTCATTCCCCTCCCCCAGCCCCTGGCCCCACCATCCACCTCCTGTCTCTATGGATCTGACTCCTGTAGGGCCCTCCTATGAATAAAATTGCACAGTACTTGTCCTTCTGTGTCTTGTCTATTAAACTGAGCATAAAGTCCTCAGGGTTCATGCACAAAGTAACATGTGTCCATATCAATTTTTCAAAGCAGCCAGGAATCTTCAAAGAAAAGTCCTGCTTGCTGACTCCTCCCACCCTCCAAACCCTCTCAGGATGGTCCCTCACTTCCTCTGCCCTCAGGGATACCTTCCTGGAGCAGCTGGGAATTGCTGACTTACAGGATTCAGACCAAAACCAAGGATGCTTCCTCCCTCTGTAGCAGGCAGTTAAATAAGCAGGAGCAGAGCAGGAACTATGGGCAACTAGAGGGTCACGGGGCGGAGAGCCCCAGGTGCCTAGCAAAGGACAAAAGTACAAGTGCTTGCCAACCACTCCCTTAAGCGTTAACCCCTGGGGATGACATCCAGGCCTCAGCTGTGTTTCAGCTCCAGGTCCAGAGAAGCAGCAAAACCAGGCAGAGCAACACCGTGGCTAACACTAGAACCAGCTGTAATGACTAGTGATCCCTCCCCTGGTGCAGACCAATCGCTGGAGACTGAGACCCTGAGGAAACACACCCGGAAAGCTGATGAGTAGTCTATTGGGATCCTCCCCTGAGCCTCAGATAAAAGCCCTCAGGATGGAGGACCTGTGTGGCTCTCACTGTGGAGCAGGCCCATGCCTCTCCCCACCCTATTCTTTCCCTGGGGCGTGCCCCTCCCCACCAGCATGCTGGAGCTCTCAAGATGGGTATCTCCCCCACCCCCCCAAACTCCAAGGGCTCTTCTTTTGCTGTAACTTGTTTCCTGAACCCATTTCTTCCATGGCTCACTTCTACCTCTGTGACTTTATAAATAAACTTTCTCTTATAATTGGGCTCTTCTCTTAGCCAGAACTCAAGACTGAGGTTGCATTTCTGTATCCTAAATGTGGGCTTGGCCAGTCCCTCAGTCAACTGAGGCCTGCTGCCATTATTCTTAACACCAATGACAGAGAATATGGGGCAGCAAAAGTTTGGGACGTACCAGGGGCTTGAGGTCCACGCACGAAATTTCCTTGTTGGCAATGTCCACAGTGATGGTGGAGATTGTGGGTCTCTTTATGCTATAAGGCAAAGGGAGTGTTGGTTATTGCACATGGGCATTGCAGTTGAAATCACTGCCAACTCATCCATCCTTTTGTCTATCTATCTATCTATCTATCTATCTATCTATCTATCTATCTATCATCCATCCGTTCGTCCGTCCGTCCGTCCGTCCGTCCGTCCGTCCTCTGTCCATTTGTCCAGCCATTCTGGAACACCAGAATATTGACCGAAAACCTCTACTCACATATGGTGGCCCTTCTTGAATCAGTTTTGTTCATTTATATATAATAACTTATTGGAAAAAACATCTGACATTCAATTTTATCATCATCTAGCTGCATATAATTTTCTCACTATTTTTTGAGTAGCTTCCTCATTCATACTTTTTTCATTGTTTTCTTTTTATTTCTTTTTGTTAATCCTCACCCAAGGGGAGATATGTATATATATTTTAATCCTCACCCGAGGACATACATTTTTTTCCATTTATCTTCAGATAGAGTGGGAAGGAGGGAGAGAAAGGGAGAGAGGAACATCCATGTGAGAGACACATTAACTGGTTGCCTCCTGCCCAACCTGACCAGGGCCAGGGACTTCTGAACCGCAACCGAGGTACATGCCCTTGGCCGATATCAAACCTGCAACTCCTTGTTCTGCAGGCTGATACTCTAAACACTGAGCCAAACCGGCCAGGGCAAGAATATTTTTTTCTATTGATTTTTTTTTTAGAGAGAGTGGAAGGGAGGGGGGTGTGGGAGAGAGAGAGAAACATCAATGTGAGAGAGACAGACACATCAATTGGCTGTCTCCTGCATGCCCCCTACTGGGTATCGAACCCGCAACTCAGGCATGTGCCCTGACAGGGAATCAAACTGGGACCTCTCAGTCCATGGGACAGTGTTCAATCCACTGAGTCATACCAGCCAGGCATCTATATTAAATTTTTGTGGAGCTGCCATTTGTAAAATGTTTGTTTTGATTTTGTTAATCCTCATCCTAAAATATTTTTCCATTGATTTTTAGAGTGAAAGGGAGGGAGGAAGGAAGGAAGGGAGAGGGGGGGAGAGAGAGAGAGAGAGAGAGAGAGAGAGAGAGAGAGAGAGAGAGAGAGAGAAAGAGAGAAACATTGATGTGTGAGAGACACATCAATTGGTTGCCTTCCATACAACCCTGACCAGGACCAGGGATCGGACCTGCAACCCAGGTATGTGCCCTTGATCAGAAATCGAACTCGTGACCCTTTAATCCATGGGCCGACGCTCTAACCACTGAACCAAACCAGCCAGGGCATCCCTCCTATTTTTAATCATTCTTGCCTTACAATTCTCCATGGAAGCGGCCGGGGGTAGGGAGGGGTCCTTGAACTTGTTTTCTCGGCTTCTGCTAAGGGAACCCAATGGACATCCTGGGGCCACTCGCCACAGTCTGAATAATGACATACCTGGAGGTGAAGTTGGGGTCAGTCCTGCCCCAGAGGTGCTGCTGCCTCAGGGAAATGTTCTGGGGATGAGAGAGAAACCAGCTGCACAGCGGGCAGCCCAGGGCAGCCCCAGAATGGGGTCAGGGAGAGATGGGGGAGGATGGGGGCTCTGGGAGGAGGAGCCCGGAAACTCTCCAGGACTCTCCTGGTTCTAATTCCACCACCTACGAAAGGCTTCTGGAAGTTCATAGAAATGGTCACCCCAAGGGCCTTCATATCCTTGCTGCCTTTGTCCTGAACCCAGTGTGAAGTGCAACTGTGTTCCCTTCTACTTCTCCAGGAAGTGAGAAGGACTGATCCAAAGGGTGCTGCAGCCCACTCATGCCTTGTCCTGCAGGAGCCACACAACCCAGTCCTGGGCTTCTGGGCTCAAGTCCAAATTCTGTGCTGTGACCACGAGGTCCGGCTCAGACCTGCGGATTCCCCACACCCATATATTCAAGTCCCTCCCGGCCCTCCTGGCTCCCCCATTCTAACACCTCAGTTTACCAGCTAATACAGATCTCCTGCCTGCCCTGGGGCTGGGCGAGGTTTCCTGTCATGTCCTCTGTGCCTCCCCATGTGTCACCTTAATGGCATCACTTATTTAGGTGATTGCTGCCTGCCTGGGTTGGGGAAAAGCTGGGGATGTGTTTCCTCCAAATCCTGCAGCCCTGAATGCAGGTACATGCAGGGAGAGAGGAGGAGGAAGGAGGGTTATGCCCCGGGAATGACCATGAGTGCTGGACTTGGCCAGAATAGTCAAGGCTGTGCCCTTCACCTGGTTTAGGGCATGGGGGTGGCTCACCAGCCTGTACTTGGTGTTCCCTTCGTAGGTGTAGCCGTCTTCGTAGATGATGGCCTGAAGCCCCAAAGAGTGGGGATTGCTCACCGTTGCCTGGGGTGGGTACAGGAGGGGCATCAGGCTGCCACTGGGGTGATGCCTTCAGGTGACTGCCAGGCACCTTCAGAGCAGGAACCACCCTTGCTCTGCAGATGCAGCTGCCAGGCCCTCCCCAATGTCCCCCCAGCGGCTGCCTCTATGCCTGGTTCTGCAGACAGCCTGGAGCTGTGGAGCCGCAGGGCCCAGACCCGTGGGGCCCAGAGGCCTGCTCTGCAGAGGGAGGCTGAGATGAGGGAGCTCTGAATGAGAGCCAGAGCCAGCCTGGCATGTCCTCACTGGCCCTGATCCTGGCCCTGGCTGGCTGGACTCTCCCCATATTCTTACACTAATCTGCCCCCCCCATTTCCAGGCTTGGACATTTGGGTTCCAGGCCCAGGACCCCCGCTGCATGAGGGAAGGCTGTGAGTCAAGGCTCTGCTAAGAAGAAAAGGCACTTGTGGAAAGCTCAGGGCGCAGCTCAGAAGGGTAGGGAATGAAGCGCAGAGAACGCATGGAGGAGGCCGGCATCTGCCCAGACACGGAGAAGCCGGTTGAGGAGAAGACCGTTTCTGTGGGTATCATGAGTGAGTGCTCTCCACGGGAGAACACCAGGGAGTTTCCAGAGTCTGGGAGCAATGGGCACAGGGCGTGACACCAAGGACGCTGGGAACATCAGTATCAGAACACGCGTCCAACAGATAAGATGTCCTTACGAGTGGGACGGGTGACGTGCCTGGCCTGGGTATCATCAGGGCGGTCAACTCCAATTCGCTGTTCATATCAATGATGTACATTTTGTTATCAAAATCTCCTTGCAGAATTTCTACCTAGTTAGAAAGGCAAAAAATGTTTTAATTAAATCAAGTCTCTATTCCCAAAAGAGAAAAGGGCAAACAGGTGGTCAGTGGCCCCCGCCCAGGGATGGAACCTTCCAGGTTTGGGTACCCCAGCCTGGGCTTGCACTCCCACCTCTTCCCCACTGGGGAAGGCACCCTCAGGAGGCCTTCGAGTTCCCCTCCTCTCTTCACAAGTACCTCCGGCCTGACCTTTGTGGTAACTGCCTTTTTCCTTGTTCTTTCTAGAGTTATCACCAACTGTGCACCCCTGGATGATATATCTTGGTCTTCCCCGTTTTCAAACAGTGTTATGTCTTTTTTTTTATCCTCACCCAAGGACATTTTTTCACTTTTTGTTCAGATTGAGCGAGAGGGAGAGAGAGGGAGAGAGAGAGAGAAACATCGACGTGAAAGGGACACATCGAGTGGCTGCCACCCGCACAACCCAACCAGGGCCGGGGACAAACTGCAACCGAGGTACGTGCCCTTAGCGGGAACCAAACCCAGGTCTCTCTGGGTCGCAGGCCGACACTCTAACCGCTGAGCCAAACCGGCCAGGCCAATGTTATGTCTTTTTTTTTTTTTATCCTCACCTGAGGACATTTTTCCATTTTTTGTTCAGATAGAGTGGGAGGGAGGGAGAGGAAGAGAGAGAGAGAGAGAGAGAGAGAGAGAGAGAGAGAGAGAGAGAGAGAAACATCGACGTGAAAGGGACACATAGAGTGGCTGCCACCCGCACGACCAACCAGGGCTGGGGATAAACTGCAACCGAGGTACATGCCCTTAGCGGGAACCGAACCCGGGTCTCTCTGGACTGCAGGCTAATGCTCTAACCGCTGAGCCAAACCGGCCAGGGCTAATGTTATGTCTTTTAAGTCTTTCTGTCCACAGCTTCCCCCTCCAGCCCCAGCCGTTGGATTTATAGGCTTCCCACAGCCTGGATTTTCCTGGCACCGTTGGGCACATTCCTCTCGCTCTGCATTTTCGGCAGACTGGCAGCTGGACCCATCAAGTTTGGGTTGGGATGTGTTGGCAAGACTCGCCAGGTGACTGATCTCACATCGATGGCACTTCATGGCTGTCTTCTTTTGGACGTTGGTGGCCACTGATGCTCCAAGCCCACATCCACTAATTTGCTGGGTTTGTGTACAGGACTAGCAGTACAAAACAACAGTGTACAAATACCTGGATAATACACCTGTTTTGCAATAGTGCAACTTTTCAGTACCTATTGTTGACAGTCCATAGTCCACACAAAGTCACAGCTCCACACTTCAACAACATGCTGACAGTTCCTGAAGAAACTACTTTAAAAAAAGACATAACCCCGATGCTCCTTCATTTGACCAGTTCCATCTGAGTTTAGATGTGCCAAAGGGCTTAGATGTATCCAGGGGGAGTCACATGCAACACTTTACTTGATCAATTTTCTAAAATAAGACTTTAGGGCAGTGATGGTAAGAGAAAGGAAAAAAACATGGAACAATAAGGTTCTAATTACTATACATGCATTTTAAAAATATATGTTTTTATTGACTTTTTAGAGAGAGAGGAAGGGAGAGATAGAAACATTGATGTGAGAGACAAACATTGATCAGCTGCTTCCTGCACATCCCCCACTGGGGATCGAGCTGAAACCTAGGCATGTGCCCTGACCTGGAATAGAACCGGTACCTCTCAGTCCATGGGGCGATGCTCAATCCACTGGCTGGACTATACGTGCATTTTTTATTTTATTTTATTTTATTTTACAGTAGGGGAAACCTTTTACAGATAAGTTACAAACAAAGAAATGGTGAATAAACAATTTTGTACAAGAAAAAAATATTTGCTGGGGTTGCTACGTGACACTCTCCTAGCATTTTGTTTTCATACATTCACCAGAATAATTTTATCAGGAGACTGTTTCCCTTCTCTATTTCCTGGCCCAGTCGAACGGCATGAAGAAAAGGCGTCTGGCTTTTAGTTCCCCGGTTTTCAAGACAGTGGATTGGTTGCGACCATGTCGAGAAGGTGACCAGTAAGTGGCTTCCTGGAGAAGTGGCAGATTCCAGGTCTGGGGCGGAGCAACGGACAAGAGACGCTGCAACATCTCGTCATAGCCACATGACTGGTCACTGTCGATGTCAATCCTGACCTAGTTAAAACCATGTGTACCAGCTTTCTGCACTCTCAAGCTGCAATTTCCCTTTCCAGACTGTTTTTCATTGGCAAGTCACTAAGGCCAGACCACACTGGGGTGGGGGTGGGGGGGGTGTTAAGCCCCACCTCACAGAGAGGGGAGGAAATAGCTAGATTATTTGGAATTCTTCTGGAAGGGAATGTGTCTCCTCTCCCTTTATTCATTCTTCCATTTATTTACATCCATGCGGACTTGTGTGTATATATTTTATCCTTTGCCTTATTATCCAATATTGTGTTGTTTATTTTTGCTGCTCAAGTTGTTCCAGCTTTCATCCATGGGTTTTTGTGGTGCTATATCTTTTTGGTGGGATTTTGGAAAAGTATTTGCTAATGCTACAGCCATCTGCCTCAGAACAGTTGAAGGGGCCAAACATTTGCATGAAAGCCTTACTATTTCTCTCTCTCTCTCTCTCCACCTTCCACTTGTGCATAAGGCCAGAAAATTTCAGATATGTGATTTCAAGGACCCACAAGAAAATCACAATGGCTAGGGAGTGATATTTTACTGTGGCAAGTACAGAAAAAACTACTACCATCCATTAGCACCATGGTCTCATGAAAGGATATTTTAATAAATCTATAAACTCGATATACGGCACAGTTGCTTTCATGTTTTTCTCACGTAATTCAATGCCATGTATTTCAAGGCCATTTAGAAGCAGACACTCTACAATCTTTAGCCTCTCAGAGGGGGAGTGGCCCCACAGATCGGTGACACCGAGGCAGCCTGGTCTCTGCCGAGCACCGTCCTAAACAGACTCTGGATTTTAGAGCATTGAAAGATGGGGAAGAGGCTGCTGGACGAGACAGGCTCACAGATGGCATTTCCTTGGGAATGTAAATTGGTGCAGCCACTGTGAAAAACAGCATGGAGGGCCCTGAAAAAAAATTAAACATCTAACTACCATATGGCTTGGAAATTCCACTTCTGGGTATTTATTCGAAGGAAATGAAATCACTATCTTGAAGGGATATATGCACCCCCATATTCATTACAGCACTATTCCCAATAGCCAAGACATGGAAGCAATCTGTGTCCATCAGTGAATAAAGGGATAAAGAAGATGTGGTATGTATCTATATTTATGTCCACAGTGAAATATCATCTATATCTATGTCCAAAATGAAATATTATTCAGCCTTAAAAAGAAGGAAATGCAGCCATTTTTGACAACATGGATAGACCTTAAGGGTATTATGCTGAGTGAAATAAATCAGAGAAAGACAAACACTGTATGACCTTACTTACATGTAGAATCTAAAAAAGCCAACTTGCCCTGGCAGGTGTGGCTCAGTTGGTTGAGCGTCATCCTGTGCACCAAGAGGCTGTAAGTCTGATTCCTGGTCAGGGTACATGCCCAGGTGCGGGAGGCAGCCGACTGATGTTTCTCTCTCACATCAATGTTTCTTTCTCTCTCTCTTCCTCTTTCTCTAAAATAATAATAATAATAATAAACATATTCAAAAGTAAAAATAAAAAAGCTGAACTCATAGAACCAGAGAACAGATTGGTGTTTGCCAGAGGCAGGGGCTGGGGGATGGACGAAATAGGTGAATGGGGTTAAAAGGTACAAACTTACAGTTATAAGATACTATAAAATGCTAGGGATGTAATGTACAGCATGGTGACCAGTTATTGCATATTTAAAAGTTGCTAAGAGATTTTTTAAAAATCTTCACCTGAGGACATTTTTCTATTTATTTTCCGACAGAGTGGGAGGGAGGAAGGGAGGGAGGGAGGGAGAGAGAAAAACACTGAAGTGAGAGAGACACGTTGACTGGTCACCTCCCTCACAATCCTGACAAGGGCCAGGAACCCAACCGCAACCGAGGTACATGCCCTTGACCGGAACCAAATCTGTGACTCATTGGTCCATGGGCTGACTCTCTAATCACTGAGCCAAACGAGCCAGAGGGCTAAGAGTAGATCTTAAAAATTCTCATCAGCCCTGGCCGGTTTGGCTCAGCAGTTAGAGCGTCGGCCTGCGGTCCGGAGAGACCCGGGTTCGGTTCCCGCTAGGGGCACTTACTTCGGTTGCAGTTTGTCCCCGGCCCTGGTTGGTCGTGCGGGTGGCAGCCACTCGATGTGTCCCTTTCACATCGATGTTTCTCTCTCTCTCTTTCTCCCTCCCACTCTATCTGTACAAAAAATGGAAAAATGTCCTCAGGTGAGGATTAAAAAAAAAAAAAAAATTCTCATCACAAGAAAAAAAATTTTAACTATGTATGGTGATGGATGTTCACTAAACTTATTGTGGTGAGCATTTTACAGTATAAACATATATCAAATTATTATTTTGTGGACTTGAAACTAATACAGTGTTATATGTCAATATCTCATTGGCCCTGACCGGGTAGCTCAGTAGGTTAGAGCATTGTCCTGATACCTCAAGATTGCAGGTCGATACCTGGTCAGGGCACATACAAGGAGCAACCAGTGAATGAATAACTAAGTGAAACAACAAATTGATGTCTCTCTCTCTCTCTCTCTCTCTCTCTCTCTCTCTCCCCCTCTGCCTCTCCTCTCCCTTCCTCGCTCTCAAATCAATAAATAAAAATGGCCCTGGCCAGTTTGGCTCAGCGGTTGTAGTGTTGGCCTGCGGTCCGGAGAGACCTGGGTTCAGTTCCCGCTAAGGGCATGTGCCTCGGTTGCAGTTTGTCTGCAGTCCTGGTTGGGTCGTGCAGGTGGCAACCACTCGATGTGTCCCTTTCACATCAATGTTTCTCTCTCTCCCCCTTCCTCTCACTCTATCTGAATAACAAATGGAAAAGTGTCCTCGGGTGAGGATAAAAAATAAATAAATAAAAATGTAGAAAATAATATATTATTGCCCAGGCCAGTTTGCTCAGTGGTTAGGGTTAGGGTCGTGGGTTCGATTCCAGTCAAGGGCACGTACTTTGGTTGCAGTTCATCCCCGGCCCTGATCCGGTTGTGGGGAAGGCAACCAGTCAATGTAGCTCTGTCACATTGATGTTTCTGTCTCTCTCTCTCCCTTCCTCCCACTCTATCTGATAATAAATACAAAAATATCCTCTGGTGAGGAATAAATATAAATATAAATATATATATAAATATAAATATAAATATATATACATATGTGCGTGTGTGTGTGTGTGTATTTAAAACTGGAGGGAAAACTTTTAAAAATAAAAATAAAGTTAGGAAAAACTTTCCTGTACTTCCGAACATGTGATTGCCAGGGACTGGGGGAGATGGATTCTGGAGGAACTTAGAGAAGACAGTTTACTATTTCTGTCCAGCGCTTCATCCCATTCTTAAGGATATCCCCAGTTTCTTTGGGAATATCCCAAGTTTCCTTTGGCAAATCACCCTTTTACACATCCTTGGACATGTGGCCTGATGGGTGAACTGATTGTAACACTGTCTCCAGCAGTGGGTTCTGATTGGCTCACCTCAGCCATGTGATTGGTTCAGGAATGGGCGTGTCATCCTCTATGAGCCAATGAGATGTAGGAGACATTTGGCTTCTGCTGGGCTCTGATGAGACCTCTCTTGCCTGGTATACAGGGTAAGGATACCAGGTCTTCAGGGTCAGCTGCCAGTTTGCTGCCATGATATGAGAGCCTGAGGCTTCCCAGAGGCATCCAGATGGAGCTTCAGGATGAAGCATGAAACACCCTGGCAGGCAGAGTAGAGAGATGGGAAGAAGCCGGCTCTTGGTGGCATGATTTCAGATACTAGATCAAGCCTCACCTGAAGTCTTCCCTCTTTGGACTTTTTGGTCTTAGAGTCAGCAATTACCTTTCTGGTTTGAGCCCATTTGATTTGGATTTTCCGTCACTTGCAGAATAATGAATCCAAATTGATACATGCATATTTCTATATTTCTGTGATTCCCCCCCACTTTAATCAGTCAACTTGGCCAAGTCTACAGGGTCAAGGCTGATCCCCATGGCTCGGTGGATAGCTTGAGTCCAAATTAATCTTCCTCTCTGAGGACTCTCCAGGTAAGTTTTTTTTAATTAATTAATTTATTTTTGTTACAGATGTTTCTCCTTTTCCCTCCCACTGATTCCCCCTCTCCCTCCCTCCCCGCCTTGTCCCCAGCTTTGTTGTCCATGTCCATTGTTCATGTCCAGGCAAGTTTTTGTGGAGCCATGACTGTTCATTTGACTGCTTGTGTCCTGATAACCATATCACTTACTTTTTTCTCTTCTGAACAATTTGAGCGTTGGTTGATGTCCCTTGTTGCAAACAGCATATACTAAAAGTGAAATATGTTTCTATTTGACAGAATGGACAGGAAATTGTACAAGATGTGGGTGCCAGCCTTTAGGGCAGTGGTGGCTAGTTGTGAGATTTAGTTGTTTATGTGAAGTTCAAATTAAACTGGGCATCCTGTATTTTATCAGGCACCCAACCCTACTGGAGCTCTACATGTGGCTGCTGGCCACAGATGCTCAGCTGTGTCTCTGGGATTTGTCTTTTTTTAACTTTTTGTTTTTAATCCTCACCTGGGGATATTTTTATATTTATCATAAGACAGAGTGGGAGGGAGGGAGGGAGGGAGAGGGAGAGAGAGAAACATTGATGGAGAGACACGTCGACTGGTTCTCTCTCGCATGACCTGACCAGGGCCGGAGACAAACCACAACCAAGATATGTGCCCTTGGCCAGAATCAAACCAGAGACTCTTTGGTCCGCAGGCCAAAGCTCTAACCGCTGAGCCAAACCGGCTAGGGTGGATTTGTCCTTTTTTAAAAAAGTGTCTTGAACATGGAGCTGAACAGTTACAATCACATACTTTGCAGACGTCAACTTGGAGTTGGGGGTCCATGAGAATTGCCTGAATGTTCACGGGGCACTTCTGGAAATCAAAAGCTGGAAAAACTGAATCAGGAAGTGGGGTCAGGATTTCAAGCATCCCCGGGTTAGTGAACATCAGGGCTGCCTCTTGGGACCAGATGTTTTGGTGTGCAAACTGAAAAGAAAAGTGATTTCTGAAATCAGGTCATTCCAATTCTTTTTTGAGGATTTAAATTTTATCTTAGGATTCAGGTTTAAAGAAGGTAGACCAAACAAACAGCAAAGTCATAGGTACACTTTGTTGAGACACCTATTCTTGAGTTTCTTCCTCTCTTGGTATTTAAATTAATAATGGAAACTGTGTTTCCTATCATAGAAGATACCCAGGAAATTTCTTTATAGGTCATGGACCTCTTTGAAGAGTTGGAAAAGCTACAGAATCTCTCCCCAGAAAACACCAAACATCAAAATGTCAGGGTTAAGGCTTCAAAGAGATGCTTCTCATGCTAATGCCCCACACCAGTGATACTGTCCCAGTTCCATTGTCGGGAAACTTTCAGGAAACTTGGTGGATGTAGATCTAACAGGAAAAACACAGAGGTAGCAGTTGGCCACCATCACCACTCCATACCTTTGTAATTTTGGACAAATGACTTAACTCTCTGTGCCTCAGTTTGTCCCTCTGTCCAATGGGGACAATACAAGGATCTACTTCTTAAGGCAATGGTCAGGGTTAAATGAGGTAACAGTAAGAATGTGGTTAGACCAGCACCTGCCATATTCTAAGTAGTTTTAGCTGTCATTGCTGTTATTTTAATAACTATTAAAATTACTATTACTATTAAAATTATTAATATTAATCATTTAATATTAATTAAAATTATTGTTATTACTACTGCTATTAAAATATTGTTACTTTGATAATAATTAAAGCTATTTTAGCCTTCAGAAACAGTATTGGCAGTTTGAGAACAAGACTATTCCTAAGGGGGGATATCTGCAAACTTTCAATAAAGAGTTAAAAAAAAAGACGGGCCCAGCCGGTGTGGCTCAGTGGTTGAGCGTCCATCCATGCACCAAGAGGTCACTGGTTTGATTCCTGGTCAGGGCACATGCCCAGGTTGTGGGCCTAATCCCCAGTTGGAGACATGTGGGAGGCAGCCAGTCGATGTTCTCTCTCATCGATGTTTCTATCTCTCTCTCCCTCTTCTTCCTCTCTCTCTAAAATCAATAATGAAAAGAAAAAAAAGAAAAAAAATTAACAGTAATTATTTTAAAAATAAATAAATAAATAAATAAACAAACAAACAAAAAGACGGTATTTCTTACAAACCTGACAATAACCCTAACTTTGATTTTTACCTACTTTGATTAGAAAACTTGTCAGGATTCCCAGGCTGCCATAATACAAATTACTCTCCTGAGTTAAAACTGCCAGTTCATTTTCATCTAGAAAACAAGCAAACAAGACAACAAAAATTGAAATGAGGCTTGTTTCAATGGACAAAAATATTAAAAATATAAACATTTTTTTACAAAAATCACCCATCATCTAGATTCGGGATCAGCAAACTTCTTCTGTAAAGGACCAGGTGGCAAATATGTTCTAGTTTGCTGGCCATGTGATGTCTGTTAAAAGTATTAAACTCTGCCTTAGCTGGGTGGCTCAGTTGGTTGGAGCATTGTCCCGTACACTGAAAGATTGTGGGTTCGATCTCCCATTGGGTGCATATGGGAGACAACCAATCAATGATTTTCCTCTTTCACAATGATGTCTCTCTCTCTCTCTTTCTCCCCCTTCCTCTCTTTCCCCTTTCCTTTCTCTCTCAAAAAATCAATAAACAGCCCTGCTGGTGCGGCTCAGTGGATTGAGCATTGTCCATGGACGGAGAGGTCCCAGTTCAATTCCCCATCAGGGCACATACCCGGGTTGTGGGCTCGATCCCCAGTAGGGAACGTGCAGGAGGCAGCTGTTGGATGTGTCTCACATCAATGTTTCTATCTCTTTCTCCCTAAAAAATAATCGATAAAAACATATTTTTAAAAAATCAATAAATATATCCTTGGGTTAAAAAAAAGTATTCAACTCCATGAAAGCAACTCTGGATAACTTGTAAATGAATGGGCATGACTGTTCCAATAAAACTTTATTTACAAAAACAAGCTGTAGTCCAGATTTGGCCCATGGGCCAGGGGTTACTGAACCCTGACATAGGTAACCACTGTTAACATTTTAGTAAACATCTTTTCTGATAGTTTTACATATGCAGGATCATATTCTGAAACCCTTCAAGCTGCTTTGTAACTTCATTCCTTCCTTTCCTTTCCAGCTACACGGATGTAGTTGGCTAGTCAATGTTCTGGTGTTCAAATGAACTGTAACTGGTTTAACCAGTCTTTCACTGATGGACACTGAGGTTGCTTCTGATGTTCTGCACATACAAACTTCCAAGGAAACACAGAACACCATTCAAAAATTTTATGAAAGGGGGAAACAAGATCCAATGCATATTTTTATTCTTTTTTTAAAACAGCAACCTAAGTTTTCAGAAGAGATGAGGCTTCAGCTGAGCCTTGAAAAAACCTTCTGATGTAGAAAAGTGAGGTGTGTTTGAGGGCAAGGACCAGACTCATGTTGCTGAGGGTTTCTCAATCTGGGTTCCACTTAACATTAGGGGCTAGATGGCTTTCGTGGTGGGCTTGGCACTGTCCTATGCCTGGTATGATGTTGGGCAGCACCCCACAGTGGTGACAACCACAAATGTCTCCATACATTGTCCAGTGTTCCCAGGTTGAGAGCCATGGGGTTAAGTGGACAAAAGAGATCACTCAGGGCAGTGGTGGGCAGTCAGATGAGAGACAAGATACATGGACCTGAAGGTCATTCTTGCAAATGTGAACATTATTCTTTTTAAAAATGTTTTTATTGCCCTGGCCAGTTTGGCTCAGCGGTTAGAGCGTCGGCCTGTGGTCTGGAGAGACCCGGGTTTGGTTCCCACTAGGGGCGCGTGCCTTAGTTGCAGTTTGTCCCCAGCCCTGGTTGGTCGTGCAGGTGGCAGCCACTCGATATGTCCCATTCACGTCGGTGTTTCTCTCTCTTCCTCTCTCTCCCTCCCACTCCATCTGAACCAGAAAATTGTTCTCGAGTGAGGATAAAAAATAAATGTTTTTATTGATTAGAGAGAGAGAATGTGGGGGGGGGGAAGAGAGAGAGAGAGAGAGAGAGCGAGCATGTCCCCTATTTGGGATCGAGCCCACAACCTGGGCATGTGCCCTGACTAGAAATTGAATCAGTCACCTCTTGGTGCTTGGGACAACGCTCAACTAATTGAACCACACCGGCCAGGGCTGAACATTATTCTTTAGAAAGTAAGAAAACATTAAAGATTCCAGACATGGGAAATGTGTATTCAATGGTTAAAAAAAAAAAAAGAGTGGGAAGATAAGCCATTGACCGGGAGAAAATATCTGTAGAGCCTGTATCTGATAAGGGATTTGCATCTAGAATGTATAAAGAACACTTACAACTCAACAATAAAAAGACAAACAGCCCAATTAAACAATGGGCCAAGGACCTAAAGAGACAGTTCAGCTAGGAAGCTACCCTCAGGTTGGGCACGCACTGGCAGCCACGTTGTAGATGGTGATGTTGGCTTCAAAAATGGAATGCAAGGTGCGCCGTCCCTCTCGCACACGGACAGGGTTGACGAGCTGACCTATGAGACAACAGGGCAGAATCATGAGACCTGGACACGTGTTGGGAGGGGGTGTCCACTAGTGAAATGCTGCCCAACCCACCCCTTGGTTTGTGACTCAAGTGTTAAAGATTCAAGAAAAATATAACACTGAGATGCAATGTTGCAAAACATCCTTTGGAATACATTTAGGTTAAAGAAGCTTTTCACTACCCAGAGGCTTAAACACCACCAATGCCTTTTACCATACAGGTAACATGTATAAGGAATAAGACAGAGCTTTCTTTCTGAAATGGGCTCTCAAAATAGGCAGGTCAGCTCTGAGCCCTTTTCTTGCACTGCAGGGAACACAGTGTTCAGGTAACCTGACTGGTGCTGGGTAGCTGGCTGTGATTGTGGGTGCTCTTGCAACCACACCTGTGTCCAGAGGTTCCTGACAGCACCTCTTCCAGGGAGGGCTGCCTTTTGCTCCTCTGCTCATGCCAGCTGGTGAGCTCATGTAGCCTGGGCACCTCCAGGATTCCCCAGCTAGGCCACTTGTCGGTGCTGTGCTACTTTCGGATTTTTCTTTTGCCTAGGGGAAGCTCATGTGAGTGGCGCTGACCATCTCCCAGAATCCCTAACCTCAGCCCCAAAACAAGGTCTGCAGTTCCTGGACCAAAGACCTGGACCCTTTATCCTCGGCATCTGATGACTTTCAGAACCTGCCTGTGGTGTTCTTGAAGGTTCCACAAGGCAGGGAATGATGGGGTGGGGTGGGGGTAAGGTGTGGTGTAGAGATGCAGTTAGGACTGCAAAGTGAGAATGGGTTCCTGTTGTCCACTCAAGTCAGGGAGAGAAAACATAATAGTGTGTGCTTGCCTCCCTGAAGGGGGAAGCACACTGAGTGGCAGCCCGGAGCCTGGCCTCACTCACCTGCATTTTTGGAAATTAACAGGCTTTTCTCGAACCAGAAGATCAGAATGCCTTTCTGGCCCGGGGTGATGAGGATGTCAAGAGTACCATTGTAGTCAAAGGGCAGCCCAAAACTGTAGTTCAGGGGGTGGTCCAAGTACCAGAACTTGGCCTGACAGAGAGAGAGAGAGAGAGAGAGAGAGAGAGACCACTGAATCTCAAGGGATAAATCACCTGAATCACCAAGTCAGTGATTAGAGAGAGGCAGACAGGTACAGGCCCACGTGCTTTGTTCTTCAAACTTTCTTATTATCTGTTCCAGCAGCTCTCTCAGCTTGAGATGATTCTGCCTCCAGGGGACACCAGGCAGTCTGGGGATATCTGTGGATGTCAACCTGGGGGTGCTCCTGGCTTAGTGAGTGGGAGCCAGCAATACTGCTCAACAGCCCACAGTGCCCAGGACTGGTTCTCATGATAAAGAACTATGCACCGGAAATGTCCACAGTGCCAAGACAGAGGTGCCCTGCTCCCCTTTGTTTTCTGCCAGGCCAGTGTTGGTACACTTGCTCCTGAGTTATTCAGGTTGATCTCTCTCCTCCAACCCACCTGTGTGCACACTACAGCTTCTTTTCCTAACGACCTCTTCCATCAAGCCACTCACACCTCGTGACCTTTAAGGGCCTGCTCCAGGGTCAAGTCTAAATTGTTTGGCATGGTTGTCAAAGTTCTCTTCTTTGCTCTTTATGAAAGATTCCTGACAGCACTGTGCAAAGATCGAATTTAAAAAACACTGTCACTGGTTCCTAAGTGAGTCCCACTTATGTGTCAAATTGACAGCTTCGTCCCCTTCCCAGAAGATGCACGATGGAAAGGAGGGAGAGACCACCGGCTGCTTTCCAAGTGCCCCCCCCCCCCCGACCCCGGGAGAGAACTAAGCACTCAGGTGAATATGGACTGTGCCAGGCTGCTGGACTTGACCGGCCTGCCCCCCGCTGTGGACACCGGCACTAGGCACCTAAGGGACAGTGAGTGGGTTCCCATCCCCCTATTCATCCCATTGTGTTGTGAACTGGCTGGCCTTGTCCCCAGATCTCAGAATTGCTCAGCCGAGATGCCGGTGTAGCCACAGCCAATTAAGGCAACAAGGCAAATGGGACAGTTTAGCCTTCAGCTGCTTACTGCGGTGGGGTCAACCAGAGAGCAGGCCAGAGGACACAGCGTGCCCTCCGTCCTGTTCCCCAAGGGCACGTCCCTGTGAGGGGGAGGGGCTCCTCTCACAGTGAAGGGAGCCACACAAAAGGCTCTTGCAGTCTTCTGCGGGTGCAGGGGAGGGGGGGCAGAGGCAGGGGTAGAGGGAGGGCCTAGAGCTGGGAGCTGGAAAGGTCCTGAGTCGGGTGGGGAAAGTGTCAGCCAGGTTTTCTCCTCCTCCCTCCTGAAAGACCTACGGATGAAGGCCGCCCATGTGGCCTGGGACAACTGCAAGTCCTTTAGAGCCTGCAGAGCACCTTGACTTGTCCTTCTCAAACTCGGCTGGGGAGGGCAGCATCCCCTGGACGCCTGCCAGGTGAAGCCTTCCTGATTGCCTGTGGTCAGGCTGAGAAACCACACGTAGACGGCAACCAGGAGCTGGACTTCTCAGCCACTAAATTCTTGGGATTTCCAGGGATGTCTCTGTAATTCAGGGCGACAGAGCTGGACCGATCGTGTATTAGTAGAGGGTGGGGCTTTAAGCCACTGGATAACAGCCCAAGCTCTGGGAGGCTTTCTGATAGTGGGTCTCCCCTGAACTTAAGAGCTGCACACCCTGCTCATAATGTTTGAACACCAGGTCCTGACTGTACTTAATCTCTTTCCAATTTAATATTTTATCTTCTAATGCAGTTTAAGTGGACTGACTCCTTTTCTTAATATAGTCTTATCCTAGTCTTATCTGCGAGGGCACAGGTTTTATGTGCTGATTTTCTGAATAGACATGCAAATAATTGTTTAAAAAAGTTTGATGTGCCCTGGCCAGTTTGGCTTAGTGGTTGGAGCAATGGCCTGTGGACCGAAGGGTCACAGTTTGATTCCTAGTCAGGGGCATGTACCTGGGTTGCAGGTTCAAACCCAGGCCCCCGCTGGGGTCGTGAGGGAGGCAACCAACTCTCTCACATGGATGTTTTTCTCCCTCTCCCTCCCTCCCTTCCTTCCACTCTATCTAAAAAATCAATGGAAGAATATTCTCTGGTGAGGATTAACCAAAAAAAAAAAAAAAAAAGTTTCACATGAGGTATTTTCTTTTTTTTAATCCTCACCCGAGGACATCCTTCCATCTTTTGTTCAGGTAGAGTGGAGGGGCGGGGGGGGGGGGGGGGGAGAGAGGAACAGAGAGAGAGAGAGAAACATTGATGTGAAAGGGACACATAGAGTGGCTGCCACCCTCACAACCGACCAGGGCCGGGGACAAACTGCAACCGAGGTACGCGCCCTTAGCGGGGACCGAACCCGGGTCTCTCAGGACCGCAGGCCGACACTCTAACCACTGAGCAAACGGGCCAGGGCCACATGAGGTATTTTCAATGATTTTGTCAATAAATCAAAACTTTAAAGAAATGATCTTGTGCACCCTCAGTGACACAGGCACCACATCTTTTAGATTGCCCCTGGTGCTCAGCGTGGTGCTTAGTTCCTCCTAGACACTACTCAAACACTGCCACGTGCACTGCGGAATGAGCAAATAAATGGGGGTGGGGGTGAATAGGTATCTGGATGAAAGGTAGGTAGGTGGATGGATGGATGGATGATGGATGATGGATATGTGGATGGATGAGTGGCTGAATGAGTGAGTGGATGGATGGATGGTTAGGTGGATCGATATGTGGATGGATGGGTGAATGACAAGCTAGATGGATTTCAGCTATAAAAATCCAAGTGTGTGAGTTCTAATAAAACCCTGGCTTTTGCAGAGGTCTTTCAAGTCATTTATCTAAGTGACTCACCCTCCCCTGGTCGATGAGAAGCAGGCCAACCTGGGACAAGGAGTGAAAGTAGAAGATCCCACCCAAAGACCCGACTAGTTCTGCCTGTGAAACAAACAAAAGAAGTTGCATATGAATACATTGTGAACATGTTTAATTCTAAATGTAATCTAAACTTTAGATTACCCAATAAGCTGAAATGAAGGAAAACCCTCTTCTTATTATGATTTAATTATCCTCTATGAAAATGTAGCATCTAGGGCAAAACCTTGAATGAAGACGGCTTTGTTTAGGGGTGTTGGAGAAGGCGGTGTGACCCAGACTGCTAGAAGCATGCCCAGATCCTTCACTGCTGCCAAGCTTCTCATTCCTGATTTTCGGCTGGTCAGCAGAGTGTCCTGCAACCGAGGTGGGACACGAAGCCAAGCTGACATCTTTCAGGTAAGAGAGAGAGACTACTATCTTAAATAAGCCTCTGTTTTGTTTTGTTTTGGGGGGGTTCTGAATTGTGCTCCCCCCCAATTCATAGGTCAAAGCCCTAACCCGCTGTTTTAGTCCATTCAGGCTGCTATGACTGGGTGGCTTTTAAACAATATAAATTTATTTCTCACAGTTCTGGAGGCTGGAAGTCTGAGATCAAGATGCCAGCATGGTCAAGTGAGGGCCTTCTTCTGGGTCACAGATCTCTCGCTGTGTCCTCACAAAGCGGAAGGGAGCTAGCAAGCTCTCTGGGGCCTCTTTTGTAAGGGGACAAATTTCATTCATAAAGGTTCTACCCTTATGACCTAAGCACCTCCCAAAGGTCCCACCACCACCAATAACCACACACACACAGAGCAAAAAGACTTTTGTATTAATAATTGGTATTGAGCCCGGCTGGTGTGGCTCAGTAGTTGAGCATTGACCCACGTACCAAGAGGTCTCCGGTTTGATTCCCAGTCAGGGCACATGCCCAGGTTATGGGTCAAATCCCCAGTGGGGGGCATGCAGGAGGCAGCCAATTGATGTTTTTTCTCATTGATGTTTCTATCTCTTTCCCTCACCCCTCCTCTCTCTCTAAAATCAATCAATCAATCAATCAATCAATCAATAATTGGTATTGAAGTGACTGGATGTCAAGGAGGTTAAACATTGTTCTGGGACTTTACCTCCTCTCCTGGAGAGGAGTTAGTGCATTTTTTGTTGTACATAATATGGTTGGGCAGAGATTCAGGTTGAAGGAGATGTGTATGGCTATCAAATTGACAAGTGTGGTCTTGTGATGGTTAATTCTGTGTGTCCACTTGGTGGGACTAAGAGATGCCAAGAGAGCTGGTAAAACATTATTTCTGGGTATGTCCACGAAGGTGTTTCTGGAAGAGATCAGCATTTGATTCAGTAGGTGAGTAAAGGAGAGTATACTCTCATCAGTGTGGGTGGTCATCATCCAATCCACTGGTAGCCCAAATAGAAAAAAAAGGTGGAGGAAGGATGAATCCACTCTCTTTTTGATCTGAGATGTCCATCTTCTCCTGCTCTCGGACATGAGAGAGCCTGGTTTTCCAGCCTTTGGATTCTGAGACTTACACCAGCAGCCCCTGGGTTCTTCTAGGTCTAATTTTGAATGAAAACATGTGGTGGGTTAGGTTCTAGGCTTTGTTGGGCATCCTGGGCAGGGCTGAGAAACCAGATCTGAGACTTGATCAGAACTTGAATGTGGCCTTCCTTTGGACATACTTCCTAAATGTTTAGAGGTAAAGCCATTCTCTGAGCCGGAATAAAATGTCCTCATTCTCTTGGCTACCCAAACATCCCATCCACTTCAGCTGTTGGAGTCCCAGCTCTGCCAGGCTGTGTGGTCTTGGCAAAGGCCCTGAGCTTCTCTGAGCCTTCATTCCTGTATTAGTTTCCTACATTGAAAAAATACCACATACTGGGGGACTTAAAATAACAGAAATTTAATGTCCCAGTTCTGGAAGCCAGAGTCTGAAATCCGAGTGTTGGTAGGGTTGGTTCCTTCCGAGGCTCTGAGGAAGGCCCATGCCAGACCTTGCTTCTGCCTGTGGTGGCTGCCAGCAGCCCTCAGTGCTCCCTGGTCTGCAGTTGCCTCTGTCTCAGGGTCAGCCTCCGTCCTCAACACAGCCTCCTTTCCTGTGAGCCTCTCTCTCTGTCCTCTCCTCTTCTTATAAGGACACCAGTCATTGGATTTAGGACCCAACCTAATCCAGTAGGATGCCATCTTGATTCACAAATTACATCTCCAAAGACCCTATTCCAAGTAAGATTACATTCTGAGGTTCTGGGTGGACATTCATGGTGGTGGTGGGGGGCACATATTCAACCCAGTACCGTTTTTCTGTAAAACGGGGGTCATGATGGTACAGATCTTCAGGTGGGCATGGGGTTAAGTATCATACTTAATGTGCAGCCTTTACTATGATGTCAGTTTCCATAAGAACCCCCTAAATGTGCTATCATCCAAAACCATTTGTCCCCTTTCCTAACTTCCTAATCTCCCCAGCCAGCTCCTTTGACCTGGGATTTTCCCTACCCTCCCAAGAGAGAAAAGCCCTGGTTTACCCAATGAGTGCTAATTACTCCAACCACACGTGAGACATATATCTTTTTTTGTTCACGTTCTTACCCAAATGAACATACCTGTCCTTCATGGGCATACTTCTGAAATCTGTATCCCCAGGACTTTGAGAAATATATGTTGGCCTGAGATATCTGATCTCCATGCACATAAGCAAAAATGGAATTACTTATTTCCTGGAAGAACACACAGAACAGTCTCTTTAAAAGGAGATTTGGGGTGTGGGTTTGGTGACATGCTGTTGAAGGTCACAAAGTTGCAACAAGTAGATAAATAACTCCTACAGAGTGATTACAGACAACAATACTGTATTGTAAACTTCAAAGTTGCTAAGAGACTAGATCTTAAATGTTCTCAGCACAAAAAAAGAAATGGTAATGATGTGCCATGATGGAGGTAACCCTACAGCAGTCATCATATTGCAATATATACACGTATCAAATCATCACATTGTACACCTTCAGTTTACACAATGTTATGTCAATTGTATTTCAATAAGAAAGGTAGATCTATGCCAAGGGTTAAACTCCTGGGCATTTATCCCAGAAAAATGAAACTTAAGTCCACACAAAAATCTATACATAAGTGGTCATAGCAGCTTTTTTTTTAAAACAATAGCCAAAAGTGGAGGCAACCAAATCCTGTTATATTCAGACCATGGAATACTACTTGGCAATGAAAAGGAACAGACTACAACAAATTGGATGAGTCTCCAGAGAAGTTAGATGAGAAAAGCTAATCCTCAAAGGTTCCATATTGTACAATTCTGTTTATATAACCTTGAAGTGATAAAATTATAGATATGGAGAACAGATTAGTGGTTGTTGGGGGTTAGTTGGTTGTAGTGGGATGGGGGCAAGAAGGTATGGAGCTTTGGGTGATGGAATAGACAGTCTGGTATTTCAATGGCAGTAGTGTTTCTATGATGTGACAATGTGATATTGTATCCATGTCAGTACTGGTTTTAGGATGATACTATAGTTATGTAAGATATAACCACTGGGAGAAGCTGGGGAAAGGGTACATGGGATTCTGTATGATTTTTCCAACTTTTTGTAGGGTCTATAATACTTCAAAATAACAAGTTTAAAAAAAAAGGAAGGTAGATGGGTATATTCGTAGTGTGCTAGCCAGTTGTTCTGAAAGTAGTTCCAGAGTTCCTCTCGTGTCTCAGGTTGATTTTTGAGCCCTGGAAAAATAACACTGCTGAAGTCCATGGGCCCAGCCCTCAAGGCTTAGCCTGTCCTTATTTCCATCTGTGCTCAAAGCAGAGTAAAAAATGACACACTGTACTCACCAAGCAAAAGGGATGTTCACTATAGCAACAATTGTCACCAGAAATATGTGAGACAGGGTGTTTTATACCTGAAAGAAAAAGATCATTTGAAAATTATATGAGTTCCCTGAATTTCAGAGAAAAGGTTAGGGCAGGGTTTGTCAACCTGCTATTGACATTTGGGGCCAGATGGTTCCTGGTTGTGGGGTCGTCCTGTGCACTGGGATGTTTTGTAAAACCCTGACTCTAATGACTTGCCAATAGCACCCTCCTCCAGTCTTGACAACCAAAAATACCTCCCCACATTGCCAAGTGTCTTCCGGGGGCAGAACTCTCCCCAGAGACGAGGCCCCAGTTGAGAAGCACTGGTTTTTTAGACACTCTTTTAGGACTACACCAAAATTGTAGGAACAACTCCCTCTCTTACTGAGGTGTTCTTTGATTCTATTTTAAATGCAGCAACGTTGGCTTGAAAGAAAACAGAAATCAAGCAGTGTCGGTGAGAATGTGAAGAAAGTGGAACCTGTGTGCCCTGCTGGGAATGGAAATGGTGCAGGTGTGGCAAATAGCATGGAGGGTCCTCAAAGAACAGCAAACAGAATGACCATATCGTGACTACAGAAGAAATACTCAACTTTAACAGAGACAGTGAAGAAAGACATGGGTATTGTTAAAGATTTTGCTGACTTAGGTTAAGTCACCAAGTCAAATGGAGATTGCAGCTGAGAAATCAGGAGAAGGCTGTGGAAGGGCAGCATTGGAAAATTAGAAAAGGTCACCAAGAGCAAACTGTGTCATTAGAGACCAAGGTCTCTAAGACCAACCACACCCTCATATTCCCAACGACTGCGTACGGATGTGAAAGCTGGACAGTGAAGAAGGCTGATGGGCAAATATCGATTCATTAGAAATATGGTGCTGGAGGAGAGCCCTGCAGACACCCTGAACTGCCAGGAAGACAAACAGGTGGGTCCTAGTGCAAACTAACCTGAAACATCAGAGGCAAAAATGACAAAACTGAAGTTGTCCTACTTTGGGCACAACACAAGAAGACAGGGCTCTTTGGAAAGAATATAATGCTGGGAAAAAGAAAAGACAGCAGGAAAAGAGGAAGACAAAATATGAGATGGACTGATTCGTAAAAGAAGCCACAGACATGAGTCCACAGGAGCTGAGCAGGGCAGCTGAGGACAGGACACTGTGGATGTCGCTCATTCAGAGGGTTGCCAGGAGTCAGAGCCCACTCAGTTCCACTTCTGGGTATATACCAAAAAGAAATTAAAAATTAAAAGCAGGGACTCAGGAAGATGTTTGTACACCCATGTTCAAACAGTATTATTCACAATAGCTAAAACACAGAGGCAACCCAAGTGTCCATCAGCAGATGACTGTACAAACAAAATGTGGTCCATCCATACCATGGAATGTCATTGAGCCTTAAAAAGGAAGGAAACTCCGATACCTGCTACAATCTGGATGAACCTTGAGGGCATTATGTTCAGTGAAATAAACCAGACACAAAAAGACAAGTAGTGTATGATTCTATTTACAGGAGGTTCCTGGAGAAGTCAAATCCACAGTCAGGAAGCAGAATGGCGGTTACCAGGGTCTGGGGGAATGGGGGGGGGGGCAGCTAACTTTTTGGATGCCATTAAGGAAACTGTTGGAGAGAAGAGGAAGGACGGAGACTAGATTGATTTACATTACAAGAGATCGTACTGGTTCCTCAGTAAGTTCAATAAGGAGTTCCATCTGACCCAGCAATTCCACTCCTGGTTTCTACACAAGAGAAATGAAAACACACATCCACTCACACGCCAATGTTCATAGCAGCACTATTCACAATGGCCAAAAGGAGGAAACAGTCCCAACGTCTACCAGCTGATGAGTGAACAGACAAACGTGGTCCATCCACACACTGAAATGTTATTCAGCCATAAAAGGAGTGAAGCATTGACACCCACTACAACATGGACGAGTTTCGAAAACATTACACGGAGTGAAAGAAGCCAGGCATGAAAGGCCACACGCTGTACAATTCTTTCATGTGAAATGTCAGAACAGGCAAATCCATAGAGAGAAAAACTCTATTAATTGTTGTCAGGGGCTCGGGGAGGGAGATGACATGTGACTGCTTAATGGGTACTGGGTTTCTTTCTGGGATGATGAGAATGTTCTGGAACTTGATAGTGGTGATGGATGCACAACATTGTCAATGTACCAAATGACACTGAATTGTACACTTTAAAATGATTAGTTTTGTATGAATTTTATGCTCTTCCACCAAAAAAAGAGAGAAAGAGCCATGAATTGTGAGAGACAAAATAACTGAACTGGGGCCCTGCTGGGTAGCTCAGTTGGCTAGAGTGTCATCCTGATACGCCAAGGTTGCGGGTTCGATCTCTGGTCAGGGCACACACAAGAATCAACCAAAAATGCATAAATAAGTGAAAGAACAAATAGATGTCTCTCTCTCTCTCTCTATCTCTCTCAATGAATAAAAAAGAAAAGAACTGGAAGGTCAGGAGTAGTGTTTGAGAGGATAAGGAGAGACGGAAGAGCAGAGGACTGTGAGGAAGTTTGGCTGTGAATGGGAAGTTCTGTAACCTTTTGGTCAACTGATTTTTTTTTTATCCTCACCCGAGGACAGTTTTTCATTTTTTGTTCAGGTAGAGTGGGAGGGAGAGAGAGGAACAGAGAAAGAGAGAGAAACATCGATGTGAAAGGAACACATCGAATGGCTGCCACCCGCACGACCAGGGCCGGGGACAAACTGCAACCGAGGTACGTGCCCTTAGCGGGGACCGAACTCGGGTCTCTCAGGACCGCAGGCCGACGCTCTAACCGCTGAGCCAAACCGGCCAAGGCGGTCAACTGATGTTTTGAAGAAAGATGTGTGTTGCATTCAGATGTGACAGATTGATGAGATGGTCCCCAAACTGGCCCCCATGCAGCTCAGCTTTACTTGGGTTATGTACATTCTCTAGGGGCTCATTTATTTACAGTGTCCACACCTCCATCAAGCAGCTTGGAACATTTCAGGTGTTGATTTACTAAAATTCACCCAATCACCTTGCTGATAGTCAAACTGGAACACTAATGAAAAAAGTAAGACAGGCCCTGGCCAGTATGGCTCAGTGGTTGGAGCGTCAACCTGCACACTGAAGGGTTGCAGGTTCAATTCCTGGTCGGGCACCTACCTGGATTGCAGTTTGACCCTGGTCCTGGTCAGGGTGCATGTGGGAGGCAACCAATTGATGTGTCTCTCTCATACTGATGTTTCTCTCTCTCTCTCCCTCACTCCCTTCCACTCTTTCTAAAAATCAATTAAAAATTTATCCTCGAGTGAGGATTAACAATACAACAACAGTAAGACAGAGGCTGAGTCAAGGTGTGACCCTTCTGCTGTGCTTCCTCGTCTCTCTCAGAGGGCTGAGATCAGTTTGCCAGCCAGTGTTTAGGGAGCACCTGGTGGATGCCTCATGGACTGGGGCAGGGCTCTATCTTTGGGGGTCCACAATCTTTCTCCCAAACTAATAGAAGTGAAACAAAAGAATAACAAATTGTCAGGCGGTGATCAACCTACTCATGGGTTCTCCACTGAGGGGTTTGACCTTCCAGGGACACTGAGTGTTGTCTGGAGGTGTTTCTGTTGTGAGGACTTGAGGAGTGCTCATGGCGTGGAGTGGATGGAAGCCAGGGATGCTGCTCAGCACCCCGCAGTGCCCAGGACAGCTCCCCACAGAGAATGATCCACCCCTAGATGTCAGGAGTGCCAAAGCAGAGAGACCTTGTACTGACTTTCCTCACCATCATGAGTACCTGTGCTCTCTATTTGCCTTCTCTTTTTCTGAAAAAAGAGGTCATCCCTCTTCTTTTTCATTTTTTTATCCTCACCTGAGGACATTTTTACATTTATCTTCAGATAGAGCAGGAGGGAGAGAGGAGGGAAGAGAAAGAGAGAGAGAGAGAGACATCAATGTAAGAGAGACACATCAACTGGTTGCCACCCACATGACCCTAACTGGGGCCGAGGCCAAACTACAACCGAGGTACGTGCCCTTAGCGGGAAACAAACCTGAGACTCTCTGGTCCACGGGCCGCTGAGGCAAACTAGCCAGGATATCCCTCTTCTTTTCTAAAGAATAACTTCTCCCATCTTTATTCTTTTAAAAATATTTATGTTTTTATTTATTTTAGAAAGAGGAAGGGGGAGAGAGAGAGAGAGAGAGAGAGAGAGAGAGAGAGAGAGAGAGATATCAGTTGCTTCCCGCACACACCCCAACCCCTAACCGGGAACCTAACCCACAACCTGGACACCATCCCTGACTGGGAATAGAACCAGTGACCTTTTGGTGTACAGGTTGATGCTCATCCAACTGAGGGACCCTAGCCAGGGCTCCTATCTTTATTCTTGACCCAATCTCTGTGCCTCCTACCTCAGAGTTGTCTTCTTTCTCTCTCTTCATTGAACTAGCCTTCTCTACTGTTCTCTGTCCCTAATATGAAGTACATGGGACTTAATATCCCTTTATCCAGCCTTGTATCAAGCATCTAGGAGTCATTCTTGCACAGAGAAGGATTTTATGGCTTGTAACTACAATCCAAAGGGGAAATACTAGGTTCCCACCCTATGGGATGGGGGTTCAGAACAACTTCCATTTGAATTTTAAAGGACAAGGTAACATCCAGGGGCAGACATTCAAGTAGCAGTATGGTTTGTTCTTCTGAAATTAATAACCACTTCTCTGACGTTGGCTGAATTCAAACAAAATTAAAAAGACAAAGCCCAGGCCAGTGTGGCTCGGTTGGAGCATTATCCCATACACTAAGAGGTGGTAGGTTCGATTCCTGGTCAGGGCACATACCCAGGTTGCAGGTTTGATTCTTGGTCGGGGTGCATGCAGAGGCAACAAATCAATGTTTCTCTCTTACATTGATGTTTCCCTCTCTCTCTCCTTCTCTCCTCTCCTCCCTCTCTCAAATTAATAAAACACACACACACATACCTGTAGATGCACTCCAGGAACTGGCTTCATAATCATAAATATAGACTTTTTGATTCACTACTAAGAGCAATACCGAACCAGCAAAATGTGCCGATGTTACTTCTGGTATGCCAACCTACAAATAATGACATATATGACATCAATAAGCACAAGCTTTCAGATCTCAATTTGGACAGCAATATTTCTAGACATGCATCCAAGAAACATTTCTGCCAGCAGGAGTTGTTCGGTTCCTAGATACAGTTGACCCTCGTTTATCGCAGTTAATCAGTTCCAGACTCTACCGCGCTAAACGAATTTCTGTGAAGTAGGATTCTTTATTTATACAGTCGTCCTTTGCCACTTTGCACTTTGACTTTCGCAGCTTCACTCTATCACAAAAGTTGAAGCACGAAGTGGTAAGGGACAACTGTACTGGGGACTATGTATCCTAGGGTCAGCTGGAACCAAAACTGAGAAGTTAAAATTGGTGTTTGGTGCCCTCAGACACCTAAATTCACTCCATCTACTCCCTCATCAAAACCTTCTCTGAGAAGGCCCTGGCCAGATAGCTCAGTTGTTTAGAGCATTGTCCTAATATGCCAAGGTTATGGGTTCAATCCATGGTCAGGGCACATACAAGAATTGACCAATGGATGTATAAATAAGTGTAACAACAAATCATTCTCTCTCAGAAAACAAAAACAAAAAACCTTTTCTGATAGCCCTGGCCAGTTTGGCTCAGCAGTTAGAGCGTCAGCCTGCGGTCCAGAGAGACCCAGGTTCGGTTCCCGCTAAGGGCATGTACCTCGGTTGCAGTTTGTCCCCAGCCCTGGTTGGTCGTGCGGGTGGCAGCCTGTCACGTCGAGGTTTCTCTCTCTCTCTCTCTTCCTCTCTCCCTCCCACTCTATCTGAACAAAAAATAAAAAATGTCCTCGGGTGAGGATAAAAAAAAATCAATAAAAAAAATCCTTTTCTGATAAAGCCTAAAGAGAAATGATGAATGAGGAGCATAACTGTTGCTTCTAAGAGAAACTTTGGTATCTTAATAAATGGCTAAACTTCTTTAGCATTGGTGCTAATGGTAGAATTTCTCAAGATAGTTATTGAGAGGGTAAAGGTTTTTCTGTTTTGATTTAGGACAATTTAAGGAGGTCTTGAAATTAGTGCATGTAATCTATTTCCAACACACAACCAACTGTAGGGAGCACTGGCAATAATTCTGCTTCCTTTTTCAGGGGGAATAAAAGTGCCATTTTGGTAGTAAGGGCAGAATAGAATCAACCATCTTTTTGGCTTATTAAAAATAATAATTTTTATTATTGTAAAAATAAACCCCAAACTAATAAAAGTAGACTAATGTAAAATTTCCAAATTATACCTTTACCCCGAGTAGTACATATTTCAAGCATCCTTCAGACTGTTCTATACAATAGCTACCTGCATTGACGTAGGGATGGCAAATGGAAGGAGACTACTCTCAAAGTTATTTGTTGTGAAAAAAAGTTGTCGTCTGAAATAAACAACACAAGAGTTAAATTAGAAGAATTTCATATAAGAAAATGGCAGGCACTCTAAAAATGCTCCACCCAAACAAAATTTCCTTTAAAATAAGGAACCATTTAGGTTCTGTATCTATCTATCTATCTATCTATCTATCTATCTATCTATCTATCTATCTATCATCTATCACCTATCATATACATACATATATGTATATGTATATATGTGTATATATATAGAGAGAGATTTTTTTTTTTTGCATGAGTAAATTTCTATAGCCTGAAAAATTGACTTCTTGAAATAACATTATTTTAAATATGTGACCACCTTGTTATCATAGACAGTCAGTCAAAGTGTGGGCAGCTGGTGGCAGGGTGAGTATGGGCTGCCTGGCCAATTTGGAGGGGTGGGCTGTGTGAGGGCTGCGCAGAGAACGCTGGCATGCCAGCATCCAGAGGTGTCCCACAAACTCCAACCAGATATCCCTGATGTGTGGATGCTGTGTCCAGTGTCAGGAGGTGGGCCTGACAGCAGGTCTTGCAGCCTCATCTCCCCCACTCTCCACTGACCCTGATACCATAGACAGTCAAGGAGTACCGGGGAGTCTCCCCCATTGGTCAAGATGGCGCAAGGGGAGGTTCTTATACTTAGTGCAGCCAAATCTATAAAGATGAATGAATAAGGCCTAAGTGTGCCAAAATCTAGAAAGATAATTAGATAGAAAAAAATGTATCCCCTATCCCTACAAAAACCACAGGCTTGATCAAAAAGGAGGGATTGTTTTTGAGGTGGCAGTCTACCATTCTCCCAGTTTGCAGTGCCTGAATAAACCTCTTTCCTTTTGCACCAGCACCTGTCTTATGAGTTTGGCTTTCACTGTGGCAGGCAGCTGAACATGCTTTTTGGTTACAGTTTTTAGCAACCCAGATGGGACAGCATGAACCTTGGTAAGTCCTAGAGGGCCCAGGCTAGGGTCCCTGCTGCCCATGGAAGGGCAACCCTGGGAGCAGGACTGTGGAAACTTCCCAGAAGTTGCTAAGAGCTTTTCTCTGGGAATTTCCCTGCCCTCCTTCTCAGCCACCTGAAATGCTTGGCTAGTGAAAGGAAATAGCTTTCTGGGAACAGACAGACTCCACACTGGGGAAGCCTCTATCCCTGCCACTTGGACTTTGTGCCATTTGGGCTTTGTGCCACTTGGGTCCAGTCAGGAACTCTTGTGGTATTGGTTGGCAGGAGATAAGATGCTAGGACTTGATTGTGAGCACTCGTTTGGACTAATGGAATTATGGATTGAAGTTTTATTCATATGTTCCCGCTTTGTCTGGGGTCTTTCTCTGGTTATGGTTGTGGGTATGTATTTTCATGCCATCAGGGTTTATTCTATTTTGACTCCTGACGGGAATCCACTGGACCAACTTTTAGCATATTGGTCCATGTACAGCTATGATCAATGAATAAGAAGGAACTGGTTTTCTATTGTAACACTGCTTGGCCTATGTGTACTTTAGACTACAGGAGAAAATGGCCCTTAAATGGTTCTATGAATTACTACACCATCATACAGCTGGAATTATTTTGCCAACAGGGAAATGAGATGAAATCCCTTATGTCCAGAAATTTGTGTCGTTATGCAATGAGGATTCAGCAAAGAAAGGGAACAAAGTAATGATGCAGAGAAGGGAACTGGCTTCAAAACCCTTCCCTGACAGTAAGACACAGAAAGAAAAGGAAAATAAAGAGATGAGTCTGCCCTAGCCAGTTTGGCTCAGCGGTAGAGCGTTGGCCCTGGACCAATGAATCCCGGGTTCAATTTCAGCTAAGGGCATGTACCTCATTTGCGGTTTGTCCCTGGCCCTGGTCGGGGTCATGCAGGAGGCAACCAGTTGATGTGTCCCTTTCACATCGATGTTTCTTTCTCTCTCCCTTTCTCTCCTCTCTCTCTGCTTGAAGAGAAGTAGAAAAATATCCTTGGGTGAGGATAAAAATAAATAAATAAATAAATTAATTAATTAATAATAACTAACTAGCTAGCTGGATTTTAAAATAAAATAAAATAAAAAGATGAGTCTTTTTGCCCTGGCTGGTTTGGCTCAGCGGTTGGAGCGTCAGCCTGCGATCCAGAGAGACTCGGGTTTGGTTCCCACTAAGGGCACGTACCTCAGTTGCAGTTTGTCCCCGGCCCTGGTTGGTCGTGCGGGTGGCAACCACTCGATGTGTCCCTTTCACGTCGATGTTTCTCTCTCTCTCTCTTCCTCTCTCTCCCTCCCACTCTGTTTGAATAAAAAAAAAAAAAAAAGATGAGTCTTTTTAATGCCCTGAACCTGGGGGACCTAGCAGTACCAGCAGGAAGATTTTCCCCACCCTCACCCCCACTGCTAGATAACCCTGAAATATGGTCCAGAGGGGCAGTAGCCCCACCCCTGTATGATGAAGGAGTGGTCTCTCCCATGAAGATCCGGCAGGGCACCCTATTTGGCCAGGGAGCATCCCTATGCAGAACAGGACTATTCCCTTTGAGGCAATATCCTATAAGTGAAGTAAACTGGGAAAGCCAACCCACTGGCCACTACTGGGCTCATACTCCATTTTTCACTTCAGATTTACTGAATTTGAAGAATTCCAACCCCTCATATATGGAGGGTCCTGAGAAAATGGCAGATCATATCACCTCCATTTTTTCCACTCCCCATCCAAACTGGACAGACACACAGGCTCTCCACATCCTGCCAGCAGCAGATGAAAAGCAACTAGTTATAGATGATGCTAATGAGGAGGCTCAAGGACTCCAACAGGAGAAACCCAATAGGACCCACCAACCCAGCCAGGGTGATTCCCTTAACAGAGCCCAACTGGGACCCAAATGGCAGGGACCTAGCCTTCCTAGAACATTACAAAAAGTGCATACTGGAAGGGCTTAAGAAAGGGGTGCCTAAACAAAAGAGCCTGAATATGATACAGGCTGTTCAACAGAAACCAAACAAAGATCCTTCTGAATTTTTAGAAAGGATCTATCAGGCTATCAGGCTGATCAAAAGCACACTAATGCTGCCCTGGCCGGTTTGGCTCAGTGGTTGGAGCGTCGGCCTGCGGTACAGAGAGACCCGGGTTCAGTTCCCGCTAAGGGCACGTACCTCGGTTGCAGTTTGTCCCCGGCCCTGGTTGGTCGTGCGTGTGGCAGCCACTCGATGTGTGGCAGCCACTTGATGTGTCCCTTCACATCGATGTTTCTCTCTCTCTCTCTTCCTCTCTTTCCCTCCCGCTCTATCTGAACAAAAAATGGAAAAATGTCCTCGGGTGAGGATAAAAAAAAAGCACACTAATGCTGACCCACAGGCACCAGAAAATACCTGGGTAGTAAACATGATTTTTATTCGGCAAAGTGCCCCAGATATCAGAAGAAACCTCCTACGTTTATATGGGCCATTGGGAATAAATACCTTTCAGCTGGTGGACTTAGCCTTTAAAGTTTACCATGCCCAGAGAACAAGGAAACTAACGCAGGCCACTGTTTTCTTAGAAATAGTGTGGGGAAACCAGAAGGAGAGGCAAGACCCGAAAGGAAAGGGAAAGACCCACTAGGTACCAATCAATGCACACATTGCAAAAAGGAAGGCCAATGGCGAAAGGACTGCCTGGAACTCAAAAAGAAAAATAAATAGGATAGAAAGCCGATAAATGTTAGAAAGGAATGATGAATCTGCCCGGGACGGTTTGGCTCAGCGGTAGAGCGTCGGCCCACAGACCAATGAGTCGCGGGTTAAATTCTGGCCAAGGGTAAATACCTCAGTTCCTCTCTAGCCCTGGTCAGGGTTGTGCGGGAGGCAACCAGTCGACGTTTCCCTCTCATGGCAATGTTTTTCTCTCTCCCCCTTTCTTTCCCTCTCCCTCCCTCCCACTCTATCTGAAGATAAACAGAAAAATATCCTTAGGTGAGGATTGGAAAAAAAAAAAAAATGACGAATCTGATGATGAATGAAGAGGCCCAGGGGCTCCCCCAGACACCTCCTGACCTATTACTACTTCCCCACAGGATCTCTGGGTACCACTAACAGTGGGGAACAGCTAATTGATGTCCTCATAGGTATGGGAGCCACATACTGAGTGTTGAATACAAAATTAACCAAGAAAAGTTCATCTGCGGTGTCGATTACTTGAGTGACCAGACAATTATAAAAACAGGCATTCCTTCAACCTCTAAAATGCGAACTTAGGGATAAGAAACAAACACATAGTTTTCTCTATATGCCAGACTGCCTCATTCCATTGTTGGGCCAAGATTTACTCTGTAAATTGCATGCACAAATAACTTTTCCCCCTGAGAAGCAGCAATTATGTTTAGAAGTCCTCTGGAACATGCTCTCCAGCTCCAGGTGCTCCCGACTTGCCTGGAAGGACCTGAAGGTGAACTCTTTCCACCCAAGATTTACGAGCAGGTCGACTGAGTCATTTGGGCCAACAGAACCTCAGGTAGGGCAGTTAACATGTAACCCATAAAAATTAACCTAAAAGAAGGGGCAAAGATCCCATAGAATACTATGCAGCTGTAAGAAAGAAAGATCTCTTATCCTTTGAGACAACATGGAGGGAACTGGAAAGTATTATCCTAAATGAAACAAGCCAAACAGAAAAAGACAAATACCACATGATCTCACTTATATATGGAATATAATGAATATTAACAGTCTGAGGAATAGGGTAGACCCAGAAACACAGAAGTAGGGTACAGACTGGCAACCCTCAGAAGAGGGGGTAGTGGGGGGGTGGGAAGAGATAAACCACAGAACTTATATGCATGTATGCATAACCAATAGACATGGACAACAAAGCCAGGGATGGGGCGAGGGGGATGGGGAGGAGGGTGTCAATAGGGTAAAAAAGGGGAAACATGTGTAACAAAAATAAAATTAAAAAAACAACAATATGGCCCTGGCTGGTTTGGCTCAGCGGTTAGAGCGTCAGCCTGCGGTCCCGAGAGACCCGGGTTCGGTTCCCGCTAAGGGCATGTACCTCGGTTGCAGTTTGTCCCCGGCCCTGGTTGGTCGTGCGGGTGGCAGCCACTCGATGTGTCCCTTTCACGTCGATGTTTCTCTCTCTCTTCCTCTCTCCCCCTCCCACTCTACCTGAACAAAAAATAGAAAAATGTCCTCAGGTGAGGATTAAAAAACAAAACAAAACAATATGTAAATAAATGGATGTGGCTGTGTGCCAATAAAACTTTATTTACGGACACTGACATTTGAATTTCCCATCATTTTCATGTGTCACAAATATTATTTTTTTACTATTTAAAAATTTTTATTAGAGTTGGAATACAATATTATATTAGTTTCAGGTGTACAACGTAGTGATTTGACTTTTATATACCTTATGACATGATCACCATATGTCTATTAAAATCTATCATTGTGCAAAGTTATTGCGATATTATTGACTGTATTTCCTGCTTACTGATTTTATAACTGGAAGTCTGTACCTCTTATTCCCCCCTTCACCATCTTCCCCCTCCCCCCTCCCTATTCCTTCTGGCAACCATCCCTTTGGTCTCTGTTTCTATGAGTCTACTTCTGTTTTATTTGTTCACTTGTGTAGTTTTTTTTAGACTCCACACTTAAGTGAAATCATATGATACTTGTCTTTCTCTGTATGACTTATTTTGCTTAGCATAATAAATACTCTCTAGGTCCATCCATGTTGTTGCAAATGGCAAGATTTCTGTTTTTTTTTTTAATCCTCACCCGAGGATATTTTTCTATTTATCTTCAGATAGAGTGGGAGGGAGGAGAGAGAGGGAGAGAGAGGGAGAGAGGGAGAGAGGGAGAGAGAGAGAGAGAGAGAGAGAGAGAGAGAGAGAGAGAGAGAGAAACATGATGTGAAAGAGACACATCGACTGATTGCCTCCCACACGACCCTGACCAGGTTTGAGGATGAACCGCAACTGAGATACGTACCCTTGACTGGAATCAAACCCGTGACTCATTGGTCCACGGGCTGATGCTCCAAACACTGAGCCCAACCAGCTAGGGAAAGATTTCATTTTTTTTATTGCTGAGTGAAATATTATTGTTTTAATTTTTTTCAAGCATATAAAGATGTAAAGACCATTATTAGCTCACCAGCCCATACAAAATGAGATGGTGGACTGGATCTGATAGGAATGTTCTATTTCTGAGCTGTCCAACAGGGTAGCGCTAGTCACATCGAATGCTTGAAATGTGGTTAGTTTGTGTGTACTTTTCACTATATTTAATTTTAGTTAATTAAAGTTTTTGTTTAATTTTTTAAATTGTGATAAAATACACAACATAAGATTTACATTTCACAATTTATTTTAATTGTGATAGCATATACATGAGATAAATTTACCATTTTAACCATTTCTAAGTGTACAGCTCAGTGGCAGTAAGTATATTCACATGGTTGTATAACCATCACCACCATCTGTCTCCAAACTTTCTCATCTTCCCAAGCTTAAACTCTGTCCTCATTAAACACTAACTCCCACCCCCCTCCCAGCCCCGGACACCCACCATCTACTTTCTGTCTGTTTGGATCTATCTCCTCTAGCGACCTCCTATGAGTGGGATCAATGTTTGTCCTTCTGTGCCTGGCTTACTTCACTGAGAATAAAGGCCTCACGGTTCACCCTTGTTGTAGTGTGTGTCAGAATGTCCTTTCTTTTTAAGGCTGAATAATATGCCATGGTATAGATGGACCACATTTGATTTATCTACACATCAGTTGATAGAAAATGTAAATACAAATAGCCACATGTGGCTAGTGGTTACTCCATGGCAGCTTAGCTCTAAAGGAATGACAGAATTTACATCTTAGCACTTGAGATGCTTCTGCTATGGGAGGAGCAGCTGAGTCCTCACCCTGCCCAGTGCCAGCCCCTGCTCCCCAACCCCTCCCTGGGAGACCTGTCTGTGTGGTAATCCCCTCACTCCAGGCCCTTCCTATCATCAGGAACCTCTTCCAGATCCTGCATCTCTTTCTGCTGAGTTCTCTATAGTAACCTCTCTTCTCTCTTCTGTTGTCTGTTTGTTGGAGACAGTAACATAAACTTTGGACCTCCACGTCCTGTCTTTCTCTCTGCCCCACTGCCTCCAGGGGCGCTTATCTGCCCCTATGCCCTGGCTTCTCTATGACAGCCCTCCTCCTTGACCTCTGCACCCTTCTAGGTCTCCTGTTCTCCATTGTTTCTTTCTTTTCTCCCACCTGTTCCGACCATTGAACACGTGACACCTGGGTGATTGCACCCGTGTCTGCAGCCAGAACCACCACTCACATGTACTTGACCTGCTGTTTCCACCTCTGGCCTTATGTGTCCTCAATGTCCCACAAGCAGCATGACATCCTAAACTACCACCCCTCTCCCTGATCTTTCCACTAGAAACTTGGGGACCATCTTCAACCACCTGCTTGCCTTTGTTCCACAGTGGACAAGTCCTGCTGACTCTGCCTCCTTCTTCTATATGTGACCTTTCTTTCTACTTAGGTCTTTTCATGTTGTGTTGTTTTATTTTCTTTGGGCTTTTTGGGAATCCTCCTAAACACAAATTATGTGGCTCCAAATGCTCCACTGCCTTTAGAATGATGGGTGAACATCATGGTATGGTGTACATATCTGGTTTTCTAACCTTGCATTCTGATAACTCCAAGTGCATGCTGGGTATAGTCCATTCCTTTTAATGCTCTGCTCCAAGCCCATTCATATTTCAGTCTTCCTCCCCGCACAGTGAACTCCTATTCAACCTTCAAAACCCAGTAGGGGCATCAATTCCCCAGTTGAAACTACCTAGGCATTTTCTCCTTGGGCCCCCCAAGAGTGCTTATCTCTAGCATCTGTGATAGGTAGTACCACAGTATACTGGAATTAAGTACTTTCTAGTCTCTTCATCCCTCTTCCATCTCCCATCCCCAAATGTGGACTCCCTGCTGGCTAGTAACTAGGAACACAGGACAGACCATCTTCTGTCTTTTTTAATCCTCCTCAGAGGACATTTCTTTCCATTTATCTTTAGATAGAGTGGAGGGGAGGGAGGGAGGGAGGGAGAGAGAAAGAGAGAGAGAGAAACATCGATGTGAGAGAGACACATAGACTGGTCACCTTCCACATGACTCTGACAAGGGCTGGGACGAACCATAACCGAGGCATGTGTCCCTGGCCAGAATCAAACACAAGCCTCCTTGGTTCGTGGGCCAACGCTCTAACCACTGAGAAAAACTGACCAGGGCAGAGCCATCTTCTTAAATGTTTGCTGAATGAATCAATGAGGGAAAATCTAACATTTTAATAAAAAAGAAGGTAACAATTCATAAAAAATTTACTTACCCTAGATACAAGGCTATGTTTTTCTTACAAGGATGTTTAATCAAGCGTGTTGTCATAAATGAAAAATACAGGAGGTCCTAGACAGATAATCACAAAATCTTAATATCAATAATAATAAACACTTAAAACATTGTCCTAATATGCAACATTGAAAATGTAAAGATGGTCCCTGGCTGGTTTGGCTCAGCAGTTAGAGTGTCAGCCTGCGGTACGGGGAGACCTGGGTTCAGTTCCCACTAAAGGCACATACCTCGGTTGCGGTTTGTCCCTGGCTCTGGTTGGGTCGTGCGGGTGGCAGCCACTCAATGTGTCCCTTTCACGTCAATGTTTCTCTCTCTCTCTCTCCCCCCTCCCACTCTATCTGAACAAAAAATGGAAAAATGTCCCCGGTGAGAAAAAAAAAAAAAGAAAATGTAAAAGTGGCCTGGCCAGTGTGGCTCAGTGCTTGAGTGTCAACCCACGCACCAAGAGGTTGCTGGTTCAATTCCAGGTCATAGCACATGCCCAGGTTGTGGGCCCAATCCCCAGTGGGGGGCATGTAAGAGGTGGCCAATCGATGTTCTCTCTCATTGATGTTTCAATCTCCCTCTCCCCCTCCCTTCCTCTCTCTCTCTAATATCAATAAAGAAAATTGTTTTTTTAAAAAAGAAAGAGCCCTGGCCAGTTTGGCTCAGTGGTTAGGTCATCGGCCTGCGGTCCCGAGAGACCCAGGTTTGGTTCCCGCTAAGGGCACGCACCTCGGTTGCAGTTTGTCCCCGGCCCTGGTTGGGTTGTGCGGGTGGTTACCACTCGATGTGTCCCTTTCATGTCGATGTTTCTCTCTCTCTCTCTCCCTCCCACTCTATCTGAACAAAATATCAAAAAATGTCCTTGGGTGAAGATTAAAAAAAAAGAAAGAAAGAAAATGTAAAGGTGAAATCTGAATTAAGCAGGTGCGTGCTATCAATATCATTTTCCTATTTTGATACTATACTCTGGTTATGTCAGATGTTACCACTGGGCAAAAGGTGCCTGGGACGTCTCCAAACTATTTCTTCAACTTGCTATGAATCTATCAATTCAAAATAAAGAATAGAAAAGAATTCACAGGCTAATTCATATCACATCTCATTCCACATGTTATTGTTTATTTCCAGATTATTAGTTATTAGAAAGAGGTGAGAGGACAAACAATTGTAAAGCTAACAGGTTAGAAAGCAACCACTTTGAGATTATTTAGAAATGCTGACACCTCTCCTGAAATGATGCCATGTCAAGGCAACTTATTTTATTTATTTATTCATTTTTAAATCCTCACCTGAGGATATTTTTCCATTTATCTTCAGATAGAGTGGGAAGGAGAGAGAGAGAAAGAAACATGATATGAGAAAGACTTATCGACTGGTTGCCTCCCATACGACCCTGACCACGGCTGGGACCAAGCCACAACCAAGGTACGTGCCCTTGACTGGAATTGAACCTGCAATTCTTTGGTATGCAGGCTGATGCTCTAACTGCTGAGCCAAACCAGCCAGGGCTATTTATTTATTTATTTATTTATTTATTTATTTATTTATTTATTATTATTTTTTAATCCTCACCCGAGGACATTCTTCCATTTTTTGTTCAGATAGAGTGGGAAGGGGAGAGAGAGAGAGAGACATCAACGTAAAAGGGACACACTGAGTGGCTGCCACCCGCACAACCAACCAGGGCTGGGGACAAACTGCAACCGAGGTACATGCCCTTAGTGGGAACTCAACCCGGGTCTCTCTGGACCGCAGGCCGACACTCTAACCGCTGAGCCAAACTGGGTAGAGCGATTTATTTATTTTTTAATTGATTTTTGAGAGAGAGAGATATAGGAACATCAATGTGAGAAACATTAATACCAGTGATGGAGCCCGAAACCCAGGCATGTGCCCTGACCGGGAATCAAAGCCAGACCTCTCAGTCCATGGGATAACACTCAATCCATTAAGCCACACCAGCCAGGCTAGGCAACTTATTTTAACAGGTGAAATATGTATTTTTTATCCTCATCTGAGGACATTTTTCCATTTTTTGTTCAGAGAGAGAGAGAGAGAAACATCAACATGAAAGGAACACATCGAATAGTTGCCACCCACACAACCAACCAGGGCCGGGGACGAACTGTAACCGAGGTACGGTGCCCTTAGTGGGAACCGAACCCGGGTCTCTCTGGACCACAGGCCGACACTCTAAGTGCTGAGCCAAACTGGCCAGGGCCATTTTCTTTTTTAAATTGAATTTATTGGGGTGACATTGGTTAATAAAATTATATAGGTTTTGGATGTATAATTCTATACTGCATCATCTGTATATTGTATTATGGGTTCACCACCCCAATTTCTTCATGCACTTTAGGTACACGTGGGGGGAAAGGAAGTTTCTTGTCATACTATGTCATGTAAACAAATAACAGTTTGCTTCCCATGTTATTGCAGATTTAAAAATATCCTATCCAAAAACACTAGTAATCTGAGTTCTAAACTCACTTCTATCTCCAGGCCTTGTCTAGGTTACTTGATCTCTCTCTACTTTTTTAGTGAAATGGGAAAGATAAATCCCTTATTTTAAAGGGCAATGGTAAAGATTAGATAACATTGTATGCCTAACACAACAATGGCACCATAAAAATACTGGGGAATATTCTGATCCAGTGCTTAGATAAAAATGAAGAATAAATGTTAAATATGGAGCCACATACCCCTTGAGCTTGCTGTCCAACACCAAACGTCTTTCCTGTCCTCACTGTGTGAATACTAGAGGTAAGTGACAAGAGAGACCATCTGTCAATGTTTATTGACTATTACCATGACTCCTACCAAGCTGTCTTTGGGTTAACTCTGAAGTACCTGTTCTTGATGCTTTTCAGGTTATGGGAGCCCCCCTGAAGAATCTAATGAAACAGGGGGTCCTCCTCTCCCACAGACACATGGGTATGCAAAAATGAAGATATTTTCAAGAGCCCATAAAGGCTTATTTGCATACCCCAGATTAGGAAGATTAAGAATTCCTACCTCGGGTCAAGATGGCAGTGTAGGTAAATGCGGTATCGTGAACTCCCACAACCACATCAAAGTTACAACTAAACTACAGAACAACCATCATTCAAAACCGCCTAAAATCGAGCTGAATGGAAGTCCTACAACTATGAAGTTAAAGCAGCAGCTACATTGAGACTGGTAGGAGGGGCGGAGGCTGACGGGCTGGTCCCACACCCACGTGTGGCGGATAAAAATCAGGAGGACACCTTGGCTGAAAAGGCGCTCCTTGAGGACTGAGGGGTCCCCGTCCTACACCAGATGCCCTGCTCAGGATTCCAGTGCCAGGAAGACAAGTCCCCATAACTTCTGGCTGGAAAAACCAGCGGGAACTGAGGCTCAGGGAAGCTGATGCGGCTGGAGCCCCAGGCAGCTCCTCTTAAAGGGCGCACAGACTTATCCGACTCACTCCCTCTAAACTTAGATGGGAGGCAGCTCGAGAGGCGCCAGATACATACAGGGAAGAACTGAGCTGTTTGGCACTGAAGCGAGGGCTGGAGAGGGGGCTTTCTCCAGTACAGACGTCCTGTCAGAGGCCTTTGTTCCTTTGGTGAGCCCTTCCCTGGGTCAGCAGACAGAAGCCATATCTGGGACTCCAGCAACCTGGCTCACACTGGTAGCCCCGCCCTGGTGATTCCCTGAGGCCCCGCCCCACCCAACTTTCAGGCCCACCCAAGATGTTGCCAGTTGCTTGACCATAGGATTGGCCTGTCTTGGATCCTGCTTCAGGTTTTCCTAAATTCTTTCAAACAAGCAGCATCTGGTCTCAGCTAGCCCCATACCTCTCGTTAAGTAATACACAGAAACAAACACAGGGAGGCAGCCAAAATGAGGAGACAAAGATACAGGTCCCAAAGGAAAGAACAGAACAAAACCCCAAGAAAAGAACTAAGCGAAATGGAGATAAGCAACCTAACAGATGCTGAGTTCAAAATACTGCTTATAAGGATGCTCAATGAACTTAGTGAGGGCCTCAAGAGCATAAAAAAGGACCAGTCAGAAATGATGGATGCACTGTCAGAAATTAAGAAGGCATTAACTGAAATAAAGAATAATTTACACAGATTCAATTGTAGAGTACATAAATCCAAGAAGCAAACCATGGATTTGGAATATAAGGAAGCAAAAAACGCCCAATCAGAACAGCAAAAAGAAAAAAGAATACAAAAAAATGAGGATAGTGTAAGGAGCCTCTGGGACAACTTCAAGCGTGCCAACATTCGCATCTTGGGGGTGCCAGAAGGAAAAGAGAGAGAACAAGAAATTGAAAACCTGTTTGAAACAATAATGGCAGAAAACTTTCCTAACTTGGTGAAGGAAACAGACATACAAGTCCAGGAAGCACAGACAGTCCCAAACAAGATGAACCCCAAGAGGCCCACACCAAGACACATCATCATCAAAATGCAAAAGGTTCAAGACAAAGAGAGAATCTTAAAAGCAGCAAGAGAAAAAGCAGCTAGTTACCTACAAGGGAGTTCCCATAAGGCTGTCAGCTGATTTCTCAAAAGAAACTATGCAGGCCAGAAGGGAGTGGCAAGAAATATTCAGAGTGATGAAAAGCAAGAACCTACAACAAGATTACTCTATCCTGCAAAGCTGTCATTTAGAATCGATGGCCATGTAAAGAGTTTCCCAGACAAGGAAAAGCTAAAAGAGTTCATCACCACCAAACCATTATTATATGAAATGTTGAAGGGTCTTCTTGAAGAAAAAGATAAAAAATATGAACAAACAAAATAGCAATGAATACATATCTATTGACAATTGAATCTACAAACAAAATGAACAAGCAGAACAGAAACATTCTCATAGATACAGAGAACATTTTGTTGGTTGCCAGATGGGAGGGGGGTTGGGGGAATGGGTGAAAAAGGAGAAGGGATTAAGAAGTACAAATTGGTTGCTAGACTGACAAACCTCAAAGGGAAAGGGGTTGGGGGTGGGAAGAAATAAACCAAAGAACTTATATGCATAACCAATGGACACAGACAATAGTGGGGGGAAAGGCGGGAGGGGGGCGGGAGTGGGGAGGAGGAAAAATGAGGAACATCTGTAATACATTCAACGATAAAGATTTAAAAAAAGAAAAAGAAAAAAAAGAATAAAGGAGCCTGGTCAGACAAAATTGAATATCAAATAAATAAATAAATAAATAATTCATACCTCAAGGTTTTCTTTTTCTTGTTGGCGGGGGAGGGGAGTTGTTGGTGGGTGGGAGAATGTTGGTATAGTTAACAGCAGAGGTTCTCAATCTTGGACATGTGCCAGAGGCACCTGAAGGATTTGATAAACTGTAGATGTCTGGGCCCCACCCTTAGCATCAGGGAATTGCAATTGTAACAAATTCCCGGGTTATGCTTTACCTGCTGATCCAGAACCACATTTTGGGAATCCGTGTGGGGATATGGGAGAGATAGATATAAATTTTTTCAGACTTTGAGACAAATCCTCCTAGTAAATCTTAACTGGAAAACTACTCCCCACTGACAAGCTATGTGTCTGTAGGCAAGTGTGTCTTTAATTGTGCGGGGTCTGTTTTCACAACCATAAAACAAAGTTAAGGAATCACCACTTCACGAACCTTGTTGTAAAGATGAAATGAGGCCATGCACCAAAGAACACATTCACTATCTCATCAGCAAACAGGGCCCTGCTAAATGTGACAGCTCACTTCAGGCAAGAGTTCCCTGAGGAACTGGGCTTTATAGCCTCTGTCTAGCTCCTATAGCACCTCGCATAGTTTACACTAATACAGTATAATATTTACTGAAATCTAATAATGTTCTAGGTATTGAGTGAATAAAATGAGCTCCACACACTCATGAGGCTATTATTTCTAGTGACATCAACAGATAAAAAATTGTCAAAAGAAAAGAATAACAAGTTAGTGATTGATAGTAAAAAGTAGATACTGGACGGGGAAGGGGGAGGGGGGCTTAAATAGGATATGTGCTATTGAGGTCGGGATCAGATCTGACTGATGAGGAAAATACCTTGGAAAAATCTGAAAGCAAGGCGTGCCATCAGAGGAAATAGCATGTGCCAAGTCTCTTCCATTCCCAAAGCTGGACCGAGTATGGGGTATTCAAGGGACGACTGGGGCCAGAGACAGAACCTGCAACCCAGACATGTGCCCTTGACCGGTGACCGGCAATCCAACCCAGGACCCCTCAGGCAGAGGTTCTAACCACTGAGTAACACTGGCCAGGGCTCCAGAGACATTTTTGATAGTTAAGCCTGGGAAAGTAGGTACTACTGGCATCTAGTAGATGGAGGCCAGGGATGCTGTTCAACATTCAACTGTGCACAGGACGGCCCCACCCCAGAGAATGATCAAGCCCTAAATGTCGGCACCACTGCTGTTGAGAAACCCTGGGCCAGATTCTGCGAGGAAATGCAGGCTGCTCAAGGAACTAGGGTTTCATTCTGGATGCCGCAGAGAATCACAGATAGGAAATGACGAGATCAAATTCATCAATAATTCCTCTGGCTGCCAGGGTGATGGGTGGACAGGAAAGCACAACCTAGGGTGGTGGCAGTGGAAAGAGCTTGAAGGGTTCGGAACTGGGCCGAAGTTTTGAAGTGGCCACCGAAGGACTTGGTGATGGACCGGAGAGGTTGGGATAGGATGAGAGAAAGGGAGGTATCAAGTTTGATTCCTAGAATTGTAAACTGGGAAACCTCAATGAGATTGGGGAGCGAAGCGTACTAACGGGATTCCACCCAGGCCTCCACTCAAAAGAGCCGGTCCCCGACCCCTAGCAGCACCCCAAGCCCGGGAGGGCGGCCCCACCGGCACAGCGGCTGAGCTCTGGCCATCGAGCAGAGTTGCAAGGTCGCTACTAGCATCAACACCAACATCTGGTTAGAAGTGCCGCCGCCACAACTGCCTCAACTGCCGCGGGAGGCGCTTCACAGTCTGGGCATGCGCAGACAAGAGCCTGAGCCGCGTCACCTCGTCCCTCCGGAAGCCCGATTCCACCCACCTAAACACTCCCCCTTACAGCGCCTGGACATGCGCATACAGACACGCGCGCGCTCTCGCTGGAGTCTGAGCATGCGCTCCTCGTCTCCCGAACCGGCCCTTAGAACTTGGGCCTGAGCAAATAAATGGTTGCCATGCGCTGTTTACAGTTTAAGCATGTGCACAGCGTCTCCCGGGGAAGTTCGAATTCACCAACCAGGACGTGCCCCAGAGCTTGAGCATGCGCATGTTACTCTCATGCCCTAAGCGCCTGTGTGTGCGGGAGGCTATCTACACGTTCTCGAAGTTTCACTTTCAACAACACTAGGGGTGTTGGCGCGGGCGCACAGATCTCCACGTGACCCGAAGGGGCCTTGGACGCGCTAGCTGGTTGGCGACCAGGGTACTCAAACCCAGCCTCCTGTGCTCTCTGTAGATCCCGCCTCCATTTTCTTCCAAGCCCTACCCCCCGCAATTCTTTCCGCGCCACGCCCCCGCAGGCACCCCGGTTCGCTCTCCACGTCACGTGCACTCCAGTCCTGTGAGCGGAAATGACGCGATCCCTGCGCGCCGCCAGGATGGCCGGGCCATGGCGACGGGCACAGGCTACGTGCGGCTGTGGGGCGCTGCGCGGAGTTGGGCGCTGCGGCGGCCGCTGCTGGCTGTCGCCGGGGGGCGGGTCCGAACTGCGGCTGGAGAGTGGTTGCCCAGAGGCCTGCGGGCCTGCGACACTTCTCCTCCTTGGGCGCTGTGGGGCCGTGGACCCGCGGCAACCGGCCAATGGCGGGGGCTTTGGGAGGCGAACAGCCGCGACGCTGGCGGCGGCTCATTCTCGGGCGGCGAGGATGCCCCTGAGGGCGGCGTGGAGGATGGCGCCGCGGGCGCGGGGGGCGGCGCGGGCGGCGGGGAAGGCCCGGTCGTAACGGCGTTGACACCGATGACCATCCCAGACGTGTTCCCGCAACTGCCACTCATCGCTGTCACCCGCAACCCGGTGTTCCCGCGCTTTATCAAGATTATCGAGGTAATGACATCTCTCGCGTTGGCCTGTTTCCCCATCTCAGCAAGCGGTGGGTTGGACCGAGCGATCGTTTAACATCCTCAGTCCTCGAAAGTTTTTCAGACACGAAGTTTCTCAATGGCAGGAGTTGGCATTCTTGTGTGCTCCTCACTAGCTTGGTGAACTGGAGCCCAATTACTTCTCCTTTAGAATCTCCTAAAGGGAGTTGAACCCAGTGCTTAGGAATGTCCACTTAGAGTCCTAATCATAGAAGTCCGGCTCTGAGACCAACCAGAACAGTCTTGTGGCTCAGTTACTTTTCTGCAGGTGTTGGTAAATGTTTTGTAACTCTGTCTCCACAGGATGGGCACCTTTCTGCTTTCGAGACCCTTTGGGATCAGGATTCATTCCTTAAATATTTCTTGACCACTTTCCCTGTGCCAAGTTCTGTTCTAGCTGTTAGGGATACTGCAGTGAACAAGACAGACAAAAATTCCTGCCTTTGGAGGTCACATTTTAGTGGGATGTGAGAAGTAATAAACAAGATTAGTAAGTAAAGTATGTTCTGGTAGGCAGTAAGTACTACAGGGAATAATAGAGCAAGGGATGTACCAGAGACTGAGGAGGAAGGTGGGAGAAGAATGTTCTCAGAGGTGCAGCTATGGGGGTTTTTCCCCTCCCCATTTAGCAGTGTTCTACCTCCTACCATGTGACAAGCACTAAGGATGCAACAACAAAGTTAAACATAGTCCCTGTGCCTAAGGAACTTATGTTCTAATGGAAAGAAGCAGGAAACAAGATCGTTTCAGACTAAGAGCCCTAAAGGGAGATGTGGGTGGGGAACTATGCTGATGTAATAGAGAGAAAACATCCTGAGTGCAAGGAACTTGAGTTTTTAGAATAGGAAAAACCCAAGTGCACACCCATTCCCCCCCCCCCCCCCCCCCTTTTGATGATGTGGAAAGGAGTCCATGGAGGAGCAAGGTTATCTTTTAACTGGCTAAGCAAGGTCATACAATGAGTCAACCTCTGCATTCACCTTCCAGCCTCAATCCCTCACTCCAGTTTCTTACTAAATAAATCTCAGGGATAGCCCTGGCTGGTTTGGCTCAGTGGTTGGAGCATCGGCCTGTGGACCAGAGAGTCCCGGGTTCAGTTCCCACTAGGGGCATGTACATACATACATACATGTACATACATACATACATAAATAAATATCTTTCTATCTCAGGGATGCCTTGGAAAGGAACAATACAGAGGGGCAGCAGCCAGCCAGTGGGGAGGGGACAGAAGAGGCCCCCTCTACCTCCTGTTTTGGACTGCTGATTATGGTTATCTGAGTTAGCCTTCCAAGGGCCTCCCTTGAGGTTGAGTAGTGGTTATTTGGAGGCCCCAGGATAATACTCTGTGGCTGGCTCCACTATCTTAGCTCTAACCTTGAGCAAGCTATTCCTCTGGGCCTTCATCTTCTCATCTGTGAAATGAACCTACTAATAGTACCTCCTGTCTTAGAGCTGTTGTGGGAGATAAATGTAAAGAATTTAAAATGGTGCCTGGTGCATAATATGCCTCAATAGTAAACAACTATCTGTTGATTCTTATGTGGGGCTGTTCAGACATTTCAAAAGCCTGCCTTGGAGACCTCTTTCCCATCTTTGACCCACCCTCAGCAGTCCTCTCCACCCTAACAGGTCTCTGGAGCTAGAACTGTTCACCAGGTGTGGTCTCCTCAGCCCAGCAAGGAGGCAAATGCTCCTTGTCCCCAGTGCCTAAGCAGGGATAATGATTTTTCTAAGAGATTCTGTCTGCTCACTTTGAGCTAGCCGGGAGGGTTAAATGAATTGCTGTGGATAGCATGAGACTGGCACATGGTACTCATATTTTTATTGTTGTTACCTTATAAATAATGAAAAGTGGTTCTCAAATTTTGGTGCTTGGACTAGCAACATCACCTGGGAGCTAGTTTGGAATGCAGATTCTCAGGCCCTCTTTAGATTTCCTGTATCAGAAACTACTGGGATGGAGCCCTGCCATCTGTTTCAACAATTCCTTCCAGGTAATTCTGATGCATACCAAAGTTAAGAGCTGTTAAATTTAGTCAGTCTGGTCTGGGACTTAACACAGGCTTGAAAGAAATCATTTGAGCCCTAAAAGACATCTGTGTACAGCCCCCCACCACTGTTTTCTAGGAGACATTATTAGCTGTCTACCTGCCACTGAAATGACATCAAGAGAATATGCTATTCTTGGGAGTTTCAATAATCAGTAAATGGGGTAAAGATGTGATTGGGAAATACTTCCAGTGAAAATGAGAGGAAGTTACCGGCCTGTCCAGTAGGGCACATTTGAATTACGCACATTTAGTGTAGTTCTTCTGACATTGATGAAATCAGAAGAGTTTAGATTTCCAAGGCTATACATTTTGCCACTGAAACAGTTCTTGACATTGAACCTTAAATCATTTTCTTGGTTCTGGCTATTTGTCTACTTTGAGTTTTCTTTAGGAAAGGGGGGAAACCACTGAGGTCAACCCTGTGCCACTCCTTTCATGTATCTTTGTTTTTTTTACTTTCTTGTTGAGAGTGTTACAGATTTCCCCCGTTTATTTCCCCCATTGTCCCCCTTCTCCCAGTTCCCATCCCACCCCAGACCTTCACCACCCTATAGTCTGTGCCCATGGATAATACATATATGTATAAGTTTTTTGGTTAATCTGCTCCCCCTTCCCTCTGAGATTCATCAGTTTGTCCGATGCCTTAGTTTCTGTTTTATTCATCAGTTTATTTTGTTCACTAGTTTCCATATATAAGTAAGATCATGTGATATTTGTCTTTCTCTAACTAGCTTATTTTGCTTAGCATAATACTCTCCAGGTCCCTACGTGCTGGCTCAAAAGGTAATAGATTCTTCTTTTTTTACAGCATATATCTGTCTTTTGTTTGTTTTTGGTTCAGGGGTTCCTGGACCAGGTTGGTTAGTGTTCTGGATCAGCTTAGTATGTCTCCAGAGAATAATACAGAAAATGTTAGAGTTGCTGTCAAAATGTCAGCTAGAAAACCTACCCTGCATTTAACTTTGGGGTCATTGTCATGCTAGGTTAAAAATAAGAAGTTGGTTGAGCTGCTAAGAAGGAAAGTCCGTCTTGCCCAGCCATATGCCGGTGTCTTTCTAAAGAGAGATGACACGTAAGTATAATTTTTCCTTCGCTCTTTTATAGAAGTTGCCCTGGACTGTAGCTCACCACCAATCCTGTTCCTTAGAGTAGCCTGGACCTCTGCCCCTTGACCTGAAAGAAACCATGGAAAACCTGCAGGGGACTCAGCCAAGAGCTGAGCAACTTTTTATAGACTGGACTGAAGGTTCAGCTTGCAGCACTGGGTTTCATACATTGTTAAGATGGGGGTGGGGCTATTAACCTCGAGGACCCTTGGATTTATTTTTCGTTCTTAATTTTTTTTTAATGTATACAGTTTTTAATATGTTTCTATTGATTTTTTAGAGTGAGAGGAAGGGAGAGCTAAAAACACCAATGTGAGAGAGAAACATTGAGGGCTGTGCAAGAGGGCTGCCTCTTGCACACCCCTCACTAGGGATCAAGCTCACACCCGGTCATGTGCCCCAACCGGGTATCAAACAGGGACCTCTCAGTCCACTGAGTGGAACAACACTCAGTCCACTGAGCCAAACCGGCTGGGTAAAGACCCTTGGGTTTAAAATGCATACCTGCATTGCCACTTCAGCACAGAGTAAGTGGGCAGATATCACAGTTTTGGATATGTCTACCTTAACTCTAGGTAGAAATTAGTTCCACTTTGGAGTTAGAAGTCTAGGGCGTCCTGAGCAGGCCGTCATGGGAATGGAATCAAAATTCCATCTGGGATGCCTCATGGCCAACTC